CATAAGACGAACGTGGCTGGATCAGACCAGAAGCCAATTAAGTCCAGCATGGTTTCCAGAGTGGCTGACCAAATGCCTATGAGAAGTGCCTGAACAATATGTAAACACAATGTCACTGTCCTTTTTGTGTTTCCCAGCAGCTAGTATTCAGGGACATACTGCTTCTAATACTGGGAGTAATTTATAATAATCATAACTAGTAGCCACTTACAGACTTAATCTCCTTGAAGTTATCTAGTTCCCTTTTATAGCCATCCAAGTTGACAGCCATCACTATGTCTTGTATTGGCAAATTATGTAATTTAATTATGCACTGTGTGAAGAAGAGCCACCCATTCTTGTTTCAGCTAATCTTAAATTGAGACATGTTCCTTTTGTTTATTTTGGCTGTACTCTTTATTTGTACACGTGCCTAGGATTGAACCTAGGTTTAGGTAATAATAATAATAATATAATTTATTATTTGTACCCCGCCCATCTGGCTGGGTTTCCCCAGCCACTCTGGGCGGCTTCCATAGAAACAAAAAATACAGTAAAATATCACAGATTAAAAGCTTCCCTGAACAGGGCTGCCTTAAGATGCCCTCTAAATGTCAGGTAGTTATTTATTGCTTTGACATCTGATGGGAGGGCGTTCCACAGGGCGGGCGCCACTACCGAGAAGGCCCTCTGCCTAGTTCCCTGTAGCTTTGCTTCTCGCAATGAGGGAACCGCCAGAAGGCCCTCGGCGCTGGACCTCAGCGTCCGGGCAGAACGATGGGGGTGGAGACGCTCCTTCAGGTATACTGGGCCGAGGCCGTTTAGGGCTTTAAAGGTCAACACCGACACTTTGAATTGTGCTCGGAAACGTACTGGGAGCCAATGTAGGTCTTTCAAGACCGGTGTTATGTGGTCTCGGCGGCCTCCCCCAGTCACCAGTCTAGCTGCCGCATTCTGGATTAATTGTAGTTTCCGGGTCACCTTCAAAGGTAGCCCCACGTAGAGCGCATTGCAGTAGTCCAAGCGGGAGATAACCAGAGCATGCACCACTCTGGCGAGACAGTCCGCGGGCAGGTAGGGTCTCAGCCTGCGTACCAGGTGGAGTTGGTAGACAGCTGCCCTGGATACAGAATTGACCTGTGCCTCCATGGACAGCTGTGAGTCCAAAATGACTCCCAGGCTGCGCACCTGGTCCTTCAGGGGCACAGTTACCCTATTCAGGACCAGGGGCACAGTTACCCTATTCAGGACCAGGTAGACACGCCTAGGATTGCGCTGTAAAAGAACTACAGTGGTACCTCCAATTAAGTACTTAATTCGTTCCGGAGGTCCGTTCTTAACCTGAAACTGTTCTTAACCTGAAGCACCACTTTAGCTAATGGGGCCTCCCGCTGCCGCCGCACGATTTCTGTTCTCGTCCTGAAGCAAAGTTCTTAACCTGAGGTACTATTTCTGGGTTAGCGGAGTTTGTAACCTGAAGCGTATGAAACCTGAGGTTCCACTGTACATACAATTGGATTCAATATGACTTACTTCCAGGTAAGGCTGTTGCCTTAACCAGATAAACAAATTATAGAGGACCTTGTAGCTTACAATTAGTATGTATATGTGATTGCACCGAACAAGAAAAATTTGGAAAGATACAAATACACTCCATGTTTAAGATTAAAATTATATCTAAAAGGCTTAGGAAAACAAAGGGTTTTTCCTGGGAATGAAAAGACAAAGCCGTTGTCCAGCAGACCTCTGGAGAGAGCATTCCACAATCATGTCTGGGGCTCTAATTGTGTAGTCTGGTCTTGGTGGCTATATTATGCTAGAATTGCTAGTTTTATTAATAGAGAACCTTTTCTTGAGATGCTTTTAAATGTTATTTATTGTATTTTATATAAACTCTGTGGGAAGCATTTTAATTTTGAAAGGGAGTATATAAATTTGTTAAACACAAAAAACCCACACCCAGCTTTCTGGGGCACGACCACCAAGAAGGCCCTCTCTCTGGATCTCATTGGTCTCACCACAAATGGTGGGGCACCAACAGAAGGTCTTCCACAGAATATAAGTTATCGTTTTAAACCTTATAAATTCTTCGCATGCTCAGTGTCTCATTGGGAATTAATGAGGAAACATTTCATAAGTTTTGTTTCCTTATAAACGTTGGGATGCTCCCCAGTTTGAAAACTTACTGCTATTTGGGATATCAGTGGACATTTAGTTGCAAGCGATGTTTCTAGCTTAGCTTCATATTCTAGTTCTGTATCCCAAATGTAATTGTGACAGTTTCACATTTAGAAAACAGAACAGACACAAAACATGTACTATGTTACTTCAGAGAGAAGTGTGAACAATGGATGAAGATTTCAGTGCTCCCTCGGTGCCTTCATCACTCACTGAGAGCTTAGAGATGGCTATGGAAGTGGAGAGACAATGCGCCAGACTCCTCTGTTTCTCCTGTGCATCAGACATCACAAACGGAGGGAAAAGCTTTTCTGCTGATTCTTATTTAGCAAGTGGGTCTCTTAAGAGGTATGTAAAACTTAAAAATGTCACCCTTGGGCTTTTGTCTTGAAAATACTATTGGGCAGGCTTGACTTTACTAAGAATGTTTCAGTGGCATAATTACTTTGAGTAGTATTAAAATCCCCTGTGTGTGAGTGTGTTCAGGACTGAGAGTTTAGAATGTTTAATTAGTTTCTTCTAACAGCTGCTGTGTGCCACAATGATCCCATTAGTGTCTTCGACTTTTGTTTGAATAGAGGGTATGGGAGCTCGTTCATACGTTACTGACGTAGCATAGCTTGATGCTGAAAAAACAGTTCCGTTTCGGCTTTTTGTTGCAGTGGTAATAAATTCAGATGCTGATGCAGTGCCAGTGACACAACAGAACTGCAGTACTGGTCTTGAGAAATGATTGGGAGTTCTAGGTGTCCTATGCGAATGGTGCATGGATACATTACTAGTACAGGGTCTTAACACAGGGAAGAATTATATAACAGCAACATCATGTTAGCAATACTTTAGAGCAGCTAGTGTTCCTTATATCAGCCAAGATTAAGGGACTAGGGCAAGTTGTAGGGTTTTGTGCTCCTCCTCCATTCTGGCTCACATTTCTTCCATTCTGTGCTATGATTTCACCAAGGCTTGCATCAGCCAGAGCCAGGGCTTGTGGTTAACCAGGATATGAAGCTGACTTCAAAGCAGAACCTGCTTTGTTGAGTTACATTGGTGCCAACACAGGAGTGTGCATATGTGTGTGGGTCAGCAAGTGTCAGTGGTGTAGATAGTGGATAAAGGGTCATGATCCCATGACAAAAGAATGCTAGTTGGATATATATATAGGACATCCTTGGGAGGAGCTTTCTCGGTGCGGAGGGACATGGGCAATGCCACCTGAATTTCAGTAATAATGGTATCCCCCTGTGTGCCCTCTTTGGTACTGTGGGGCCTGTTCTGCACTTTGGAAAACCAGGGAATTAAGGGCAGTGAAACAGGTAGATGACAGCTAGAGTGCAAACAGTGAAAGATGTGCTGCAAAGCTGCCTGAGCAGGAGTGAAACAATATAATCACGGAAGGAGGCCCAGTTCTTTGCACCAGTCGCATCCTCAAGTAGCCATTCAAGTTGAGCTTTTTCATTCACTTCTACTCCAGAGCATTTTGCCAGCTTCAGCCATTTCAAGATCTGGATAACCAGTCATTCATGTACTTGTAACCTCCAGATTGGATTACTGCAATACATTCTATGTGGGGCTGCCCCTTATGTTTGTCTGGAAGCTGCCTCTGATGGAAAATGTGGTGGTTCAACTGTTCCCTGTTACACTGCTGCTGTATGAATTGCACTAGCTGCCAATTAGCAGGTTAAGTTCAAGCTGCTTGTCAAAAGGGTATACAAAGCCCTATGCAGTTTGGGACCAGCAGGCCTAAAATATAGTCTCACCCCTTATATACCCAATTGATCACTGCTCTGCAGGAATTGGGTCTTTAGTGTGGTGGCAACTGTCCTTTGGCATTCCTGTCTGTTGTATATTAGGCAGGCACCATCTCTGTTGTCTGTTCTATAGCTACTGGAAACCTTTGCCTTTCTGCAAGCCTCTTAAGTGGATATCTTTATCCCAGTCTGCATCTGTATTGGAACTGTGTTTATATATGAAATTGCTTTATATTATTTTATATAGGGAACATTTTAAAATTGTTTTTACACTTTTCTTGTCTTATGGTTATAACTTTTATTTTTTATATATTTGTTATATTTTTTGTTTTAACCTTTGTGGGGGCTGTATGATAAAGGGCAGATAAGAAATCTAATAAAATAAATAGTATTTTAAGAACCTGTGAATAATGCTGCCTATGTTTTTCAGGGTTTTGCTGGGGCTGGATCCTTTTCCAAATGACTATGAAGAAGACATCATAGAGTTATTTGGTTTCCAATGGGTTACTGAAACTGCTTTGGTTGAGTCTTGTACACTTCTCTTTGGATTATTTAGGTATGGGTTTTTTAGTATATTTATCTCCATAGCATGTAGTCATAAGTATACTGAGCCAAATTATTGTCCTCTAAATATGCAGCACTTTTGGAGAGTGGATCTGAGGGCTTTGTTAGGGTCTTTCAAACATATAACATTACTTTATTATTGTGGTACATTGTTGCTGAACCTTGGGAAATGGCCATGCTGTTGCTTGTGTCACACAAACACTTTTTAAAAAAGTTCTTATTGAGTAAACATGCATAAGTCACACTAAGTTCAATGAACTTTCTGGTAATTGTGCTTAGCATTACACTTACAAGCTTGTTGCTGTTGTCAACGCAAAATGGCTGCAATGCTCCAGAGCCAGGCTTCCAGGTGAATTCAGCAACACAAAATCAGGATAGTGCTAGTTCACTCAGAGTGAAAACATGCATTGCAGCAATGCCCACAGCACAGAGTGACTTAACAATGTAGCATCTCCACCAGTCATTACATGGTTCACAGTGCAGCCTAGGGCAGAACCATGTCACTTGGCAACAGCACCACCAACCAGGGCACTGCATTCAGACAGAGCATCACCAGCTCTTCATGCAGAAGGCTCCAACTTCAATCCCTGGCATCTCCAGTTGGGGTGAGATCCTGGAGAGCCACTGCCAGTTAGAGTGGACAAGGCTAAGCTAGATGGAATAATAGTCTGAATTAGTATAAGGCAGCTTCCTATGTTTCTATGGCTTTAAGATCTTTGGGCGAGGCCCTTCTTAGCATCCGACGTCCAACAGCTGTACATTAGTTGGTGGCATGGGCCTTCTCTGTGATAGGGCCCTAATTGGGAAACAGCCCACCCTGTGAGGCAAGGCGGTCCAACTTTTCATACCAAGTGGGCAGCAAGAGTACTTCCACACGGAACCAGAGGGTCACGCACTGCCTTTGGCTTTGCTTGAGGGAGCAAGGCCAAAATTTGACACCACTCCCAGCCCTTGCACTGTCTTCCCAACATCCCAAAGCAAGGCTCCGGACATTGGGAAAGCAGCTCAAAGGCTACCAGGGTGAGGGGGCATCAAATGTTGCCGAGGGCCGCCCAAAAAGGCCTCAAGGGCCACATGTTAAACCACCCTGCTCTGAGGTATGCCTGTTGCTGACTCTTTTTTCCATTTTGATGCCAACTTATTTGCTTTTAATTATTTCAGCCATTTGCAGGTTATTAGCTTTTCAGCTTCAGGCTAATGTAGCCACCCTGCGGTTTTATAGGTTGCATTTATGTTTTCATATCTACTCTCTTATTTGTTTATTGTTTTGTGTTTTAAATTGAGCTTCACTGTACCCTGCCCTGAGATCATTTCCAGTGAAGGGTGGATATAAACATATTATTGGGCATTGCCACATCACATGATGCAAAAAGGGGTGATATGCAGAGGAGAACTGAGAAGTAGACGGATACTACTTAACCATTCTGCTACTCCAGGAATAGCCACTCATGCCCTCTAGATGTTGTGGACTACAACTCCCATAATTCCTTACTCTTGGCCATGCTGCTGGGCTAGATCGAAAGTGTCTTCCAAAACAAATGAAGGGCACCACACTGGCTAGCCCTACTCTAGTCATCTACCTTGCAAATTTATTCTCTCCCCTCACCAAACCATTTTAAATATATTTTCTCCTCAGGAAAGTTCTGGAAACAAGCCTGGCTGAGAGAAAAATAGGCTTGAAGAGGGAGGGATTTTTTTAAAAAATGAGAGAATCTATGGTCACTCTGATAGAAAAGCATCCCTTCCTCCTGCCTTCACTTGTCATTTTTCCAACCCTACCCTGCATTCATGTTATATTAACATGTGTTTGGGAACAGTTTACTGATCCCTGCTTGTGGCTGGTTGCAGCTACATTATGTGGCCCATACTAATTACAGGATGAGATCATGGGGTTTACTTTGATGCCTGCCAGTTTTTGAAACATTGCTACTTCTCTCTTGGTAGTCATGGGGCCTGTGGGTTTATTGGTTCTTGTGTATGGGGTTCATTTCACAAATTGCATTTGCCCCAAAGTGGAATATAATATTTTCCTCTAGTTCTAGTCTTGACCATAGCTATCTATTTAGCATCTGTATTACTGTTAGATGAGGCTACACTTCAGAATAGTTTGACATTTGAAAATTGCATCCAGTGCAGAATGGATCTGCCTGCTTATTAACTGGCATTTCCTGTAAAAGGCACCTTACTCCTGTTCTGTATGATTAGCTGTGGCTGTCAATTTTTTTTTTTTTTAGCAAAGCCGGGGATTCAGGCTATACCACAGCCTGGTTATAAAAAGTTGCTTAACCTTTTGTTGAGTATGTTGTCTCCTTTTGTAGCAAGTAAATTTAATAGCCCCCGGACAATGTGCCAATCAGTGCCAAATGCTAAATAACTTTAGTGAAATTTTCTGTTGAAGATATGGAGCCGTACTTAAGATCAGAAAGCCTATATAGCCAATGCCACATCTAGAGTTGGAATTGCATTTTTCTGATGCTTTAGCTCTTATCTTAAGCCCATGGTGGGGAACCTCAGGGGCTGACTGGGACCATCAAATCCTCTCTGTATGGCTGTGCCTCTCTCTGGGCCACACCTCTCACCAGCCTTGCTCTACACCCTCCTGAGGGAGCTAGAATGTGTCATTGAACTATAATACTACCTCTTGCTTGCCTGGGTTGGGAGATTATATAGATGTGTTTTACACACACTTCTTCTTCTTTGGCGATCACTCGTAGCTGAGTAAAATTGTCTTCCATGAACACGGTCTTAACAGTGAGTCCATAAGTAACTGTGGAGGACAATTCTGGATCCACAGGTCCTTCCACAGTAAGGACATAGGTTTCCAGGCCGGGGTTAATCACAGTGAGGGTTTGCCAAATGTTCCTTTCAGTAGGTGACCAGTAGATTCATATCTGCTGCAGCCTTCATCTGTCTTCACAGCCATTGTAACATACCACTTACTATCTTCTACCAGTTCTGCCATTGAGGACTTCTTGGATCATTCTTTGTCTAACTCCTCCCCTTTGACCTTACCATCTTGGGTGACCCTGCTGGGAATACAAGACTCCCTACGGCTTCACTCACAAGGGTCATAGGAATGTGCAAGCCCACTGTTGCATCACTTGCAAGCAGCCCTCTGGAAATTGTCCATGAGGAAATGAGGCCCTGAGGCAAAAACAAAAACAAAAAAACCACCCCCATCTCTATCTTGAGCTAAGTCAAATATAGACTTCCCTTGTAGTTTCTCCAAATCTCTTGTTTATTTCCCTTGTTGTGTTTTAGCCTGCCATACATTAACATAGTTCTGGTATTCCCATACTCTCTGTTAGTTAAACCAGGAATAAGCACTAACAAACTCTTTTATGTGGAATCATCATTATCTGTAGGAGGTGATCAAGGGATCAGGCAGAGCATGCAAATTGGCTTGATTATTTTGAGTTTTTTATGTACCTTTTGTTTCAACTGTTAGTCGATTTACCCCCAAGAATGAAGAGGCTGTTGGTTGGTTTTGATGAAAGAACCCTATTTTAGATTTCAAAATTTTGTTGTTTGTATGTGCTTTCTTTGTTGATAGGCAACAAATATACAAATTGGAAAACCTCATTCCACCAAGTTTATCTGACTTTGGTAAGTTTTTTTTTTAATGCTTCTAGGTTGTTTGTGCCTTGCTGTATATTTTTAACAATAAATATTATGTTCGTTTGTTTGCTTTAAATGGAACCTGCCCCTTTCTCCAGTATTCAAAACTTATGAACTAGACACAATTTCAATGCACTGACTTGATATTTCTCATAAGTGAGCCCTATTAAAAATGGCTAACCTTTAAAAGAAAAACTCTGTTATTGCAACAGCCATAATAACCCAACGGGGGCAGGGGGGGGGTCACAATTGGCTTTGTCCTTGTCCTCACCCACAGGTAGTGGATCACTTGGTTAAAGTGATGCCAAATGGTTGGACACAAAGTGTAGCCATCCTTTGGCATAATGGATAAGCAAAGGACACCGTCAGTTGGCTAATACATTGCACATTTTGAGTTGGCAGCCATAAAACATGGTCTTTAAAAATGTTTTGAAAGGTGCATGCCAAATCCCAAAACTCTTTGAAGCATTCATGTGCACATGTATGTACCCTGTCCTGGGATTGTTTATGATGAAGGGCAAGATAAACATATTTTAAATAAATAAAGAGCAAGCATGAGACAGATTTATTGCTCTATACACAGGAAGATTTTTGTCTACAGTTTCCCATGCACGTCCATCAGTGCAAAAACAACTGAGGATCAATCCTTACTCATGCATTTAAGCTGTTGGATCAGCACCAGCAAAGCTGAAGCATCAGATGAACTACAACTTGTTTCCTCTGATTCCATTTTAGCTTTTTGAGGTTCTTTTGTTTCCATCTTTTGTATGGAATTTCTTTCATTAAGGTACAGTTCTGACATGGTGTATACATCAGTGCCACTTTAAATAGTGAGCTGTCAGTATGTAGTAACATAACCATCCTAGTAGTGTTTTCCATGTCACAGTAGATCTCTTGGGTATTTTTTAAAGGCATGATGTGTGTAGTAAGCTGCTGCATGTAAACAGCTTCTTTGCAGAAAGTTTTCAAACAGTTGCCATGTGGCCACTGATTATTTCCCCTTATGTGTTAATGTTGTTGTCTATAACTCTTTAATTTTATTTAGATTGGGCACTTATTTAGATGAGTGCCCACATGACGTGATAGAAATTATTTATTCCTGTTTGTTCATTTGTATTTTTTATAATCAACTTGCAGTCTGTTTCCCCTTCAGTTTGGGGAAAATGGGTTATGTCAATTCAGCATACCTGAAAGCACACATTCCTAATTTCTGCCTTGGTTTCAGGTCAGGCTGCAGAGCTTCACTGGGAAGCCCAAAACATCAGGCAGCAGTGCATTCAGTTCCTGCAGTATGTGAAAATGTTCATCTTCAGGTAGGTTGTCAGACACGGTTCCTGTTTAATTTTTGTTTGCATAGTTGGTGCTGCATGGTATTACATATTAACATCTTCATTCAGATATCTGGTGCCACACGAAGCAGAAGATGAGTTACTTCATCCATTTGAAAAGCAGGAAGCACAATTCCCTTCATTACTTGTTGAGGAACTCCATTCTTTGACATTGCACGTTGGACACCTGCATGAACTCTCTAGTTGTGTTCTCGGAGGATTGACTGTTCCGCCACAAGCAAAGGTTTTGACTGTACTTTTTGTTGTTGTTGTTGGCGCATATAGACATTTCTAGTTGGCACATATTATAATTTAGAGTTGGAAAAGAGGCATTATAAACTTGCTGGCTAGTTATTCTTGCAAGTTCTCTCTTATCATATTGCCAAGAAAGGGACATTTTGTGTATCCCACCAGGGCAGTGTTATAGCTTATGGCACTATATTAGCACTAATCACCTAGTGGGACAGATAATTCCAATACTGTTTAGTAGTGCCACACGGTGATATTTGCATGGTGGCTATATTTCTTGTGATAATGCTAATATGGCAGCTAAATGATTGAGCTGCCCATCATTGCTTTCAGTCACATACGTTTTTGGTAGAATATTTTAAAAGTCCACTCTAAGTCACTCTAAGTAGAACTTAGTTAGATGCAACTTTGTGTTAACATTTTGATAATAAGTTACCCTTCATGCCCCATTATAAAAATTGCAACCCTACTTCCAGAAAATGAAAAGTTATTTTGCCTTTTGCCTGAACATGCGACATTTAAAACCAGGGGTGGGTGGGGCAGGGGTACACCCACAAACACACACATGCAGGTTGCTTTTCAAACCTTTGCATAGTTAGCCTGATAGTCCTGGTAATGAAGGGTTCCCATTCATAGGAATGTTCTTGAGCTTGTTCGACCAAAGTCTCTTAAAAATATTCTTCAGACCTTCATGCTAATCATGCACTCATCTGAAAGAAAGAGCCTGTGAACCTGGGGTTATCGGGAATATTTTTGTGCAATGTTTTCTTTCAATTACAGTTATTTTCCCCATCATGGCATCTGATGCATCTTCATCTAGACATCCACTGGTCGTTGTTGGAAATTCTTCATCTTCTTGGTGAAAAGATGCCAAGTAGGTTTTGCCTTTGCAATTCAGATTGTTCTTTTGCATTATTTGTGTGTTGGGTTCTATGGGAGATGTTAAACTCTTTGGTTCAAAAAGCACATATGCAAATTATTGGGAAAATAGTAGTCTGGAAAGTAAATCAGCACATTTTTTAAATTAAAAAAATCATTTAAAAAGTCAATTTATCTCTTCACAGCAAAACTCCATTTTTACATCAATTTAAATGACAATATATCTATCCACAAATTATTTTAAACCAATTAAAGCATATTATTTGTCCTATTGATTTCAGTGGAATTTCTGATCTATTTCTGCATGTTGGCATTCTTAATCTCATCTTTTGGCTAAGAACCCCTCACTTAATTTGCACACATGTGTTAGTCTTTCAGTACAAGTTAGTCTTTAGTGTTCTTAAATTCATTTGAAAGGCTGGCAACCATGTGTACACACACAGCCAAGCCAGCAGGCCCCTGTGCAAATTGACAGGATATTCCGTAAGCCCTTACTTATTGTCCCTTGGACATCCTCCCATTGTGTTGGGAGTGAGTTGAAGTGGAGAAGAAACCAGCAGGTTGTAAGGCAAATCCAAAAGCAATGTTCAGCAAGCAAAAGGCTTCCATTCCAGTGTGCTGGTACCCTTCCAGTACAAAATGCAGGTCGTTTTATAATAGGAGCCTCTAAATTTTCTCCCCATTTACTGCTGAAAGAGTGCATTTCCCTGCCTGTGGAAGGTCCTGCCCTCCAAAATATTGTGCAGTGAGGTGGGGTGGGAAAAGATAAGTACATTCTGTAGTGTCTGTAATTTGTGGAAGGACCACGGCTTAGTGGTAGAGCATCTGATTTGCATGCAGAAAGCCTTTGGTTCAATATTTGGCATGCCCAAAAGGAATTGGAAGAGACATCCTGGAAAGCCTCACATGTTCGTTGTAGATAATGCTGAACTAGACTGACCAATGACATGGCTCAATATAAAGCAGTTTCCTATGTTTGTAACTGCTCTAACCTAGGAAAGTATTTCTACCTCAAACTGGAGAAATTGCCTCTCGACTATGTAGAATTTCTCAATTCTGTTTGTGAATAAACTGCAAACAAAGTACTGCAGTACATATCATTGCTTTTATTCCTTGAATTGCTTCCATGTCATTGCAACAATGTATAAAACTGCTTTATTAACACTCGCCCCTGTTCAAATGGGGTAAAAGTTGTATACAGTGATACCTTGTGTTGCGTCCACTTCATGTTGTGTCTTTTTGCGCTACGTCCCGCGGCAACCCAGAAGTACTGGAACGGGTTACTTCCGGGTTTCTCCGCATGGGCATAAGCGCCAAATCGCGCTGTGCGCCTGCGCAGACGCAGCTCTTCTAGTTGCAGACATTTCACGTTACGAACTGGCCTCTGGTACTGATCCTGTCCGTAACACGAGGTACCACTGTATGTTGTCAGGGCAGCACGGAGAAACCACATCATTATGATTTTGGCTGAATTAAACATACGCTGCAAAATTTCCTTTACCTGCTGCAAAACACAATGTCAGAAAACTAAGGACAAATTCGGGGTAATCCCCCCCCCCCATTAATGTTTTCTTTAAAATAACATAAAAAATGATGACTTGCTTTTCTTTGCTCCAATAAAGTGAAAGTATGTATGCATGTCTGTGTCTGTATTTATAAAGTCTATATCAAAGCATAAACTTCCTTCATTTCCTTTTTATTTTCTAGGGCAAACAGTGTATGCTCACAGGTTCTCAAATTTAACAGGTGAAAATTTAACCAATATCAGTTTGTTTGAAGAACATTGTGGAAACCTCTTCTATGATCTGATAAGTTTGGCAGCTAGCAGGTATACAAAGGTATAATGATCATCTTACTTTGTACTGTTGTACGAGTGTTGCATAGCTGGCTCTTTAAAACTAGACAGTAAAGGGAGTTTCCTATTTGAATTTAGCTTTTCATCAAATCCTTATATTTTAGCTTGTATGAAAAGACTATATCATTTAAAGACTCTTGGTTAGGAACTGTTTATTCACCTCTACTTGCCAACTGAATGAGGAAATAATTTTGAGTTGTATTTTTGCCCTGAGTTGAAATATGCACTGTATTAAGGACTATAAGTAGCAAAAACTGCTGCAAATTATACAAAGTTGTAAAAACAGCAAAACTGAAGAAGCTGTTTGAAATCACAGAATTTAGCTTTCCGTGGCTTCTAATTCAGATTGTATGTAAACATATATATTTTTAAGTATAGTATTTTAAAACACTTTTCTACTGCCCTTTATCAGATTTGATTCCCTGCCATATTTGTATGCCAATGCAGTTTAAATTCTTAAGTATTAGTGTTATCATTATTTTTATATATTTCTAAGCATTCCATCCCCAAATAACAATTGAGAAAGTGGAAATAATGTTACCATTAAGATCACTCGTTTGTTAATACAGTTTGTTGTTATTTAGTCATTATTTTACTTTGTATTTTAGCAACCTTATCCTTCTATGAGAACATATTTCTAAGTACTGTATCCGAAGAAAGCTTTGTTTGGAAGACTTTTAATATGCACTGAGTTTCCTTTGCCAATCTTCTACCTTCACAAGTTCCAGATAGCAAAAAGCTTATTAATAACTTGGGTGATGAAAACGTTAACCAATAGAAAAGACACCCTTGCAATTGTGTAAAGGCCAGTCTAGCATGGCATGTAACAGCAAGCAATATATAGCTAAATATAATGCAAAATAATGTGAAACTTTTTTAAAAAAAAAATCTGAAAATAAATGGCAGTGGTATCTAGTTGCTGTATGTGGCTACAATACCACCTGCTGGTGGATCAAGGTAAAACCCACTTGATTAAAGATGGCAGACTAACAACTCATGAAATAGTACATTGTTTCAGAACAGAAGTAGTGATTTTGTTCTATCATGTGTTTCATTAGGGCAGTGCTGTTTGTTCAGCACAGAGTTTGCACTGGAAATGTGAGAGCTTTAGGTAATTTGTATAGCGCTTCTTAAATCTAAAATTAGCACACTTTGCTCTGAAGGTGCATTATGCTCTGTAGAGTTTACTTCCTAGCATATATGTTTTGATTTGCAGCCTCGGTGTATTAGTAAGGTGAAAAAGCTCTTCATGAATCCTTTCACAAAAAGTAACAGCTATTTGTGGGGTATGGCTTGTGCCCAGTTAGAGGCATAAATGCATCCCACTGCTGTTGGTGAATTGAGATATGAACCCAGCTGCCAATTCTCATCTATAAGGGAGTTTTTAGGAAGAAATAGATAAGTATTTTATCTATATATATTTTTTAAAAAAACCCTACTAGATGGCAGGGGAAAACACAACTTTTATCACAGACCCTTTTAAAAATATTAACTTCCTCTTTAACAACAACCCTCAATATTCAAAGTATGTTCCACTTTCTGGCTTATTTAATCCTTTCACATTTAGAGTTACCGTACTTTTCCATGTATAAGACGAGGTTTTTTTTACTCTAAAATAATGTTAAAAAATGGGGGTCTTCTTATACACGGATAGTTCATAGGGGGACAGGTGATTGGTTGCACCCGCGAGCTTGTCAGCAGTGATTTGGTGGGTGATTGGTGGCTGCGGCAAGGGCTGCTTTGGATTGGCTGCTGCTGCTGCGGTAATTGGATGGGTGATTGGTTGCCGCGGCAAGGGCAGATTTAGATTGGCTGCCGCTGTGGCAATTGGGCGTGCGATTGCCAGCTGCTGTTGTTGAGCGGGCAGGCGCTTATTGGCTTCAGCAACTTGAGTGATTGTCAGCGTTTGTCAGTTGGGTTAGTGATTTTCTGCATCCCCCCCCCAAAAGCTCCGCAACTATGGGCAGTCCTCCCCCCAAAAAAGCTCAACAGCTCTGGGCCATCTCCAATTTTCTTAAATTTGAGTCCCCCAAAATACATGGGAGCATGTTATACATGGAAAAATAAAGTGTTTTAATGACAATATCTTAGCTATTTACTGCAGTGAATATTTCTAAAAGTGTTCATATGTTAAATTCCACTATTTGCTCTGAGGAAGTTGTTTGTTCATCGCAGGTAAGGCCCTCTGAAGCTCTAACTAGTCACCACTACCCTTGCACATGTGTAAAAGAATTGTGGATTTTGCTTATTCATCTGCTCAATCACAGAAATAAAGGATCCCTTACAGAGGTAAGACTCGTTGCATGACTAGCATGGGTAATATTCTATGAAAACAATTGCATTTGAAACACTCAGATATTCGTAGACGGATAAACAAATGTCCCAAACTAATTTATTTACCGTAAGCATTCTTTTACACTTGGTTCCATTCTCTGATAATCTGTAAAGGGGTCTGTGTTCCTTGACAGGCAGAATGTGGGGCAGATGGGCATAGTTTGGGCCAAACTGCCTTACAGGGCAAATTGGTACTTGTGCCAGGTCTAATCAGGATCCTGGGGCAGTGGTTCCCCATGCCTGGTTTAAAAGGATCACTTTGAGAAGCGCAGCAAGTGATCTACCCACGGTTGTCTACAAGCTGGTAAAGGAAAGCAGCAACAGAAAAATTATTACAAGAGATGGACAGGGTGACTGGTATGTGTGTGCACTACATTAGAAAATTGAACTTCTTTTTTTAAAAAAAGCTGAGTGGCTTTCTTTTCATTGCAGTCTTTTTGGAGCTGTTTGAATAACATTCTAAAGGATGTATTTGAAAAAAAGAGGGATACAGAAGCAGTGTTTGCCTTCAAACCAATTCCATGCAAGGACTCCCTGACTTTTTGTTGGTGGCTTATAACTCACTTGGCATTACTTCACCATGTTGACCGCAATGGGAATGTAGATGAAAAGGTTGGTTTGTTTTTACTGCTTTCTAAATCCTCTCATAGATTTTTAAATGTTTACTTAGGCCTTGTACCATACATAGATTTTTGGCACACATGCTGAGAATGTTTGCATAGTGAGTTTATACCTTAAAAAGATACTCTCTTTTGTGATAGGGTAAAAAAAGAAGAAGAAGAATCAGGATTCCTCTCTCCTAATCCCCACCTACCTACAAGTTTGGTTTTTTTTACCCAGTCTCTCATGACATTAGTTAGTGCTCAGGATCCTTACACATACTAAGTCTAATATGGAACTGATAAAATAGTCCCACAGTATTTCCAATCTACACAGGATTGAATTAAAAATGTTTGTTTGTTTCTTTACCTCCATGCCTTCTCTTGAAGCTGTAACTTATCTCCTACACCTATTCTAACATGAGAGTATGCCTGGCATGTGATAAACATATCTCATTGAACTGAGGAGACTGTGCTACCTTTCAGCTTAAAAAAATAAATCACTGAGCTGCTGCCAATGAAATTTGGGCTGTTTACTGATTATTCTGAAAAAAGTTCCCAGCTCTCCAACTTCTGTCTCCTAACCCTAGACCTTGACAGAAAACCAACCTTTTGGGAGGCCAGGTGGGCACATTTTGAAACCTGAGAAACTTTCATAGAAAACAGCTGGTTGGTTCAAGGTGGGTTTTCTTTTATTTTTTTAGGAAGGTGGAGTGTAAGGTTTTATAAATTAGATTCCTGTAGCTCTGGGAGAAGATATGCAATATGGTACAAGTGACGAGTTGGAAGAGATGGAATTTAAATAGGAAAGTTTTTCTGTCAATAAGAAAGTATGAAGCCTTTTTTAAAACTTAAAGAAGAGAACATATAGATCATATGTATCTTTCCTCAGCTACAAAATAGTCCACATTATCGTATCCTTAAAGGCTACATTCATAAATGTTTAAAACCAAATAGAATAGTAATATTACCACTTTTGAACATTGCAGGGGTCAATTTTAACGCTGCTCTGGGCTATTGAAATAGAGTCAGAATGACTTCAAGCTAAACATTCTTGCCTTTGAATTGTCTAAAATGACTACTTTGTAAGATATGCAAAGAGTGGTTTCCAGCTGAGCAGCTTAGCAGCTCAACAGGTGAGCCAGAAGAAGAAACTAGTTTTCTCCTGACATTGTTAAAAAGAAATACTACCCATATACTTAAAAGTTGTAGTCCAAGTTATGATTCTTTTACTAAACATGACAGAAGAATACAAAATGATCTTCCAAGCCCCTGGCTCCAGACCATACATGTGCTGTTTTGCACAAATAATAGTATAAATCTTTTTCTTAGACTGCAATGCTGTATGTAGTGTGAGAGTGGGGTGTTCTGGAATTGCTTGCATAACTTTTTTGTGTTTCAAAAGGCAAGGCTTCTTTTATCAAAAGGAGCAAGCTGAAAGTAGGATATGGCAAACTGTTGACAATAATTTTCCATATGTCTTTGGTCTATTGGCTCAGAATTGTTTAATAAAGAACTTGTGAACTGCTTCATTGTCCTTGATTCGGGTGCCGGAAAGCTTTTCTTCACTCTTCGTAGACCATTACAGCTTATTATAGTGGTACCTTGGTTTACAAACTTAATCCGTTCCGGAAGTCCGTTCTTAAACCGAAACGATTCTTAAACCGAGGTGCGCTTTCCCTAATGAGGCCTCCCGTCACCTGTGCCCTTCAACCGTTCAGATTCCATTCTTAGACTGAGGTAAAGTTCACAAACCGGGACACTACTTGCGGTTTTGCGGAGTTCGTTAACCGAATATTTCTTAAACTGGACTGTTCTTAAACTGAGGTATCACTATATACATTAAACAGGGGAAGTCTTGTAACAATGTTACCCACTCCCATGAAATTACTTGTGCTTAAGGATGGCTAGAACTAACTAATGGAACCAAATTTCATATGTTGGTTGTGGTGTTGTAGAAAGATTTGATAGCTATGATGCACATTAACAAGTTGCAGCTGCTCTTGTCAGTGCCAGATTTACGTATAAGCTAAACAGGCTATAGCTTAGGGCCCCACTCTCTTGGGGGCCCCTAAAAAATTTAAAGGGGGGAAAAACTGGATGTACATTTCCAAAATATAAGATAAAAAACAAATAAAATAAAACCTACGTACAGCAACAGTGTTTTGTGTTGCGTAGGCTCCTATTTGTTATGTGCAAATGGCTTTAGGTACCTATTAGGTCCATAAATTACCATATAGCATATATTCAACATAAAAAACAGCGACAATTTGTTGTTGACAAAGGACAGCTGGACATATAAAGTACCCCATTACCTTCAGTAGCTTAGGGCCTCATCAAACCTAAATCTGGCCCTGCTCTTGATACTTCAGTGGTAGTGCAGTAGGCATGTATTCTGGATTTTAAAAATTAAGAGTAAAAAACTGCAGTGTCCGTCTAAGAAAAACAGGTACTTTTGCTATGTGTAATGAGTACTTTTTCTGGCCTATCCATACTACCGTAAAATACATTTGTTCTCTATGAAGACAATAAATGTTTTGCCTATTAATCAAACTTAGTGGAGAAAAATGAGTGTTCTACACGCCCATTTGTAGCAATAATTAAAATAAGGTAAATATCACTTAGCTTGCCATGCATAGCTCACTTAGTATTTGCTTGCCAAAACCAGATATTTATCATTCAATATGGTTTTTCATCTAGAAACCAATAGACTCTAACTGGTCCTTTGTGGAAGATCTATTGAAGCAGTCCATCAATAGTCAAGTAAGTATGTTAAGAATCACAGGCAAGTTTGATTGGGCTGATTTGGGGACAGAATGTGAAAATGATTTTATTCACCACGTTGCTTTCAGAAATCTGGCTTCTTTAACTCAGGAGTACGAACAACCTTGATGATCTGTGTGAGCTAGGCTGCTGTGTAGTTTCCTTCTTGTTAGTGGTCATACTCCTGAGTGCTTGTGTTTTGAAGATAAATTGTCAGATAGGGTGGGGGGGCTGGGGAGAGATAATTATCCTGGACGTATTACTTGGTCCCTTTGACAAGATGTATTCCGAATAAGAACAGGATGCTTAGAAAATGTAAGCTGTATGCTGAATCTGAGGGTATCAGGTTGAGAGACGTGATGGGAGAGATAGTCTATTGCATTGAAAATTCAGCTATATCCTCATCACAGCAGGAAGGTGACTTGCCTTGCTGAGCAATTTGTCTTACAGGCTTGAATCAAACTCTTACTGATAAGGTTGTAGCTTCTGAGCACTCACTTCATACCTTATCATTTTTCTTTCTACAGAGCTGTTAATGCAGTACTTTGTGGCCCAGAGGTCAAAACTGACCTCCTTTTTAGAGTGCTTTTAAATATGCTGTACATGTTAACACGTTCTCTGTAAAATGTGTTTTTAGGTTGCGTGGCACAAATTGTAATTTATGTAACATCAGCTATTACAAGAATTTCTTTAATTTGTTTGTATATTTATTGCATTTATGAGGTGTCACATAAAATTTACTGGGTGTCCTATAAAGATATGTAGCAGAGGATAGGAGGCCAAGTAACGGCTTTTCTTTTGGCTTTGTCTAGTCAAGAGCTACATTTAACACTACGATGGTGTTTTGTGATGGGAATGAGCCTTGAACTTCCATGTTCTCTCCCTCTTTCTTCCCCTCTACTTCTGGCGCAGCAGTGAAGAGATCAGAAACTTTCAATCAACCACAGTTTAGGGTTCCATCCAAACACTAAACTGTGGTTAATCTCACCTATGGTTTGTTTAAAACACAACTAATTCATAATTTGTGGTTTAAAGCTGACTTGTTTCAAATAAGACATGTTTAAAATTAGATGTGCAGTGGTACCTCGGGTTAAGAACTTAATTCGTTCTGGAGGTCTGTTCTTAACCTGAAACTGTTCTTAACCTGAGGTACCACTTTAGCTAATGGGGCCTGCTGCTGCACCACCGGAGCACAATTTCTGTTCTCATCATGAAGCAAAGTTCTTAACCCGAGGTAATATTTCTGGGTTAGTGGAGTCTGTAACCTGAAGTGTCTGTAACTTGAAGTCTCTGTAACCCGAGGTACCAATGTAGTCTGATGGCTTCAAGTGGCCACATTTAATTTAAAAAAACATAGTGAAAGTTTGCAACTGCTCTCTGTAGCTGCTCTTCCGGAGGAGGGAATATGTGAGCCCAAAGGCTTAGTGGGCTCATTTCCATGGTTTCTTATATTGTCTTGACAGAGCCAAAATGTTAGCATGTTATGATACTGCATTATCATAAATTTAGTATATCATCTAGATTTTTTACAGTGCATGTCTACACAAAAGTAAACCCCATTGACTTCAATTGGACTCACTACATTTTAAATGTTTATAGGACTACAGCTTTAATTATATATATATATATATATATATATATATAATTGCAGCAGCTTACAGAGTAATATTAAAGCTGTAGTCCTATAAACATTTAAAATGTAGTGAGTCCAAATTGAAATTATATTATATACATCTGTGTGTATGTGAATGAATAGGTTTTAGACGATTTAGGCAGTTTATTACTGCACTTGCAACAGTTGTTGGGGTTTTTTTTTTTTTAAAAAAATACGCCACTATTATAATTTGTTTTTAAGCCTAAACAGAGTGTTTGTTATAAGAACAATGTAGGGCGTAACTGGTTGCTGGAGTTATGGGAAGTGTTTTGTAGAAATTAGATCCTTTACAAGACTGTTTTTGAGAAAGCTGTTTTCCACCTCTGGCTTAACTATGCAATCAGATGATTTATCATGTGATGGATAATAAAGAAGAGCTCCAGGTTATCCAAAACTATTTGTCCTTGTTTTATCTTGGAATAATTAATAATGTATACCAATATGTCCTGTGAAAACTGAAAACTAAAAGGTAGTCCAAAATTAATATTTTAAAATCTTACCATATACCTACTATCCCATAAAGTGCACACCTTTCCCTGATTCAGGAGTTGTCAGGAAGCCATAGCTAATTATAGCTCCCTGCAATCTGCTTTTTGTGTGTGTTGCAGGTATGGTTTGGAAAAGGCATACAGTTACCAAATGGTGGTGTAGATGGATAGCACACAAAATATTTAAATCACATTTGCTTCCACAAATGATTTTGAAGCACATAAGTCGCATTTTGGGTAGATCTGGCTGACATTCCTTCCAGGCTGCAAGTCCTTTCTATCACATTTTTTAGCCAAGCAGCTAACTTAGATGCAGGTACTATAAATGTTTAGGGAACACTTCAGCCCAGTCCAAGATGATGCAGATCTGCTACAGAAATCTGAATATATGCTCCATGAAATTAAACTTTGATTGAGGTAGACTTATTGAGGGGGCTAATTACAAATCATGTAAGAGCCAGCATGGAATAGTGGTTAGAGTGTTGGACCTAGTACCTGGGAGCTCAGGGTTCAAATCCTGCTTAGCCACAAAGCCCATTGGGTGACCATGGGCCAATCACAGACTCCCAGCCTAACCGACCTCATAGGCTTGTTGTGAGAATAAAATGGGGGAATATACACGACCATGAGCACCTCGGAGGCAAGGTAGGATACAAATGTAATAAAGAAATGTCATATAGCATGCAGCGAAGCAAGCTGAGCATCAGAGAAGAGAGTTTCCTCATCTACCTTTTCCTTGTCACTAGATATTGTGACTTTAGTGTGTGGATTCCTTGCAGACTGCTGTCCAGTCAGATGTAGATGTGAGCAAAACCTATCCACCATTCCCTTCCGAAAGGAAAATGTGTGGGGCTCAGTAGGGTGCTGACCCATCTCAAAAAGCCACTGTAGGTCATAGTCATATTCTGAGTAACTGAAATTATTACAGTTACGAATGGGATCCGTTCCGGAGGCCCGGCCGCATCCTGAAAACTTTGTAACTGGAGGCACCCTTCTGCGCATGCACGCGGCACGATTGAGTGCTTCTGCGCATGCGTGCGCGGCGAAACCCAGAAGTGTATACCCAAAGTTCGCAACCCAAAGTTTACTTATCCAGAGGGATACGTAAGCAGAGGTGCGACTGTACAGTCTTTGGGCAAGGATTTTTTTCTAAAAAGATAACATCCTTGCTTAATGATTTAGAATGCATGATTTGTATTTTTCAATCAGTTAGGCCTAGCTATCTTGAGTTCGTTTACACCATAGGGCTATATAAAAGCTGGCTCCCATGGTTCCTCTTCATTATAATGTCACATCAAGGAATGGAATCCAGGGAGAAATATGCAAGTGGATAATGGGTGGGACTACACTGATCTGAGTCAGTTCTCGCTTGCTTGTCTTGGAACAAAGTGGCTGTAATCTGAACACAGTTGAGGGGTGAAACAAGGATAATTCTGCGGTAGCATCATGCAGTCTTGACCTCAGAAATGAATGCAGATCGGCCAATTCCAATATAGTTTATAGAAAATTAGATTTAATTCTCTAGGCTTTAAGATGTTACATTCCTGGCCCACATGGGCATATGCATAAATGCCACATGTCACAAAGTGCTAATTACCAATATTATCTCAACAGAATCTTTGCAAGCTGAATGGGCCAGGATCAGTCTGCTATTCAGAGGCCAGAATGTTCTTAGAACAAATGTTTTTCTATTGTGTCCAGTGGGTCTTAGCCATTAGAAAGTGGTCTTGACACAATTCAGTATATAAACTTCTGTTTGGAATTTACCTAGAGGTGGCCTCCTTATCTGGTAATTACGCTCCAAATTATCTTTCATAGCCCCTGGCTTTATAGCTATATGATTCTAATGCATAAAAATGTAGGTAGAGTTTCAGTAGATGACAATGCTGGTACTTGTCAGATTTTATTTTCTAGATCGCTGCTCATATTAATAGATTGGCTTGCTTCTAAACTAGAAATAACATTTGGGGAGGCGAGGGGGATATTCTCAGAATCCGAGGGCTTTATATTTGATTGTGACCAAGGTTGTTTTTACTATTAAAAGAAGAAGAAGCTTGCTAAATAAAACAAAATTGCATTTGAATGTCTTTGTTTGCTAGACTGGAATATTAGAGGAACAGTTACGAACGCATCTTCAGTGCTGTTTGACATTGAGTCGTATCTGGGATATGAACATCTCAGCCATCACCATACTCTGGGAACATTATAGCAAGAATCTGGTTAGTAAATAATGTCCAAGAAAGCTGTAAGTGGGCTCCCGTCACCTTGAGAAAGTTGTTATCTAGTCAAGTCTGCTTAGCAGTGGAAATGCTTATGGCCTCATTCCCCCTGCCAAAAAAACCCCTCTACAGTTTCATTCGTTTACAGTTTCCATCCCACTTCTTTCAAAAGGGTCTGAGTAGTTTCCCAATATCTACATTCTTTTTTAGAGGGAGGGGGAAAGATATGGAAGGGGAAAGAGAGCAACACCCTCCTAACTGGGAATCATTCTCTGATGTGAGGCTAGATTGCTCTTCCCCTTTGCCTCTGCTTCCACAGTTGTTTGCAGAATTCCTCCAGAAAGGGAGGGGGAAATGGGATCCCATCAGTTGTGATCTTCTAACCAAATAGATACAACCAAGCAATTCTTTCCCTTTTAAGCGTTCTTGCAGGCTGGGAAGCAGCCTTCTGTTAGCCCCTTTTCATTCTATAGTGTTTCCTCCTTTACATCTGCAGTCACTGGACCTTTTAGTTTCACTCGGCAGCAGCTGCATTTCCACATGGTGATATAAGAGCCTGGAATGGAGCAGTCTTGTGTAGTGATGGCAATAAAGTCTTGTGCCAAGGAAGGGCATAGCTCAGCTGTAGCTTCAGTATACTGTATTTTCTTTCTTTCTTTCAGAACAGTCACTTTACTATTCCTTGGTTTGGTCTCAAAGGTCTTGCAAATATTAGTAAAACACCCATGTCTATGTATGAGTCGGTGAAGAGGTGTTGTGGCGACATACATACTCCTGACATGTATACCACCAGCAATAGTTACCAATTTTTTCTTCACATTTTGGTGCAAGTAATGAAGAAGGCAGCGAAGACCAATGGCACTAATCCATGGAAGCAGATCAAAGGAAGGTACAGTGGCTTTTGCATGTCCTGCATGTCCCCACATGTTGATACTTTCGGTGATTGACTAAATTTGTTTTATGTAAGAAGCTGTGCATCTGTAGTGTCAGTATTCATGAATTCTGAAATATTCCCGAAATATTCATAAAAAATATTTTTAAAAATTTGATTTGGGGGGGGACGGACCTTAAAGGTGTTTACAAAAACAATGAAGTTACCATTTAAAAAATGCAACAATAATCTAAAATATACAGAAATTTAAAACCGAAATAAATTAGACTAAAAACAATTAAAACTTACATGAAGCTTATAAATGTCTTGGCGTTTTTTATTACATCTGGACATTTTTGGATAAAAGGATAGTGGGTGGGGAAATGACAAGATGAGCCCTGCTGGATCAGGCCAATGGCCTATCTAGTCCATCATCATCCTCTCACAGTGGCCAACCAGATGCCTATGGGAAGCCCACAAGCAGGACCTGAGTGCAATGACACTCTCCTCCCGTTTGATTCTCAGGAACTGATCTTCAGAGGCGCTCCACCTGAGTGGAGGAGGAGCATAGCCATCACAGCAAGAGCCGCCAATCACTAGCTGGAGCCTGTGCCCCACCCCTGCAGTAGAGTTCTTCTCAATATTTCAGTGTGCATGGACAAAAACCTCCTATACAGTGGTACCTCGGGTTAAGTCCTTAATTCGTTCCGGAGGTCCGTTCTTAACTTGAAACTGTTCTTAACCTGAAGCACCACTTTAGCTAAAGGGGCCTCCTGCTGCTGTCGCGCCGCCAGAGCACGATTTCTGTTCTCACCCTGAAGCAAAGTTCTTAACCTGAAGCACTATTTCTGGGTTAGCAGAGTCTGTAACCTGAAGCGTATGCAACCTGAGGTACCACTGTACTGTCAAATCTAAATGAGCCTTCAGGTGTTTTTGACAGCAACTCCTGTCATTCCTTACCAATGGATGTTCTAATTTGGGCTGAAGATAGCCCAGCAACATCCGGTGCATAAGAGTGTCTTAAGTAATATAGAGTAGACCCATTTAGAACTAATTCAGCCGCATATCTAGAGGTGGTGCATTACAACATGTACAATCATTATTTACAGTGGGAAGCTTTTCTGCACTGTCGTATTCAGACCTAGCTGCCCTGTTCTGGTCTTTCAGCTACAGTGGTACCTCTGGTTACGTACTGAATTCGTTCCGGTGGTCCGTTCTTTACCTGAAACTTTTCTTAACCTGAGGTACCACTTTAGCTAATGGGGCCTCCTGCTTCCGCCGCACCGCTGGTGCACGATTTCTGTTCTCATCCTGAGATAAAGTACTTAACCCGAGGTACTACTTCCGGTTTAGCAGAGTCTGTAACCCAAAGTATTTGTAACCTGAGGTGTTTGTAACCCAAAGTACCACTGTATTTGTCCTCTGAATAGCAGTAGTCTCTGTGGTACTAGATGAGAGATGGCTAGAACAGCTGGCAGAAAATATTGTCGAATCCATTCTTCTTGAGGTGTTTGCAGTTCATGTTAGCACAGTCCACCTCCCAGTTTTTTCATCTGGAGTACTCTGGTTCCAGACAAACTGATAGTTGAGGATAGGCCCACAACTCACCTTGAGCAGAAAGAAATTCAGCAAGGTCATTTACCATTACGGCAGTTCTTTGGAAGGCAGGTTAATGGAGCTTATTGAAGCAAAGGATAAATACAAAAAAAGGTTTTAAGGAAAGTGTCTTTGTGCTTTTTTTGCAGAATTTATTCCAAATTCCACCAGAAAAGAATGCGAGAACTGACAGAGGTGGGCCTGCAGAACTTTTTCCATCTTTTCCTCGTTCTGGCAGCTATAGCAGAGACAGAGGACGTTGCCAGCCGCGTGATGGAACTTCTGCATTTCCTTAGTCCAGTTTCTACGAGCCTTTCTCTGAGAGCTTTGATCTGGAAGGGCTACTTTGCCTTCATGTTAACGTATGTTGAAAGGAACATGGATATCAGTGTGCTAGCTGAGGAAGTCTCGAATGACTTCCACAAAAAGGCAAAGGAATTCTTAGTTGCCAGAAATGACCCCTTGCAGAAACAAAACCTCTGGGTGCTGCTTTCCACTTACGTTGATGGCGTCCAAGAAGTTTTTGAGACCAGCTGCCACTTGCACCTTTCCGAAGAAAAGCTGCTGAATGATGGCTTTAGTATGCTGCTGCCGGGTTGCCGAGGAGCTGAACTTGCAAGAGTCTTTAGCTTCTTGCAAGATGTTCTGTTCAGACTGAGGTAAGAGTTTTTTCATTCGTATTTTCTGAGGGTTTTTTCCTGCTTCAAACTTCTTTTATCAGATTTCTCGCACACTGACTTTCATACACCTACCGTGTAATACGTGTAATTTATAATTGATTCATTTTAAATAATTTTATCCCACTTTGCAGCATAAAAGTTTTGGATGGCAAAGAACAACAATGATAAATTCATTATAACTTAAATTAATCAGAGGGCTGAGATATGTAAGCAGAAGGCATGGATTCTTTAAATTATGAATTAGCGTGATGAAGATGTTGGATCCATTTTGGTACAAACTTACCATATTCATCCAAAGAAACATAGAGGCTAAAAGGTGTAAGCCACAAAACTGAAAACAGCTTACCAGTGTGATAAGTCTCCTGTTTGATGCCTGACTTGGACTACACAACAATAGTGTTTCAAGTATCTGGCCACCATATGGAATGAGTGTATTGCATTCACCTTGGTGGGTTTTGAGAATTTAAATGGAAGAATGCAAGAGATGTTAAGGGCTGATGAACAAATGTTGATCACTTCTTGATGGCAGTATTAAGTGATGACTTGCGTCAGGGGTAGCTGTTCTGCCCCACATAGTATGGTCAGTGGTCAGGGATGATAGGAACTTTGGTCCAGCAATAACTGGAGAAAACCATATTGCTTACCCTTGACAGTCACTGTTCACAGATAGACAGCATCGTATTCCTTTTTAATGGATTTGAATCTCACTTGTATGGCAAGTCAGTAAATGAACGATATGTATGAACGAGTACAGCAGCTTTGTATTTCATCAGGGTTGCAAAGCAGGGACATAGCGCTCTGCTTTGCTATCCTATAGGCTTGCATACTGGCCATGAAAGAAGTGGCTTCACTTCCTTTGTGATCAATATGGAAGCTGACTGGAATGGTGAAGTGGGGCAGAGCGCTCTGCTTCACTGGCATGCAGCCGACTGGACTGGTGAAGCAGCTCTTCTGTCTCTTTTGAGCAGTAGCAATAACTGTATTGCCTCCACTGTCTTGTGCAGGAAGCAGGTCAAATTGCTCTCCTGCCTCCTTGAGCAAGCTACTTGGCTTGTGGGATTCCGTGGATCCTGGTGCAGCTTGAAAATAATAGAAGCGGTTTGACAATTGCATGTTTACAGAGGCAAGGGTGGGAAGGAACACAGTGCCTTAATGCTGAGCTAATAAATGTGGTGCCCTCCAGATGTTGCTGGAATGCCGCTCCTAGCATCCCTAGCCATTGGCTATGCTGCCTGGGACTGATGGGAATTTGATTCCAGCAACAACTGGAGGGCAACACATTGGCTATCCCTGGCTTATTGAAATGTTGTAAGCTGTTGGCATTCTCATTTGCTTCTGAACTTATACGTAATTGTATATTCATCATTTCTGTTGTAGATCTGGCGCGCACGCGCGCGCACACACACACACACACACACACACTCTTTTTATATATTACACATACCTGTTTGTAGAGCTTTTGCAATATTTCACCTAGCCCCAAAGTTCCTGCTTAGATAAAAATGACATAAAACAGGAGAATGGCATGGTGACTAGTAAAAATTGGAAGGATAGTGTCTCATCACTAATCAGTTTTGCCTTGATTTATTGATACAGTTTACAACCTCCAAACTGTCCTTTCCGCAATAAACATATTTCTGCCCACTAATTCACATTGGAGGCAGCTCTTCAATTTGAAGGGGGGAAAGCTGCCTTGGGGAGGTCAGAAGACATCTTCCCTTGCCGTTCTGCCACAAGCCCTAATGAGGCAGTTATTGATTGGTCACTGTAGAAATCTGAGGATTTGTGGGGGAGGAGCGCTAGAAAATATGCATTATGAACAGTGGGAAGAAACTGACCTGCATGTTTACCTTAAGTACTTTGTTACTGTCTGGATAGTTTGACTTCTGCTGTCACTAGCTTGTAAATCCAAGGACAACTGATTATTTTTTTTTCCAGGCTGTCTTTGAACAAAGATAAAGTGTTTGACAAAGGGTAGGTGATTTATTAGGAGGGTCTTTGTAAATTGGTTTAACTTGGTTTTTAAAAAGTGCAGACTATCCAGATGCAGAAGACACACTCTGGAACTGTACAAAAGCATTGCACATGCTACCTTGGAAAAGGTCCTTCAGTCTTGAATGGCCTGCATAGTCCAACAGAGATGTATTTTTGATGTTCAAATAACATGAAATTCTTAATTTGAAAAAGCCTTAAATGGTGTATGAATTAATGATAGCTGTGAAGGTCTGATTCCAACTGCATGCTTTTTCACTACCTGATTGGAAAGCTCCTTCCTAGCTGATTGCTGTCAACAGGACCAGCCCTAATGTTAGGCAAAGTGAGACCTCAAGTAGCAAATGCTGGAAGATAGGGAGCAACAGTAAGGTAGGGGGGACAGAATCATTTATATTATTTAAAAGCATTTCTAACCTTCCCAGCTCACAAGAGCCTGGAGGTAGAGCGCAATAAAACAAGGCAAAGATATAGCATATCAGCAACACAGCATATAAACAAAAAACAAAGCAGGAAATGAACAAACCAGAACGGCATGCAACAAATCCGCATAATTACTGAATGCCTGAGTAAGCAAATACATTCTCAGCTGGTGGCAAAAGCTCACCAGTGATGACACCAACTGAATCTCAGAAGAGAGGAACTTTCACAAACATGGTGCAATGGCAAAGGAGGTCCTTTCTCTGGATACAGATGCCATGTCCATTTGGAGGAACTAATAGGGTCTCACTTGTAGTAGGGTCAGTTTGGGAGAAGGAGATGTGCCTTGAATCTCGCCAAGTTAGTAGTAAGCTGGTAGCCACTGCAGCTGCTTCAGGACAGGTGCTTCAAGACAGGCTGTCCCAATAGACATGTGCTGACATGGCAGGAATCTTCTCTTTCTCACCTGCCCCCTTTCCCAGTAGTGAGGAACACCGCTACAGGAAAGCATCTCCAGTGCCACTTGGTGATTTTGTGAAGGGGTCCTTAAGATTTCTGTGGCTCATTTGTGGATGAGATGAGTAGATAAAATTAGATTGTACTTAAGGTCAACCAAACCTTCCTTTCATGTGCTGTGCTCAGCCATCAGTAGCATATCAATAAGCATTTGGGTGGCTTGTGAAAGATTTCTCCTCCCTGGAGTTTCACCAGAGACTAAGTCAGGTTTGGGTGATAGCCATCTATAGTCATACTTTGCGTAGACGACTGAAAGCAAATATGGGTGTTACTTGGTTAGATACCACCCTTTATGTTTGTGCTGGTAGTTGGTAGCCAGAGGGTTTATTCTAATTGGCTTCAAATTCATATCTCTATTTTTATTTCTCTGCTTTTCAGTATGTTACCCTTCCCAAATCATGAAGGGCTTAATATTTCTTAATAAAATTAATACTTCTTGCAACTTGAAAACGAACATGATGGTATAACTGTTTACTGATCCCAGTAAATGAATACAATATGCAGTATTTTGACAAAAGATTTGAGGCAAATCCATAAACCTGTTATATTATTGGCTGCGCTTGTGCTAATGTATGCATGTATGGTGGGTTTTTTAAAATGATTTTAGGTTGTTTTACTTCGGTGCTATTTTTAATATGGTTTCAAATTTTTTAAATATCTATAACTGATTGGTGTGGGGTTTTTTAGTTTATCTGTTATTTATTCATTTTATAAACTGCCTTGGGTTCCACATTGAGAGAAAGGCAGAATGTGTTTGCGTGTGCGTGTGTACATATACAAACCATATAATAATATTTATTTCCCAATTGTGTAAAAGCAAAATGCACATAGCAATATTGTAGCCCAGTGTGGAGAATGTTGATTTAAAGCAGAGCCTGTCGTGCCCAGCGGAAGGATGAGTAATACGTGCTACATACTCTATATTGCTTTATTTACAGTTCAAAGCTGGTATATTACAGAAAGACATCTTGCCCTGCCGGAGCAGAAAAATGCATCCTCTCTCCTCGACAGCTCGGAGAGAATCACACAGAGTGAAAAACAGGAAACCAGTGTACGTCACATCCAGTCTCCCTTTCCCGTGAGAAACTCCAACAGTACAGACTGTGGAATGTAAAACATGTCTTGTGACTGCAGTTGCTGCTCAGTGAAGGAAATAGAAACCAACATCCTCCCCTTTCTGTGAACATCACTGGGCAGCGTGTTTGCACAATATCAGTACAAACCCAACTTCTGCACATAGGTACAGTGTTGATCCCTTGATACAATCTTGGACAATACATCAGCAGGAATTTCATTACCTGGCATATAGGACACCGTTACGAGTCCCTTCTGAATACATTCCCTAGCATGCTGCAACTTTAATTGCAAGTGCTTTGTGCTTTGCTTACAACCTTCAGACTTCAGCAAAGCCAAACATGCTTTGTTGTCCTGGTAAACCTGGATTGGACATTTGACAGGAATTTTCATATCTTTGCACAATTGTAACTAACCATTCACAAACCTTAAGTGAATAAGACAGTGCATTCAGTTCAGCTTCACAAGTACTTAAGCTAACTGTTGTTTGCTTCTTGCATGACCAATCAAACAGACTCTGATTGTACATATAGCAAACTCCAGACGTACTTTTCCTGTCTGTAGCGTCACTTCCAAAACTTGCATCTGCAAATATCTCAAGACCACCAGACTTCTGATTGTTAAATCTCAGTCTGTAATGCATAGTGCCTTTCAAATACCGCGCTATGCGTTTCAGAGCTTTCCAATCCTTGACACTAGGATTGTTGACTTGTCTGCTTAGCAAATTACAGCTAACAGCAATGTCTGGTCTTGAACATCTGGCAATGAAGTTTAGCTTGCCTAGCACACTCCTGTACAGTGTAGTGTCAGAAAATGCTTCTTCAGTGTCATCTACCTGATAACCTGTTGTCATCGGTGTGTCTACAGGGTTAGCATCCATCAGATTTAGTTTGCTTAACACATCAGCAATTTTCCGTGACTGGTGTACTAGAATGTTACCATCTTGATCTCTCTCTATTTCCAGAGATAGGTAGTTGTTTACCTCACCAAGATCTTTCATGTCAAAGTGCTCTTTCAGTTGAGCTAGGCGCTATTGTACATTGCAACATCTTTCCAAAAGAATAATAAATCATCAACATAAAACAAACAGTACAGTTTCTTTTGCCCCTCCTCTTTGACAAATACACATGGATCAGCTTTCCCTTGCTGAAAACCTAGAGAAAACAATACTTCAGTGAGTTTTGTGTGCCAACACCGTGCACTTTGTTTGAGACCATAAAGGGATTTCTTCAGAGCACAAACAAATCCCTGTTTTACCTGTACGCCATCAGGTGGAAGCATATAAAGTGATTCATCTAGAGATCCGTACAGAAAAGCTGTATTAATATCATGGTGACTAATGTGTAGATTTTCCTCTGCAGCTAGCTTGAGCATAAGCCTAATGCTTTCATATCTCACTGTGGGTGAATAGGTCTCGTGATAGTCTTCACCTGGTACCTGTGCAAAACCTCTGGCTACCAATCTGGCTTTGTGTCTGACTATCTTGCCATTTTGATCTGTCTTCGCTTTGAAGACCCATTTGCTTCCAAGCAGTTTCATTCCTGGAACTACTGGAACTAGCTCCCATGTTTTGTTCCTTTCTAAGGAATCAAGCTCAGCCTTCATGGCATTTAACCATGGCTCAGCTTCCTTTGAATCCAAACCCTGGATTTCTTGGAAACTTGAAGGTTCAAATACCTTCTTGGAGCTTTTAACAGCTGTTACTGCTATCTTAGCAAACTCATCAGCAAATCTCTTTGGAGGTTTGCCTTTGTGGCTCTCTGTGACCTACGAATTAGCCTTAAGTCTTCAACACTCTCCTCTTCCTTCTTAGGAGAAAAACGACCTATTGTGAACAATGGTTCCTCCAATTCTTGATCAGAGCTTTCAGAGGGTCGCATAGAGGCTTTCGCACTCTTGAAATCCTCTGAATCACCCGATTCAGTTTCAGATTCAGACTCAGAACCTTCATCAGTGGGTGTGGGCTGTTGTGGTTGCTTTTGACTATCCTCAGTCTCATCACCGTCATCAGGATAACATTGGAAAATTCCCACATTCTCCCCCACTTTGCATTGTACTCAACACTTCTCGTGAGCTTAATTGTCTTAGAGTCAGTCATCATTATTCTGTAAGACCCTTTCTGATAACCTAGAAAGATACCATGCAATCCACGCTTGTCTAACTTGGAGTTTTGTGGTGAGCGAACCCACATGTCAGAACCAAAATCTTCATGTGTTTGATGTATGGCTTCTTGCCAAACATCTTCTCATAGGGGGGTACAACCAATCGCTGAAGATAATCTGCGATTGTAACTGTAAACAAAACACGAGAGAGATTCGGCCCAATAACTCTCTGGAAGATTGGCATCATGCAGCAAGGTTTTTAACCCTTGAAGCAATGTCTGATTTGCCTGCTCCGCAAGTCCATTCTGCCATGGCGAGCGAGGACTAGACAAATCGTGTTGAATTCCTTTCTCAGTCAGAAAAGCTTCAAACTGCTGAGAAGTGAATTCCCCCGCGATCACTGAAAAGAGTCTTTATCTTCTTACCATGCACATTTTCCAACCAAGCACAGAATTCCTTGAACCTAGGAAAAGCCTCCGATTTCTGCTTGAGATTGTACACAAAAATATATCTAGAAAATGCATCAATGAGAACCATGAAGTATCTATTTCCACCCAAAGAGGGCGCTAATGGTCCAACCAAATCAGCATGAACAACCTGGTATGGTTCTGTAGCTTTCCTACTAGACACCTTACCTTTCGCAGCCATTTTCACCTTGTTTGCTGCGCATGCTTTGCACTTCATGTGGTACCTGCAGGGTTTAATAGTCATACCTTCAACCAAGGCAGGCATTTTAGATACTGCCTCAAAATGCAAATGACCAAATTTTCGATGAAAATCGTGAATACATTCTGCATGCAAACTTTGTTAGAACCTGCAATGCAACAAGTGTCATCCTGCACCACATCATCATAATACAAAACAAACAAACGATCAACATATTCTGCATGCAATACATAATCATTTTTCTTTGTGATGATGCACTTCTTGTTCTTGAAGGAAACGTCAATGTTCCGCTCATTCAGCTGTCCAACGCTGAGCAGATTATGTTTGGCGTCTGGCACGTAAAGCACATTCTGTATCGATAAGTCCAAACTGTGAAGAACAACAGTTCCGTAGCCTTTACTGGGAATAGTGTGGTCATCCGCCTGGTGAATCGCACCTTCCTGCGGTGTAAAAGACACAAACAGTTTCTTATCGTTGCACATGTGGTGGGTGGCCGCTGAATCAACAACGAAGAAAGATCTAGACGTCTTCTGGACCTCTGCAACCTTTGGAGTGAAGCGTGAAACCATAGCCTTGTGCTGCGTTGTCCTAGACACCGGACCTTTGCCTTTGCCTCGGCCTTTCCGCGCGATGAGCTTCGCTGCGCTGCTCTGTCTTGGCCCTGGGATGTCTGCATTCCCTCTTCATATGGCCTAGACGTCCACACGAGTAGCATTTGACTGCCTTCAAAGCTTTGGCGCCATCTGGTGGTTCCACTGCACTATGGGATGACGTCTGTGAAGACTCCCCTTGCCCATGCAGCTAGCACCCCGGCGATCTGCTTCATTTAAAATCACGGCAGTAACAAAGTCCACTGTCAGCTGAGCAGTTGGTTGCACAGCAATCTGGGTTGCAACAGACTCCCAACCTGAACCCAAAGATTGTAGTATCATGAAAGAATACACAGCCTCTGGAAAGTTGAGTCCTCTCTGTTGCAGCTCATGTCTCAGATTTTGCATCTTCATCAGATGTAAACGCACATCTCCACCTTCAGCAAGAGCCATATTATGCAGCTTGTTAAAATAATACATAGTGGATCCAGCTTCTGTCCTTAAGTGAGCCTCTCTCAGAGCGTCCCAAATTTCTCTGGCTGAGGTCTTATCACGCAATAGACAGAGCTCTTCTGGGGATACTATCAATGTAAGAGTTCGCCTTGCTGTGGAATCCTGAGCTTCCCATGCAACTGGATCTGGATCTGGGGGGGTTCCTGTAATCACCTCAAACAAACCCTCTTTCCGCAGAATTGCCTCTGCATACTGAACCCAGTCGCTGTAATTTTTCTTGTTGAGCTTAGGAATCCCACAAGCATCCTGAAGGGCCATCATGACTCTGGCATTAGCCTTCAGCGTCATGTGCTGCTATTAAATCTTGCTGCGTCACTGCTGCAGCTGCTTTATTCCAAAGGCACACTTAAAAGTTACTTTCGATTTCCCCAGCATAGTGACTTGTGCCTGGGAGCCTTTTGCCTATTCCCGGCAAAACCGGCTTTAAAAGTTCAAAGTCCAGCCATAAAGCCATTAACTTGAAGCTGGCAGGCTGCCCGGAGCAGTAGCACATACCTCATCAATCACTTCTACGCGCAGAGCAGATTCCTTTCCGATCCGTCCCTCTGCATTCCGATCCTTTGCCGGCACTCCGATTCGACCTCTGGAGTCCATAACCACGTGTTGATTTAAAGCAGAGCCTGTCGTGCCCAGCGGAAGGATGAGTAATACGTGCTACATACTCTATATTGCTTTATTTACAGTTCAAAGCTGGTATATTACAGAAAGACATCTTGCCTCTGCCGGAGCAGAAAATGCATCCTCTCTCCTCGACAGCTCGGAGAGAATCACACAAGTGAAAAACAGGAAACCAGTGTACGTCACATCCAGTCTCCCTTTCCCGTGAGAAACTCCAACAGTACAGACTGTGGAATGTAAAACAATGTCTTGTGACTGCAGTTGCTGCTCAGTGAGGGAAATAGAAACCAACACATTGAGAGAAAGGCAGAATGTGTTTGCGTGTGCGTGTGTACATATACAAACCATATAATAATATTTATTTCCCAATTGTGTAAAAGCAAAATGCACATAGCAATATTGTAGCCCAGTGTGGAGAATCTGTAGCTTATTCTTTGTGGGTCTGCCAAGAATAGGGTTATAGAGCAATACCCTTGGCCAGATTAATAACATGCATTCTTGGCTGCCTCTCTGATTTGGCAAAGGAGCAAATGTCTCGCTGTAGCAATCCTTCCTGTTTTAAGATCCAGGTGGGAATAAGATATCAGCCCTTGCATAAATGTAATATTTCTGCCAACTGTACTGGGTGTAATAGTTCTAGGACTGTCAGAATGTGCAGGTAAGTAGGAAGTGAGATCACTGATTAAAGAGAGAAGCGGCTCCCTGTAGGCAGTTAGTTAATAATAACTTCATATGCCACTTTTCTGCTAACCCAAGATGATGGCTCACAGGAGCATTCCTTTATTGCTGATTAAGTAGCATTATGAAAATACTGACTTGGCTGTGTTAACTAAATGCCTTGGTATTTAAAGCTTAGAATGTCAAATAGTTGTAGCAATCCCCTTTAACACATCACATAGAGTTTCTGGAATCACATTTCAAGTCTCCCTTCTTCCTTTTATTTGAGGTGATAGTAGAAATGGCATTTTCTCCCCCATTTTGCAGAGTGAGGCATAGCCAACAGCTGTACTTTAATTATAGCCATTCATGCTGCTGTGTTAAGGGACTGTCATCCTTTCCATTATAACTCCTTTTATTTGCAAGGATTTATAACACAGCTATGAAAATTTGCTCTTGGGCTAAAACGTGATTCGTGAGGTCTTGTAAGAGTGTTCACTTTTTCCCTATTTCTTTTTTCTTAAGCAAACATTAAAAAGCTCTCACTTTGCTTGAATATAGCCTTCATGTTGAAAAGAGGAGGGGAGAGAGAGAAGAAGTGGATGCTTTCTAGAATATTCTGTTCGTTTCTCTCTGAAACAGTTTCCCATTCTGTACTTGCATCTAGTATCTAGAGCAGTAATTTTCAAATTCTGTGCTGCAAGATCATTTCTAGCATGCTCCGAGAAATAAATGAGGGTTCCTTGATCTGTCTTGATTTCAGTCTTCATCTGATGGGTAAAATTGGATGGTTTAATTACGCTCAAAGTAACAAAAGCCACAGGGTTACCTTACCTGTGAAGGAAGCGCTCCCACAATAGTGATTTACACAGGAATTCAAGGGGTATGATTTCCAACAACCTGGTTCTGACTCTTGTACACAAACAAAAACTTCTAGTGGATTTTAGAGCATAGTAGTAGTCACTATAAATTCAGAGCTAAGAGTGCCTCAGCTACCAGAGTTTAGGGCAGGGGTCAGCAAACTTTTTCAGCAGGGGGCCGGTCCGCTGTCCCTCAGACCTTGTGGGGGGCCGGACTATATTTTGTAAAAATAAATGAACGAATTCCTATGCCCCACAAATAACCCACAAATGCCTCTACTCATGTAAAAACACCAGGCAGGCCCCACAAATAACTCAGAGATGCATTTGAAATAAAAGGGCACATTCTACTCATGTAAAAACACGCTGATTCCCAGACTGTCCGTGGGCCGGATTTAGAAGACGATTGGGCCGGATCTGGCATCCGGGCCTTAGTTTGCCTACCCATGGTTTAGGGTAATACTGGCACAGAGAGAGCTCTTCTGCAAGGTACAGTTATTTGGATGGGATATTTGAAACACTGCAAATCTAAAACGGGTTCCAGCAAAAGATTTTAAAATTACTGTTGTAAAGGGAATTTTCACAGCTTGTGAACTCTGAATATGGTGTGAGAGAAGTAGGAAACAGGCATAAATCAACGATAGAACAAATGAATTGCATGCAGGGAGGTCCTAGATTAATTCCCTGAAATCTCTAGGTAGGGCTGGGAAAGACTGGTGCTTGAAACCCTGAATGTTGGGAATCACATGTGAGATACCCATGCAGCAGAAGTTGCCCCTAGTTCCAGTCTCCACACAGAAGCAGCTTAAAAGGTCTAAACTAGTTTCCTGCTGCAGAAGATAAGGCTTCAGTAATACAGTTGCAGACATTGATATCTATGGACAGTTTGTAGGCTTTTCAGATACAGATACAGATATATTTAACTACCAAGTATCTCTGTTGCTCCAGCAAGTCAAAACGTAACGCAGTCAGACTGACTTCTCAAGATTGACCCTGACACACCAAACTGACATGCCTTAATCCCTTATAGTGGTGGTTTTCAACCAGTGTTCCGTGGCACCCTGGGGTGCCTTGAATGATGGACAGGTTGCTGGCCTCTGTCCCTCTTTCCTTCCTTCCCTCCTCTGATGCCCTCTCGTGTCTCTGCCTCTCCAAGGCTTGCACAGCTGTTTATCGCAGTAGCCCTGACTATAAGCTCCACAGGTGAATGGTGCCTCTGGGAGGCACCTCTCTTTGGGGCAAGGGAGGGGGGAGCTCAAAGACCAGGGACGGCAGGAGCAGCTGCCTGGAGGACTTCTGGGGAGAGGAGAGGATGCTGAGGAAACACTCCACAAAGGAGGGTGTTCGAAGCAGAGTGAAAAGCTGCCAGCTCTTCAGGCAAGGGGTGACATAACTAGCTCCTGAGCCCCACAAAGAACGTAGTTGGTCAAGGGAGCCGTGGACTCAAGAATGTTGAAAACCTCTCACTTATAGAGACAGCACTGGGCTGTTACCATAGCAATGGATTTGACTGACCTTGCACCTGTTGGCTTAGCTCATTCATGCAATGATTTATGCTCATGAAAGCAATTGGGCCTTTTCTACAGTGGCTCCCCATTTGTGGATTGCTGTCCACAGGGAGGCTCCCCTGGCACCTTCGTTACATATCTTTAGGTACCAGGCAAAAACATTCCTATTCTCCCAGGCCTTTGGCTAATTAAATAATCTATGGCCTTTTAAACTGGATGGACGGTGTTGTTTTTGTTCATTGCTATGCTGTGCATTTTTGTAATTTTATATTGTAAACTGTATAGAAATAATAATAATAATAATAGTATCATTTGCTTCCACAGAACATGTGTATTCTTTATACATATGTTTCCGTGGCTACATTAAGAGAAATCTAGCAATATTAAAAAGGGCACTGTGAAAGGAAATAGATTGGACAAGTGCCTGTTGTAGCTGTTAAAGCCTGAAGCATATTGAATTTGCAGTATGGGAGGGCAGGAGGCATGTATAGAAAACATTGCAAAAAGCTTGACTGAGGATTAAAATTATAAAAGGTATATAGCGAAGACTTTGAACATTATATAAAGTTTATGTGGATATATTTTGGAAATGTGAAGCTTAAGATACTTTTAGGTTTGTAGGGAACAAACCCTTGATAATAGAAGGAACAGTGTCTATCAACACTCTGGACATCATTGAGCTTTCGTGCAGGTCTGCAGATTAATTTTTGTATTTTTGTGGAGCTTGTAAACTTGTAGTTTATAATGACACCCACTGAGCCTTTGGATAAAACTGAGCAGTAGGAAAATGTAGTGGTCAGAGGTGCTAATTTTCTCCTTTGGTTAGGTTTTGTGTCAGAACTTCATAGGGTCAATAGAGTTGTGAGCTGTTGTAATTTAAATACGTTGCAGACTAAAAAACAACAACAGTATTTAAGGTTTATCTGACAACATATCCCCCCTCAGCCAGAGCACCATTCCAGCAAAAATGGTTGTCTCTCTAATAGTCATTCTTCAATAGCTAGACTGTTGCTAAATCAACAAATAAGAGTGTATATTCATTATTGTTGTAGTGCACCCTGTAGTTCTTCAGACTGTGTGTGGAATTTCTACTTTGTATCTTTACTATGGAAATATATACTTGGTGGTTTTTTTGTGGGGGGTTTTTTAGGGGGAGGGGGTTGTGTTACACTTTGTCATCAGAAATGCCCTGTGGGAAGCCCTCCGAGCCCATCAGGATACTTTCTTCTTCTTCTCTTTTTATATCATTGAACAGATAAGCTGATAAAGAGAATGCAGAGAAGTGTTTTTTACTCTGGGGTTTCAATATTAGGCCTTGAACAATATATTTTTCCAATATATTCATCTTCCTGAATACTATTGTCAGGGGGGAAACGTAATAGGTCTTAGAATTGAGTTGATCTTTGCCATAAGCTAAGTCTTCCTTTAAAAAAAAAAAAAAAAAAAAGGTTCGTTTTCTCCATCTCTATAAAGATGCTTAGAGTGCTATTTGTTCACTCACAGGTCGTTGCCTCTGATTTAGGAAGATATTTATGCCATGGACCTTAGATACAGTGGCTGTTCTGGTCTTCTTTACATGGATATGAGAGGCTCTTCTTGCCACACAGTATAAGTTGACATTGACACCACAGAAATGGTAACGATAGCTGTCATGTGAGCACTGAGCACTCCCCCTGTATTCCCCCCTTTTCCGAAAGGTCTCCCAACTCTCTGAAACAGATTGATTTTTATTTTTTTTGAGGGGGTAGGAGGGTGAATCTCTTCCACAAACAGCATCGTATTCACCAGCAGATAGACACTGTTGTGTTTCACCCAGTGTTTATAAGCAAATACCATATTTTTCCGTGTGTAAGACTAGGTTTCTCCCCCAAAAAATAATGTCCAAATTTTGGGGGCGTCTTAAACACGGATAGACCTTTTCCCATTTTCTTAAATCAGAGTCCCCCAAAATAGGGGGCGTTTTATACATGGGGGCGTCTTATAAGGGGCGCAAAATAGAGTCTTAACACAGAAATAAAATAGCAGTATACAAGTTAGAGGGAATCGCCTTTCTAAAAAGGCATTCCACAGAGGTTATCAACGACTTGGATGATGGACTCAAGGGCATCCTGATCAAATTTGCAGATGACACCAAACTGGGAGGGGTGGCTAACACCCCAGAGGACAGGATCACACTTCAAAACGACCTTGACAGATTAGAGAACTGGGCCAAAACAAACAAGATGAATTTTAACAGGGAGAAATGTAAAGTATTGCACTTGGGCAAAAAAAAGAGAGGCACAAATACAAGATGGGGGGACACCTGGCTTGAGAGCAGTACATGTGAAAAGGATCTAGGAGTCTTGGTTGACCACAAACTTGACATGAGCCAACAGTGTGACGCGGCAGCTAAAAAGCCAATGCAATTCTGGGCTGCATCAATAGGAGTATAGCATCTAGATCAAGGGAAGTAATAGTGCCACTGTATTCTGCTCTGGTCAGACCTCACCTGGAGTACTGTGTCCAGTTCTGGGCACCACAGTTCAAGAAGGACACTGACAAACTGGAACGTGTCAGAGGAGGGCAACCAAAATGGTCAAAGGCCTGGAAACGATGCCTTATGAGGAACAGCTAAGGGAGCTGGGCATGTTTAGCCTGGAGAAGAGGAGGTTAAGGGGTGATATGATAGCCATGTTCAAATATATAAAAGGATGTCACATAGAGGAGGGAGAAAGGTTGTTTTCTGCTGCTCCAGAGAAGCGGACACGGAGCAATGGATCCAAACTACAAGAAAGAAGATTCCACCTAAACATTAGGAAGAACTTCCTGACAGTAAGAGCTGTTGGACAGTGGAATTTGCTGCCAAGGAGTGTGGTGGAGTCTCCTTCTTTGGAGGTCTTTAAGCAGAGGCTTGACAACCATATTTCAGGAGTGCTCTGATGGTGTTTCCTGCTTGGCAGGGGGTTGGACTCGATGGCCCTTGTGGTCTCTTCCAACTCTATGATTCTATGAGGTTCACCATATTTAGCTTTCACACTCTACTTTAGAAGCTACATTATGTTTGTGCCCGTATACCCCCCTCCCGCAAAACAAAACACGTGTTTTCTGCTTAGCCAAAAAAAAAATTAAATGAACAACTTTATTTTGATTTAAATAAAAACTTTATTTTAGATGCTGCTTTATTTTAACTCTATTATTCAAAACGTTTTACAGCATTTACCCCCAAAACACACACACACACACACAAACCCAAGCACACAAATGCCCTCCCAGGAGTGGTATGATTAAACAAGGAGCTGAAATCCCCAAACTCTTCTGTCTCACATTCCCTGGCTAAGTTGCATCATAGAGATGAAGAGAATCATCTCTTATTGCGGTTATGTTCAAGATAGCCTAAAACAGCTGGAGGGGCCCCTTGCTCTCTTAAGGCTGCATTGCCCAGTGCAGCTCGCTGAAAGATAAGAAAATACTGATCTCAAAGAGGGTCGCTGTGAAAATGCATTGCTCTGCCTAGGCTACTACCATGTCAAAAGTTGCTTCTTTTCTTCTCTGCTGTAACCATTTTATCTAGCAAACCTGCTCTGACGCTTGTTCTGTAACCTACCTGTCAGCTATACATGATTTACTGTTGTGAAAGACTAAATCCACCAAATATGCTTTGGGGGGGGGGAGAGAAAAGTACAAAACCATTTCAAGAGTATACGAGCACCTGCTGCTCATGGCTCATAGTTGTTTAGAAAAATATGTGATCCCTGAAGAACATCAATGTACATTTATTTTCTGGTTGAAGCACTCCACTTTTGAAACTACAGGTTTTTTTTCCCTTCAATGAACTTTCCTCTTCATATTTCTTTTCTTTGCAGGTGGTGGTGGGGAAAATAGCTATTTATACAGATTTGCGGGATTTCTCCTCTCCCTCTTATTGAACAAAGAGTGGGGGAAGGATCCAGTGATAGTTAAAATAAAATAAAATCTAATTAGCATTGAAATACCTTGATTTGGATTGCTGCTTTTTTAGCTTGGAAGACCATATAGATAGATAGACAGATAGATATCTTTGTCTTTAGGATAACTTGCCAGATTTAAGGCTTATTTAAAATGAAAAGAAAGCTGAAGCAATTTTCTTTATTCCATTTCAGTCTCCTAAGGCCTATTTCCCCCTGGTGAGCTCATAGCAACAGGGGGGTTTAAGGGAATTCAGCTTTCTGCAAATTAATGTCTCACATCATGAAAATTCAGGACTCCCCCCCCCCTCCTTCCTATCTTGAAAAGTAATACAGTGAGTGCGAGTATTATTTCTTGCCAGCGGGTGGAAGATGAATGATTTTGTCACAGTTTTACTGCTTGATGAGCAGTGTCCTGAGGGTCAGGCTTAAGTCTGTGTCACTATGCTGCTCATTACTCTTGAGCTAAATAAGGGCTGATTGGATCTAAATTGCCTAGCACATGGGCCACAGATGAGCTCAGTGAGTAGGGGATGACCTGCTATTCAGGCTGGGAGTAACCCCAGTGTGCAAATGCTGCATTAGAACACCGTGGGAGAACGAGAGGCTACTGACTGCTGCCAGCAAAAGAAATCGAAATGTAAAAAACTCTTTGATGCTGCAGTGTTAGAATTTGAAATGTAGGAAGTGACAGGTTGATGGTACTTATCAGCTTTGGCTGGATTAGAGAACAGTGTCATCTTGCTTATATAATGACAGAAGAATGAAGCAAGTTCCCAACCAGTCTGCGCTGCCTGCACCCGGTGGCTGCTGTCAGACTTCATGCTGCCTCCTACTGGCAGCCTTAATGCTAGAAGTGGCAATGGCATTGACAAATCTATGGTGATGATACACTTTTAATTATTATTTTTCTAGCGTTCCAGAAACTGGAAAGAGAAGAAATGCGTGTGTGTCTTTTCTCCAGTACAAACAAAAATGGAGAGAGAGGGGGAAATAGCGTCGTGCATTTCTAGGGTGTAATAGTCCTTTATAAAATACTTGGGAAAGGAGGCTTTGATAATGAGGGCTATGCTAAGATATTCTGCCTTCATTTTTTATTCAAAAGATAAGCACATTCTTCTTTTATTTATTCTGTCTCTTTGGGAACGGTTTGTGCTGGTTTTAGAACTGTGATTCCAGACGATAAACTTGAATGAAAGCTTGCTCTTTCCTCCACTGAAGGTTTTTAAACAGAGGTTGGGTCACCATCTGTCATGGATTCTTTAGCTGTGATTCCTGCATTGCAGGGGGTTCGACTAGATGATTCTTAAGGATCCCTTCCAATGCTACTATTCTATAATTCTATTAAATAACATTGAGAGTACTGACCTTGGATTTCAGCAATTTGAAGAATGCTTTGAACACTGCTGTGTTTGTCTGGTTATGTTTAGTGTACTTTGGGCATCTTAGCACCTTCGTTTGTTGACAGATCGGTGATCAGATCTGCACCCCCCTTTTATTCTGTTCTGATGCCAGTTGGGTTATTTGAGAAAACTCTGTGCTCTTTTAAATTTTTCAGTTCATGGGTCAGAGTGCACTTCATCAGATGCATGATGTGTTATCTGAGTTGTGTGTATGTGTGTACGCATGGAATACAACACATAGACATACACACACAAAAAGATTGGATCGAAGTTAGAAGGAACTGAAATACAAGAAGTGACAGTGGTATTCTTGGACAATGTCTCATGGACTTTTATGAGAAAAACAATAGAGGCTATGAAGTTTGGAAGAGAATTTACCAATGCGATAGCAATATATACTGAAAATGGGCCAATAATGGCAGCACAGCAGATAAATGAAGCATCAAGAAAGGAACTAAAGAAGGTTGTCCCCTGTTGCCATTGTTCTTCATTTTAATATTGGAAGTCTTAGCCAGAAAAATACAAGAGGACAATGATATAAGTGGAATCCGAGTGGACAGTGAGCCCATAAGCTGAAAGCCTTCGCCGATGATGCAGTGATGATGTTGGAGCACCCGTTGAAAAGTTTCCCAAAGGCACTGGAAACTACAACAATATTTGGCAACCTAGCTGGATTTTATATAAATAAGAAAAAGACTAAAATGATAGTTAAAAAATTAAAACCACATGTTAAAAAAAGACTGGAAGCCAGATCATGAATTAAAATAGGGAGGGGGGAGATTATATATTTGGGGATATGACTCAGCCAAAAAAATGAACTTTCCCCAAGACAATTACTCAAAAATTTGGAATGATATTGAAAAGGACCTAGAAAATTGGAGCAGAACGAATCTCTTCTTTTTAGGAACAATTTCTGCAGTCAAAATGAATATCTTACTCAAGATGGTTTTTTTATTCCAAACATTGCCATTGATAAATGGCTCCAATTGCTTTAAGCAATGGAAGAAAGATGTAACAAACTTTATATGACAAGGGGAAAAACTGCGAGTTAAATATAAAATCCTCATAGACACAAAGAATAGAGGGGACATTGCCCTCCCAGACCTTAACCTCTACTACAAGGGAGTGTGTTTGTGTTGGATGAAAGAATAGATGGAGTTAAAGAAACACTAATATTTTAGACTTAGAGGGATTCGATCTATGTTTGGGTGGCACTCCTACCTTTACTATGACAAAACCAAAGCACACAGAGGTTTCCAAAATCATGTGATAAGAAGCTTGTACATTGTCTAGTTGAGATATAAAGACCTTTTGGAAAGGAAAACCCCACATTGGATATCACCTACTGAGGTGGTATCAGTGGGGGGGGGGGATTTGGAAATAAGTGGGGTACATATAAGGCCTTTATAGAATTTAAAAAAGGAAGAGCAAGACTAAAAGAAAGGAGATATAATAATGGATTATCAATAGTTTAATGGCTCCAATATATTCAATTGAATGAAATATTTTTAAAAGAAAAAGGATTAGTGGAAGGAGGCTCAGAATTTGAAAGAATTGTTTTAGGAAATAACGGAAAATTAATATATAAAATATATAAAAAACTATTGGAGTGGGAGACCAAAGACTAAATGGTAAAAGCAATAATGACCCACTGGGCAATAGATATTGACCATAATATAGAATTATCAGTAGGAGAAATTATGGGGGGGATGAATTTTTCAGCCTGCTATATTATTAAAGAAAACCTATAAATGATAATGTACAGGTGGTACTTGACACCCAGTAAGTTGGTAAAAATGTATTTTTTAAAATCCAAGCTGTGCTGGAAGTGTCAAGACGTTGAGGGAACCCTAATGCACATATGGTGGAAGTGTAAACAAGCCAAGGATTATTGGGAAATGATCTCTGTAGAACTAAAAGAGATTTTTAAATTTACGTTTTCCCAGAAACCCAAGACCTTCCTACTAGGCATAACATATGTCAATATCCCTAAAAAGGCACTCTTTTTCTTCTTATATGCAACCGCTTGCAGCCAGAATACTATATGCCAAAAAAATGGAAGGAAAGTGAAATCCCCAACAAAGAACAATGGCAAAATGAATTGATAGAATACCCAGAGCTAGCATACATGACAGTGAAAATAAAAAACCAAGATGAAACTCAGGTAAATGATGAGTAGAAATACTTGGGAGAATATTTAAAGAGATATAATATTTAACTTACAAGTAGGAACAACAGTGTGAGCAGCAGTTACCAACCATAAGGGATATTTATAGGACAAAATAGGATGGAAGAAAAGGATATGCAGCAAAATAAGGTTTGATTAGAATGCTATGGGGGAATGGACTGGGAAGTCCTGAGAGAAGTGATTTATTATGGAAAATGTACGGTGTACATTCATAATTTGGAAAATGTATAAATAAAAAAATAGGAGGAACTGAAATAGAGAAAAGTGGAGAGAACATTTCTAAAAAGTTGGCTTTTCTGAAATGCACACACCTTTTCTCAAAGGCTGGAAAAAATAACTAGGAATGCCCCAAGGATTCCCCAGGGTGAGATTATGGTTCAGGACTGGTACCAATAACATTTTTATAAAATTTTGCTCAGCTTTACATGGAACATTTCTCCCTGTCTCTTAGTAGGAAAAAGAACAGGGTAATTCTAATATAGCAGGTCCATGAGCTTGCCTCGCTCCCCTTCCTCCCCTCAAAAGCAATCTGCAATGTTATTAAAGATCACTTAGCCACAATCAGGTCTATGGGAGAAGATCTGTGGAAGGCAAAAATTGCTCCCATCCTTTTCCTATGGGGGTCTCTAGGGGAAAAGTGCTCTGCTGCCTGAGATTGGGTGATAGATGAGCAAAGGGTGGACTACTTTTAAATATTATTTTCAAGCATGTTGTTGCTTTTGTTCTTAAACTGAAATTGCACAAAAGGAATAAAGTTTCTTGAATTTGGTGCCTTGTTTAAAACAAACTTCACCACCACCCTGACATTTAATTCAGTCTTTAACAGTGAAAACCTTTGATATGTCTGCATTATGAACGTTATGACAGAAAAACGGTAGTTGATAGAAACCCTCTTGAGCTTCATTGTTGCCTTTTAAGTTTGAAACGGGTGGAAGGGACACAAGACTGAATTTCACTTCATTAGAGTTCATTACAAAAGGGTTTTGCTGTATTGCAGAGTGGTGCTGAACCTCTGGAATTTTTAATGACTTCAGACACCCTTTAGAAGGCTGGGAAACTGAGAGCACAATGCTGTTTCAGTGGAAGTTATTTTCTAAACAGGAACATTTCTGAAAAAGTCCTTAGTAGCTCTATCTCCCAAGTCCTTAGCAGCTCTATCTTCATGTAAATTAACACTGTAAATTGTGCAGCTAGTGAGGGGGGGTGGTAGGAATTAAAATAATTCCAATAAATGGTTTAATTTATGCCTCAGCAGTTAGCATGCTCCTGGTTAACAGAAATACCCTTCGGCTACACAGGATTTTGGAGGGTTGTAGGGCACTCATTTGCACATAAATAGCCATTAACTGATAAATTCCCAGAGGTCTCCTGTTGCATGCTAGTGGTTTTGACCTACTTAGCTAGCTTAAATTTGTTTTACAGAATTATTATAATTCCATCCTTGGCACTTAAACTTTGTGATTAATGCAAGCCTCACAATACAATTAAAGCATAATTACACAGATTTACAGTTTGCTATCATGGTGTTATTGTTATTACAAAAGAGCTGGTTTTGGCAAATATTAGAAGAATTAGGGTTCTGATACCCATCACTTTGCAGTTATTAAGTGATTATGTTAAATGGGACTCCTTTACCTCTGAAGAATGAGTTGGAGAGAGGTGAAACATTAACACACTGAATGGCTTTAAGTGATTGTGCAGGAGCTATAAAGTAATTTCTGTCACATATCCGTAGATGATAGGATGCTTTTATTAATCTTCATATTGGAGAGGGCAAGAAGCACCCTTTAATTCTGTTCCTTTAAATCATTTCATTAAGAGTTGAAATGTAGAGACTGAGGGGTTGTGTCAGTTATCATAAGTAATGGTTGTTTTGGATAACATGCATCTGAAATCTGGAATCACAGTTGATCTAAAACACAGAAGTGGAAAACTGGAAACTCATACCAGCACTCAACTGATCCTAAGTAGATCTGTTCAGACTAGCAGTCTTTATGCTCAAGTGCTGGATCAGCTTGAGGATCAATCTAAATTCTGCTGGCTGCATTCAGTCCAAGTATGCCAGAGAGGTGGATGAAGATTAATGAGCAGGGCATGTCTGCTGTAGCAGTCTACAGTGGGTCAATGCCAATTTGCAGCATCTGTAATGCGCATCTGACCTGACCCCTCTGCACTGTAACACACATCTGACCTGCATGGTGTGCGCTGACAACATATGGAAATTGGTATAGACTTGATGGAGCATTTGTGTTGCTATGCTGAAATCTCTGCCATTATGAAAAGGGGTATGTTTTCCAACTTACTTTGGTGGGGAAAATGGGCTTTGCATACAAGCTCTTTCACTTTGATGTGCATGGCTTGGGACCAGATTTAATGTTTTCAGATGCAAGACCAGGGCTGCCTCATCGTGACATGTTGTGTCACTTTACAAAATTTGCACTAAGTAAATTTCGAGTCTTAATGAAATTGGTTTTTCTCTCTCTAAAGTACTGAGGTCCTATTTAACACAATCACTTAATTACTGGAAAGTAATGGTTGTGAGAATCCCGATTTTTCTAATATTGCTCACCATTTCATAACTACAGGAGCTCAGATTATGGTAATTCAATGCAATAGACAGGCAGTACTTTCACTGCAGATGAGTGGTTAGTTCGTCTGCATGTTGATTCAACTCATGGGTGGGTCCTTCTGAATAGGGTTTAAAAAAGTATTTACTGTACCTCTTCAGGAGTAGTCTTTGTATAATTCTTACTAAGAAGATGTGGTTGTTCTGTATTTGGGATTGGCAGGTAATGCCTGGAGAACCCTTTTTATCTTGTCAAGTTCAAGAGCAGGCATTACAGCAGCATTGCCCTCCCTGGTCCCATTGTGCACTCAACATCCTTGTCTACTAGAAGCCTAAAGGGCAGACAGAGAGGGATGGGGAAGACATGACTATGGGACTGCTGAGGAAATTGGAAGTTGTCTTCACTGAGACCTGGAAATTGGAAATTCTGTTTGGGTGAATACAGATGGCAATCAAACCACGTGCAAAATACAGTGAGCTCTTACCACTTGGTAGAGAGTCATTCTTTGTTATACATGAGAAAGCATGATAGGGGAAACTTGCACCACATTTGAGGAGCTGGTAACCATTTGGGGGGAAAGCCTTATTACATGATAAGCTGTATTTCTGTGCCTTTGTGCCTTCTTTATCAAGCGTAGCATTTATACTTTTGTTTTTAAGGGAACATAAGAAGCTGCTTCATACAGAATCCATCTAGCTTAGTGAGGTTGACACTGACTGGCAGCAGCTGTCTCCAAACACTCCTTAGAGATTCAGGAGATTGAACCTGGGGCATTTTCAGTGCAAAGCATACACTCTTACACTGAGCTATAGCTATTCCTCTTAGTTGATGCTTTTAGCCTGTTAACTGTTATAATATTATTTGAAAACAGCATTGATTTTTTATTTTGTCTTATCTAGGTCCAAATAATAGTTTTGGTTACTAACTGAAATAAAACCTTTTGAAGTATAACTAGTTATTTTATATAAGGGATGCTCTGCTCTTGCAGTAAAGTGTGTGACAGTGCGGTCTTGTACCTGTCTCCTCTAAAGTAAGTCACATTGTATTCTATGATGCATTCACTCAGGTAGATGGATGAACAAGTGTAGCCTTGGTTGCTCTGTTTATTTCCAGTGCTCCTTCTTATTTTTAATAAACTTGCATGCAAGTTAATTTTTATCCTAAAGGGTAGCACAGATGCAAAGCATTGGCAAAATGAGAAATGGTCAGCAAATAAGAGGTTTGCAGAGCCAACTTGCAACGGCTGCCCTTCCATAAAGAGAAACATTTACCCTGCCATAATAAGAGTGCTAATGAATTCAGAAATCCATTGATTTCTCTGCCTCCGTGCAGATTATATGCAGACTTGCTTCAAGGAGAGGAATTTATGAAATGTTTGCTACATCCAGCAAGCAGTGCCGCTATAATACTGCTGCTTCCTCAGTGGTTTTCGTTGATCCTGTAGAGTGAAAGGACAGGAGGATCAGCTCAGGTCTAAATGAGATTACAGCTGGTTCGGCAGCTTATCTGGTCTAATGCCAACTAGTGTGGCTTTGCAGGTCCTAAGGGGTTTACAACAGAAACTGTTTATTGAGTATCATCGGTTTACTCAACACAAGCAGCCTAATCCTTCCCAGCCTCAGCATGTTGCAGGATTGTATGTGAAGCCAAACCAAAAGCTGGTGCAGCCAGAGCCTCAAGAGCCCTTTTGTCTCGCGTGATATTGATTTCCTCCCCTCCTTTCTAGAAGCATTAAAAGTCTGTAAAAAAATAAAACCGATAACCAGCCCTATTGTGAGCAAAAGGTTAATCTGACTTAAAATCTTACAAAAGCACCCATTAACCCTAGAAGGGATGGCAGCCTTTATTTGCATTTCCATTCATTGGTTTTTCCCCATTCCCCCCCCCTCCTACCCTCAAATTTCAAGAAACAAGATAAGGAAAACATCTTAGAAATGTAATAATGCAATGCCTTGCAGTTTCTTGTCTAATAGCTGCTACGATTTTAAATAGTAGAGTTTGTATTGGCAGCTACAGTTTTGACTTCCCTCACATCTCAGAGAGCTACTGTTTCTACCTTGTGAGAGGAAACGAGGAGTCCAAGTCTGCTAATTCCTTCCCACTTCTCCTGAGTGGATGTTGAGTGTACTTATGCACTGGAGGAATACAAGTAGGAATGCTCCCAAAGGAGGAAGTGTTTAGATCAGGAGTGGGAAGCCTGTGGCCTTCCAGATGTTGCTGGCCTCCACTCAGCCTCATCCAGAATGGCCATCGGTTGGAGATAGTGAGAGTTGTAATCAAACAGCATCTGGAGGGGTCACAGGTTCCCATCCTTGGTTTATATGCCAGATAAGTATCCCATTACCAAAGAATCATGTGTTTGGTGTGCTGCATATAAAGGCTTCCTGTTGATTACAAATGTTGTGCCCATCACGCCACTGCTGCCAGAATATGAGTTTCACCCTAGGAGTGCAAGGATTTATCAATAACAAATCACTCAAGGCAGACTGAGGTGGCAGGTGCTGGAATCTTTATTTTACTTTCTTTCCAGTTGTATCTTATTCTTTTATGCCGTAAGCTGCCCAGAGAACAATGTTACCCGGCTGTTTTATAATAATAAAAAAACAGTTAAATTTAATAAACTAGTAAAATGCTGGGAACTGCGGAGCACCTGTGGGAGTTTGCCACCCAGCTTATCCTACGATAACCTGTTTCCCTCAGGTGCAGTAGAGAACACTGTCCTGTATCCCTTGTTAAAGTAAGCATCACCTGCCAATCCAATTGGCTTATGTACTCGTAACTGTGTGTGTGCATGTCTGTCTTGTCATTTCCCCCAGGTAGTGAAATGTATTGGGCCATCCTGGTCAGTAGAATCAAGTGGCAGAACTAAAGCTGCTACTTCTGGCTCCAATTGAGGGAATCAAATGTTTGATCACACCTTCCCATAGAAACGGACAGTGTTAGACGTAGGCAACCTGGCCTCACAGACTGTTTTAATAAGCAAGATGGTCTTTTCATTTTCCCTCCATGGGAAGCATCCAAACATGCAACGTTTCGATGCCACCTGTTGCTGAATATAGTACAGCCTAAGAAAATTTTCACAACTTCTAATTCTGCTAATTGTATACAATGTCCCTAAATAAGGCCAGCTGGATTTATTTAGTTGGTGTTGGTTTAGCTCCCTCCATTCTGCTCCAGTGGGGTAGATAATAGTGGAAGGCACAGGTAATATTTTTGATAAGATATCAGATGGGAAAAGCAGGTTATCTGTCTCATACCCATGTGTGTAAAATTCCCATGTGTACGTTTTGAAAGATATGAGAAAGCAGAGTGAAATGGATTCTGCTAAAAATGATGATCATTCTAAACATGAAGCGAGTCCATAATTTAAACCTAATGGACAAGTTGGGTTCATGATAAAAATGTAATATTTATTCTATCGCTTCTATTTTATCAAACAGGTCTCTAAAGCAGTGGGTTCCGCTCGTATAATAATGAATGTTTAGTGCATTTGGCAATAAAAGCTATTGGCAGTGAGTGTTTAAGTTCTTTGTTCAGTCACATGAATGGTGCAAATCAAAGCATTTTTTGTCACTGTGAGACGTTTTCACCTACATATTGCTTCCCCCCATGCGCGGGTCACTAAATGAATTACATTCAGTTTTACAGCTTAGCTGGTGTTGGAACTTGTTAAATTGATGCCCAGTGGTGGAACTCGTAAAACAGTTTCCTGTTAATGTGACGAGGCAGAGTTCACATTGTTGATGGTGGCTTTGATCTCATAAACTATCAGTTCATGGTGTCTCAGAGCTGCTGCTATAGGTTTAGCAAGCCTACCGTTGTCTCTGAATGACAGAAAATTAGCTCTGTTGTCTATCACTTGCTGTAGAGAACAATCTGAAAAGTGAATGGCTGGTGTCTAATGAAAAAGCTTTTGCTAAAAAGGAAGATAGGTTACATGAACAAAACATTTTCCCTACTACTATACATAGATTCCTTCAAGAGCATTAAATATTTCACTTGCTACTTTATCATCTTTCAAGGGCTACTTATGAGCAGATCTGGACAGTGGTACCTCGGGTTACAGACGCTTCAGGTTGCAGACTCCGGTAACCCAGAAATAGTACCTCGGGTTAAGAACTTTGCTTCAGGATGAGAACAGAAATCGTGCGGCGGCGGCAGTGGCAGCGGGAGGCCCCACTAGCTAAAGTGGTGCTTCAGGTTAAGAACAGTTTCAGGTTAAGAACGGACCTCCAGAATGAATTAAATTCGTAACTAGAGATACCACTGTATAGGAAGGCTCTGTTATGCAGCGGTTTCCCATGGGTCTTAAACTTAGCTGGATCTTGCCCTTACAAACCAACATACCACTCTCTGCTTAACACTTGTTTCATTTTTTGAAAGCAACCTCTCATTAGTACATTGGTACCTCTGGTTGTGGACAGGATCTATTCCGGAGGTCCGGCCTGATCCTGAGGTTTTCGCAACTGGAGAGACCGCTTTTGCACATGCACATGTGGCGGTTGAGAGCTTCTGCGCATGCACGCGCAGCAAAAACCCTGAAAAATACTTCCGGGTTTGCCGCTTACGCATCCTGAAGTTTTCGTAATCGGAGGGATACGTAAGCAGAGGTACCTCTGTAGAAGGAAAGTTCATCCTCAATATTTGATATAGAAGCTACAGATCCATTCCAGCCTTTTTATTCTACCTGCGTCTCTCTGTGTTCCCAACATCTGAGTGGAGTGGCACCTGAAGGAGCCGGGATGCCGCTCAGTATAACATTACAGTGTACCTGGGCACACCGTGTGTGCACACCTGGTGTGCACGCCTATGCTAATGTCATGTCTTCACCACTTCCCAAAGCAGTAACGGGGACAGCACAGGCTGCAGAGTAAACAAGTGTGTGTATACAGCCTAAGCTTCTGAGTCCCCCAATACCAACTTTTCAGAAGGCCTTCTAAACCCAACCCAGAGAGGCTATACTGATTTCATTACTTTGCCTTTCTCCCCCACCCCCACCCACCGTCAGATTCAATAAATATGGAGAAACCATGCACTAGTGTAATCTAGCGTGCATGTAGTCAACTGGTTACTTGGATTGTAAATCAGTGTTCACTAATCATTGTACATTTTCTGTCAAAGTTTTAATGTGTACATATTTATCATATACTTTGTACTATAGCTTATATCCCTTCTAGGCTTGACTATATTAAAAATATTAAAAATGCACGTATTATACATAGTTTAAAATATATGTGCTTAATGCATAGTTTAATTTATTAGACTAATATTTAAAATTTTATAAACATGGATGTGACATTTGGATCTAATTCTAGACTTGCGGATGTGCTGTTTAAATTTGGAGTATCCCTTTTGCTTCAAATCTTTTGAATTTTGTACTGATATGTGGATATATCCTGCAGTCAGAGATGACAAAATAACCAAGCCTTTCAATAAATCTGTATTCAGGCAGTTCAGAATACTGTTTGAGCTGAGCGTTGACAACAGTCAATATATTTGGTTTGGGTGATGTATGCATCTTTTGAATGAAACCATATTAAGTATCATAATCATGTCCCTTTAATTCACAACGTCTACAGTTCAGTAAGCTTTTATTATGACAAAATACTGATGAATGAGAGAAGGAAACATCAAAAAGATAAAAAAGCTGCATGTTAGTTTTGTTTGTGCGCGGGGACGTTTCAAAATTGGAAGATCTTAGAATCATAGAATCATAGAGTTGGAAGAGACCACAAGGGCCATCGAGTCCAACCCCCCTGCCAAGCAGAATGGTATCCACTGCAGCACAAGAGGCCACAATTAGACGAAGAGCCCTTTACTGCTAAGTAAATAAACTTCTGAAAAATGCTGAACTGATTTATGACGTTAAATACTTGAAAGGGTTTCAGCTTTTGTAATAGTGGAACAGGAACAGTGTTATTGCTATTTAATTTTAAAGTTCTAATTGAGAGGAGAATTTGAATGGCAACAGCTCCCATTGCTTTGTCCCAGCTCCTGCCAACCTAGCATTTTGGAAGCATACCAGTGCGAGTAGGTAACTCCAGCTTTGAACTATATGGTTACTGACTAGCACACTCCGTGACAGATGATGAAGAAGGGAAAATATGATAGAGTTGCTTTCTTCTCTTTTTCACACTCACTCCATAAATGATCCCTGGATTAGTAACCATGCAAGCTAAAAATAGTTGGCCATGTCAACATTGTTCCCATAAATTTATCACAATTTTCTTTGTCCTTCCAAGAAAATCAACACAAGAATGAACAGTGAGGTAGAAAATAGTTGTTTTTTAAAATGTTTGAGCTTGTTTACTTGTTTACTTTTTGAGTTGTTTAATTTTCACAAAAAAATAAAAAATGAATAGTCAAGCCTGGAATGCAGTTCACAAATGTAAAAGCCCCTTTCTATTTCAGCCCTGATTATGGTCTGCCAGCAACATTAGTTTTATGAGATATCTGACTGTCCTTGATATATGCCATTGTCTAATAAATACTTTGACCGCTTTTTATAGAATTTAATAAAGCAAATGTAGTAATGTTGCCTGTGTCTTAATCTACAATCTCAGCTGAGTTGACCAGGAGATAAATAGGAGCAGGAATGATAGTGCGTTGCTACAGATTGTTTTTAATAAGCATGTTATTTAGTTGATCATCTAAGAACAGTAATGCCTCATATCCTAGTCTGCCAGACAAATTTATTAATGCTTCCTGCCCCTCCTTCCACCCATTTCTCTGAGAACATTGATTCCCTGCAGACACTTCTCTATTGAACCTTTAGAAAGTCACAACTTCCAAATTAGATTAAGTAGTAGGAATGGTACTAACAGAATCAAAGAAAATTGAGTGTGCTATTGAATTCATGCCACATTGTCTCTGGAAAAGACTGACGTTGTGTATAGTGGTAACTCCTGTCCTTATTCCACTAGTAAAACTGGGGGCATTGATTCAAAACCAAACCGCACAATGTATCTAAAAACTGTTAAATCTTCATTTTTGTGTTTTTTCTTTTGTGTGTGTGCTGAGGCTTCATAAATAAAACTTCAAGGGGAAATGCATTACCTAAAATTATAACTGTTTCTGTGCCAGTTCCAATTCCTGTACCCTTCCATACCAAATTAACTAATAGTAGAAGATCTGGCTTTGGATTGTAAGCAGACCGACTTGTCAGTTGATAAATGCATGCATTCATTTTGGAGCCTGCCTGTTTCTCATTTGGGTCTGACACATTAAGAGGTGCGTAATTAATGGTTGACATCAGTAATTAACATTAACTTTATGGTGCTTAATATGCCATCATTTATCCATCAGATAGGTGGTATGCAGAAATGTCTTTGGATCAAGGTTTTAATTATAGAAAATGATGTTTCAGTACTTGCATTTTGTACAGTGCAAATACTGTCTGTACAGTAATACCTCTAAGGAATTCAGGTGTGTTTCTGCACCACCACCAGTACATAGAATGTTAATATTATTTGTGTTTCTCCCTAGGACTGTGCACAAACACTTAAACCAGGGACTGCCTTCAGGGAATACAGGCCCAAATGCTCCGTTGTCGTCGGTGGCGAAAGAGCACCACCTTGCTGTTGCCAGAGCTCTCTGGAGAAATTTCTTTCCCTTCTTGAAGAGCCAGAGAATGCTGCAGACTCCTTGCTCTCAGCTTGCAGATACAGCTGCAGGTCTGTACAGCAGTTTGGCTACCCTCTTGTACTTACTTTAGAAGCTGTTAGTTAATTTGTCAGCAAATAATGGAACTTCTGTAGGGATGTTCAGCATTTTTACATGGGTGGCTGGCTGTACACACACACACACACACACACAGAGAGAGAGAGAGAGAGAGAGAGAGAGAGAGAGACCAACACATTATTAGAATACTCTGGAGTACTCATCTTATTAATATGGAGTCTCTATATCCACAACTGGAGTATCACTTTTCCTCTGCTATCATTTGTTACATTTGAAATATGAGCTATAATTTTCTGCAAGGTTAATGGTTGATGCTGCTAAATGCTTCATCATATCAAATGTGATGCATATTTTCAGAGCTTAAATGAGTTTGTTCATAGCTCTTCTGCTTCTCGAAATTCCTTTCTCCCCAATGTTTCTCCCAGATTATAATAATATTCATTTCGTAAATGGCTTTCTGAGCATATATCAGACAACATTTAAGCACATGGTGTGACGTCCTGATTTAAAAACAAAACACCACCACCTTTTCTGATGTCTTACTCTGTAGGAATGCTACTCGAAATCCTAGCAGATGGAATAGCATATTGAGAGTAAACTGTAATAGTGCCGATCCTTGACTTTAGTGAAGCTGTGCCCAGCTGATCTGGTTCTTTTGTATTTTGATACAATATCATTTCTTCCATGAAATTTCTATATCGTAATACTGCATATTTCAATTTGACAAGGCTTGTGCCTAGCTATAATGGCACACTGAATCCATTTAAATAATATTTGGAAAAGGCAGATTTGAATTTAAATGTATTTTAGCCCAACATGAATTAAGAACTGAATTTTATGAGCTCTCAAAGACGCGGTCAATAATGGAAATAAAGAAAGACCCTTGAACTTCAGCAGCTTTGCAATAATTAAGATATAATAGTAATAGAAAAGAATGTTGTAGAAAGGAAATGCTCTGCCACTTGCCAAATGTATTAAGGAAATCATGCTAAGGCAGAAACCTCATATCCTGTCAAAAAGTCCATTCTGGTTTTCTTTAGATATTTGTTAAAAAAAGAAACATCCCATTGGATTAACATCGCTGTGTGAAAATTAGCACTGGGGATATAGTGATATAACATATTGTGATACTCTGCTGAACCCCAACACATACTCTTTTGCTGCCTCACACAAACACATTTTAAAAATATGGTAATAGGTGGCAGTGAGTGACTGGGGAGAATTAAAGTTCTGTGGTGCAAGGTTGTAAAAATGTGTGGGACCCCAGTAGATGCTCATGGAGCCCTGATTGAAAGCATTTCTATAGTACTGACAGCACAATCACAACTATACCTACTCAGAAGTAGGTCCTATTGAATTCAGTGGGGCTTACTCCTAGGTAAGTGCTGTTAGGAATGCAGCCTAAGGGTATGCATATTGTGTGAGATTTTGACCAGCTTCGGCCCATCTGAAGCTGATACAGGCTTGTCTTATCTTGAGCCCAAACAGAGTAGTCCACACAGCAGAAGGATAAGCAGTATGTGCCACATTCTTAACTTTATTTCCACTCTGTGCTGAGAGAATACAAACATGCATCTTGCCTCTGTGAGAGCAGAGAAGCAACTCCTCTCAGAAACAAAGAACACCAAGAGAAACAGTGAAAAGCAGGAAACCAGTGTACGTCACATCCAGTCTCCCATTCCCGTGGGAATCCAACAGTAACTTGGACTGTGGAATGCAAAACAATGTCTTGTGACTGCAGTTGCTGCTCAGTGAGGGAAATAGAAACCAACATATTGAGCCTGTTGTTTTTAAAGAATACATTTGAACTCACAATAGCGGTCATTCTGCTCACGAAAAGTGTACGAGTTTCCACTTTCTTACAAAATGTAGCTTTAAGGTGATAGGAATTCCTTATCAGATGAGAAACTAGTTTCCAAACTTCAGAATTCTTGAAGACAAAAAATGCTATTTATGATTCTTTCCCCTTTTGTATGTAATTGCCCCTGCAGGTGGAAAAACAGCACTGGGGGGAAACAGATTTTGAGCAGTCAAATGTCTGGCAGGGAAGAGGAGTTCCATCTCTCTTCTCTTTTTTCCTTTCCCCAGCTGGAACTCTCCAGAGTCCCCAGATGCATTTCACTAGTGTGTTTTTTAGGAGGGGGTGCCCTTTTTATGGAAAAGAGCTACAGAAATACACAAAATGCATGCTTTTACCCTGATTTTTTCCCAATTTTCTTTCCTTCCTTCATTTTAAAAATAGGTTTTACTTTAATGGCTTTGGATTTGCCCAGCACATGTACATCAGATCTTCAACCTCAACCAGTTTTATCAATGATGCAGTTGTTCGGGTGGGATGATATGGTTTGCCCTCGGCTGGTTTCAAGGTATCTAAGCCACCTAATACAAAACAGGTGAGTGATGTAAACTTACTTGGCGAGGTGAGAGCAAATGCTTTCTAGTCATATGTTTTATTCCTTCGTTTACTGGTTTTTGTTTCAGTGGCCTTCAGAATTTACTGTACAATGCCTATGAGTTGTTTGTTGGAAGTGCAACTAAGTAATTTGTAAAGAAATAGTCATAAACATGAGAGCTTTGGCTGGCAAAGACTTCCTTGGGTTGATATAAAGTGTTTGCACTAGCCTAGAGGAATTTTTGACCTTTTTTTTTTTTTTACACCCAACTCCATCCTGTGCCATATCACAAATTACTTTTGAAATTCTCCATTTGCCAGTATAAATAGATGACCTGCTTTTCAGGAAGTGAAAGTCCCCTTTGGCTTTGGACTAAGGTTCTTTGGGCCCTAGTCTCTTAGTCAAAAGTACAATAAAAGTATAAATATTTCTACAGAGCCACGTTGCTTCCATTTGTTGTTCTGACAACTGTTATTTATTGACAACTGGAATCTCATAGCACCTGCCATTGTACAAACCATTTGGGGAATCATCTGTAAGATGCAGGCATCTAATTCAGGGTAGTTCACCTGATGTTATGAATTCAACTGTATGTAACACTTGGCACGCAATTCTGGGAATTTGCTGCACCACCGAGGAATTTCATAGCACATTTTTCAAAATGGCATAAACTAAGAACAAGCTAGACAAGCATCCATCAGCCACACTTTAAATTTAGACTATGTTGCCTCAGGGTGGCAGGTTAAACTAAACAACCCACAGGACCCCTTCCACTTCTCAGCCTTTATAAGTGATTTAACAAAATCTGTGGGAGAAGGCACAGAGCTTACATGTAGGAAGATGTCCAGAGCATTAAAATCAATGGGAGTTTTACCTTGAGCCTTAATGACATAAATTGTAACGATAGCTTGTATGGTTTAAAAGGGAGAGGATGGTAGCTAATACAAAGCTCCTGGTTCAATATCTTGCCTCCTGGTAAAAAACAAGAAATATGGTTGAAATACTGGAGAGCCGTTACCAGTCAGCGCAAACTGTACTGAATTAGATGAGTCAGTGGCCTGTCTCAGTTTCCTTTGTACATGTGCATGCAAGATTTTTTTTCCTGGTTTTGAGATCCATTTGATATATTCAAAGTAATGTGTCATGCCTTTATATTCAGAATATGCCCTCTGTTGTAACTCAGAGGCAGCTAGTGCAAATTGCCCTATTATTTACAAAGTTTCAGGTCTTTCAGTTATATCAGAAATATTGTTCACATTTGTTTTCCAACACAATTATGTCTCTAAAGTAGGAATATCTAGCCCTCATTTCAGGGGTCTGATACAGCCCAGCCCAAGCAACTGCTTTCCGCCTCCCCAAAAGAAACACCACAATTTTTGGCAGCAGAGTCGACAAGAAGACCATAAGTAGGCACAGCAGTGGAATAGGTGAAGCCCAGTTGAGATGGGCCTCATCTGGTCCCCAGGAAATCTGAGAGTTGACCAGAGAGGAGGCTATAAGCACAGAGTCAGATCCCAGAGAGGGACCAGGTGGGGTAACAGGGAAGGGACCCACCCTTTTGTAGCCAGACACTTCCAGTCATGAAGGAAGAGTATACACAAGTTCCCAACTGTTTCAGGGAGAAGGTCAGGTGAGCCAAAGCTCAGGACCAGCTCTTGCTTTCAACAGAGGTTAAAAATAATAATAAAGGCTTGTTCAAAGCAAGAGGAAGATCAAGCAAGTAGTAAGTCCTCCACGTGGAAAAGACAGAGGAATGCTATTGGGGGAAAGAGAGAAGATGGAACTGCTGAACACATACTTTGCCTCTGTCGTCACTCAAAAGGAAAACACTGCCAAACAGAATAAGTGATGCAAGGAGGGAGCTGCAGCCCAAGATAGGGAAAGAGGTGGTAAGGGAACAACTAGCTACTTAAATGAATCAAATCTCCAGCACCAAAGGGTAGTAAAGGAGCTTGCAGATGTACTGGTAGTACATGTGAACAGAATCTAGCGGTCTTGATAGACCACAAGCTTAACACAAGTCAACAGTGTGGTGCAGCAGAAAGAAATGCTAATACAGCAGGAAGAAATGCTAATACAATTCTAGGCTGCATCAACGGAGGTCTAGGGTCCCAATGATGGGAAGTAATAGTCCCACTCTATTCTGCCTTGGTCAGACCTAGCGTACTTTGTCCAGTTCTAGGCACCACAATTTAAGAAGGATATTGACAAACTGGAATGCATGCAGAGGAGGGCAACCAAGATGATAAAGGATCTGGAAACCAAGCCTTATGAGGAGCAGTTGAGGGAAGTAGATACATTTGGCCTGGAAAAGAGGAGACTGAGAGGAGATATGATAGCCATCTTCAAATATCTAAAGGGCTGCCATGTGGAAGATGGAACAAGCTTGTTTTTCTTAGCTCTGGAGGCTAGGACCCTAAACCAATGGCTTCCAGTTACAAGAAAGGACATTCTGACTAAACATTGGGAAGAACTTTCTGACAGTAACAGCTGTTTGACAGTGGAGCAGACCTCCTTGGAATGTGGCAGACTCTCCTTCCTTGGAGGTTTTTAAGCAGAGGTTGGATGGTCATCTCTCATGGATACTTTTGTTGAGATTCCTGCATTTCAGGGGATTGGACTAGATGACCCTGGGGTCCCTTCCAACTCCAGAATACTATGATTCTAGAATTTGTTGCAGCTTCATTTCTCGTACTACTGCAGGGAAAGGGTATGATATTTTGTGTCACAGTGCTCACAGAGTATCCCCTGGTGAAAAGCAATGGCAGAGGGTTACATATGAAAACACAGGGGGGAAGGTACAAAAAAAGAGGACAAAGGGTGGCTTTCCTATCTATTTGCCTACTTATTTTTTTCTTACTGATTCTTCTTTCCTGCAGTGAATTGTCTGAGGCTCTTACTAGAATGGGTCATATGTCCTACCAACCCTTGTTGGTACAGTCTTGGTTTCGATGCGTTTTGCAAATGTTTATCGATCAGCCTCCTGATACTTTGATCAGGACAGATGCTGAGCGAACAGCTGGTAAGTATGCTTCTTTAATATACAAGTGTTTCAGAATATCTGTGTTATTCCCAATGTTTAGTCAGAATCTCATTTCTTGTAAGTTCGGGTGCTACCCCTTGGAGCAGCAGAAAACAAGCTTGCTCGATCTCCATGTGACAGCCCTTCACATATTTGAAGAATTGTTCTGGAAAAACAATTAGTGCTCAAGTTACATAAGTAGAAAGCATGGCCTAAAGTCAGGAATTGGGAATATAATGCAAATTGTTGTTTACTGTAACCCACCAGACACAGTGGTTGTCAATGCAGTACCTTCCAGATGATGCTGGACTTCAGCTCCCATCAGCCCCAGCCAGTATGATCAGTGGTCAGAGATGATGGCAGTTGTAGTCCAATAACATCTAGAGGGCACATTGGCTACCCCTGCAGTAGAGACTATTTTGCCTTTCTTGTTTTGTTTGCTGTTGAGTACTGAAAATTGATTGTCCAGCTTTGTAATCATAGTCGCGAGTGCTGATTAGCTCAAGGGTGGGAGGGGAAATTTAGAGTTGAATCCAAAGCTGTGCTGCGTGAATTTGCTGTCGATCCATGCCAATTATTTTTTCATGTTCTCATGATAACCAATAGATAAGGCTTATATGGAACAACTGACCGAGCTCACAAGATTGATATTAAAACTTCCAGAAGTTAGAGATATCTTTGCAAAGGCTCATGTTGATGATTCACTCTCCAAACAAGACCCTAATGATGCTGTTTTTCAGTTTGTTAAGGTACAGTATTTCCTAAAAATCCCAGTTTTGGAGGATTCTGAAAATGCAATGTTTGGGCCCACATTTGAAGAAACATTTGTTTTATTTCAGTGAAATATTGGCCAAGACTCATCATCTTATACTAATTATTTTTGCACACCTGTTTTCATTGTCTCAGGCTGTTGGTAAAAATTACAGTGGACTTCAGACACTAGCTGAAAAATCAGCCATGGTGGCAAAGGCACTGGAATACCTTGGTGATGTATTAAAATATGTAAAACCCTACTTGACAAAGAAAGGACCTGCGGAAGGATTGCATCTCACCTACAGGATTATAGGTAAATATCACATATTCCTTTACTATATAAAATTATGCAAAGGGATGATTTTTAAAAAAAACAACACACCTCCCAATTGTTTGGTATGGAAACAAAAATTGAGAAGAAAAACAGTTCTGCCTTACAAGGCATTCCAGGGCATTAAGTGTCATGTGGACTGTTTCTACTGACATTTGAAACATTGTCTTCCTTTCTCTAGGTCAGTGGTTCTCAAACATTTTTCTCTGGGCCACACTTTCAGAATAAAAATTAGCTGACGGCACACATCTTTTTTTATTAATAAGAAATAGGTTGGAAAACGAAAAGAAATAACTCCTAGCAGTGCTTGATTTACAACATAGACCACAATTACTTTATCATATGATCGTGGGACACCCAGAAAGTATAAAACAATGCAGCTACATAAGAACATGAAGCATTCCCATGGGGGGGGGGGGTTGATAACTATACTACACTGAAATGTTAAAATGTTTAAATTGTCCTTGACTCTTGCTGCCACACTTGCCATCCTCTCTTGCCACATCCTTTGAGAACCATTGTCTAATCAAGAAACTGATCCTGGGTGGCAGATTCCCTAGTGTGAAAATGTAGTAGTTAATTGAGTGTGTGTGTGTGTGTGTGAGAGAGAGAGAGAGAGAGAGAGAGAGGGTTAAAAATTTGCCGCTAGAAGCAATTTCTGCTTACCCTAATGCTTTGCCCCAGAATGACTGAAAAATATGGCAAAGGTGGTGGCCTTCCCCTCCTCTTCCTCTTTCTCACATTCATTCAGACATGTCCATTGTCATGCTTCCATGTGTATACACACATGCACAGTGAAGACCCTAACGCACGGACAGCATTCCTGTGCACTTTCTAGGGCAGACAGTGGTTGAGAAACGTAACAACACATTTACAAGGTTATGAGTGGAATATAAGAACTGTTAAAAATGGAAAATGTCGCTCTCCTTTCCCTGCTCAGCCCATCAGAAGCTTCCACTGGAACCAGGTTCCTTCTGTGGATGAAAAGGAGCCCTTATGTTTGTGGAAGGGCAAGTTTGGAACTAGCCCAGTGAGACTTGCTTACATGGCTTGTTCGTCAGGAGGGCTGGGGAAAGCTCTGCACATGAGCAGTGCCCTCATTAAGGTCACCTGAGCCTCTCACAGGCAACTGCTTCTCTGCTATTCTAGTTGAGATTAAAGATGGTACAGTCAGCTTGCAACTTGCGCAAATTCAGCTTTAAGTGCTTGGCTGGGAAAAATAAAAAGGGGGGAGCTGGCTTCTGGGGTGGGAAGCACCAGCAATCCACCGGCCATTGCACTCACCTTGGGAGAGCATTTGGAGGTGCAGAGAGAGTGTGTGTTTTGACTATACATGACTTTGGCTTTATGTGCTGTCCCCGGAACATAACCCCCACATAAATTGAGAGCTCATTATAGAGGACAACCCAAACACATAGACTAAATCCCATATAGCTGTGCACTTGTGTGAGGCTGCTTCAGAGGAAGGGCAAAAGCAAAATATTTAGAGGCTCACTGTTTTTGGCTCTTACATGATTCTGGAGGAGTGAATGTTTTGAATCAAGGAAAAGTAGATGGACAGAACGCTTGATACCTAAAGAGACATTGAGCCTGCTCTTATATATAATAGTGATCTCCAGTGTTGCTATGTAAATATAATTAATAACAACAACAATAATGATGATAATAGTTGTTCCTGAATCTTCAAGGTAAGTCGTATAAATTGTTGTTTTTTAAACTTATTTTTCAATGTTGTTGTTTTTTTAGCCTTGATTGATTCTGCCCAAGGAAAATTAATAACCAAAACAAGAAGAATTTTCTTTCAGATATTTATGCATATGCTGCCAGACAATTGTGTCTTTCAGCTTTGAAATAGCTTAGAGTAAATTACAGTGTTAAGGACCATTGGACATAGTAGTCTGGGTCAAAGAGAGCAGTTTTATTTCAGATGTTCCTACGGAATAGTTAGAAAAAAAATAGATTAGCACCACTGGAGCTGTTGTTAAGTGTCTGCTCTCTTTCTGTGTTATGTTCCACTCCACAAAATTAGTGTAGTTGCCTTTATTTTCAGGGATGACAGGTTGACTTTTGCATATTAATAACGTCTGTAAAAGCTTATTTTCATTCTCTTCCATTATCTGTATTGGTTTCAGTTACATACATCCTCCCTGTGTTTTTTTCTTTTAAAAAGTAGTTCCTATTTCATTGATTACAGTGCATAGCTTGAAAACAATATATGCAAAACTAAGCGGGCATTCTAATTTATTTCTGTATGATACTCCCGGTTAGAACCTTTGATATCAATCCAGCAAAGGTGAAGCTGTAACAAAGTCCAGCTGAAAACCATGAAATGGAACTTCATGGCAACTAACTTTAGTCAGATTGATTTCAGTGGGATTGGAGTCGAAGAACAAAGGTTCCCCATCCCTGCTATAGACAAATGTTTTATATAAGGTGGTTTAGCTGTGGCCCTCCAGGTGTTGTTGGGCTCCAAAGCCCATCAACTACATCTGACATTAAACAATGGTCAGGGGTGATGAGAGTTGTATTATAGCGATCTTTGGAAGGTCAGCTTCCCCAGCCTTGATATAGCATATATACATAAGTACAGGTAGTTTGTATGCAGGAGGAAAGTGCCATAAGATAGCATTCTTTCTCATGTAGATTAACTACAAAGGGTTGGCTGTAGAATTCTGTGGTTCTAAGTGCTGTGTTGCTTGCATATTAACAATTGCAGTACAGCAAATGTCTCAATCTTTTCCTTGTTTATGTTATGCGTGTGTCGGAGCCCTGTTTTCCAGCATGTGTAGACATAGTTGTAGGTGGAAGAGGGTGTAGCAATGACATAGCACTAGTAATCCACATAATATGTAGACAGTCCTTTGAAACTTAAAGAAACGGATATAGAATAATACTGCAACTCAGCCTAGCAGCTTGAAAGACAACAATAAAGATTTTCAAAGCAGCTGAACTCTGATTTGAATCAAGGCAGCAGTCCTGGGGAAAGTACTGGCACCCTATGCCACTTAATTTTTATTGATACGTCTTTTGATGAATAGAGTCACGAGAGGGGAAACACAGTGCCACTTTTAAGTTGTGAGATCCAATCACAGGTTGTTGTTTTTTTAAAAAAAATCACACCCATTATTAGCCCAAAGTTTGTGACTCATTTTGCTATGAATGGACATTCACTATTCCCAGGTTGACTAAAGTGGGTTATGTGAAAATGTGACACTTGGTTGCTATAGTTACAACCAAGGGAAATGCAACCTAGCAGAAAGCCTGTTTATGCCTTCCCTCTTCTTCTTACCAGTTTTGTCTTTCGGGTTTTTATTCAATAGGATGCCTTGTGAAGTCTTGGGCACCCATACTGGCTACTTCCAAAGCACAACAGCTCTTGTTCCGCATAATAGATTGCTTGCTCTTGCCACATGCTGTGCTCCAGCAAGACAAAGAGCTGCCTGCAGCGATGTTGTCTGCCATTCGGGAGAATCTTCCTCTGTTTCTTCAGGTGTGTATGTCTGTGTTAGATAGATAGATGATAGATAGATAGATAGATAGATAGATAGATAGATAGATATGGAAAACTAATGGCTGGCAACGGAGGCTTGTTGTTTTTACATACACAGTGCAGGTGACGCTGTGGTCTAAACCACTGAGCCTCTTGGCCTTGTCAATCAGAAGGTCAGCAGTTCGAATCCGTGCAACGGGGTGAGCGCCCGTTCCTCTGTCCCAGCCTCTGCCAACCTAGCACACCAGTGCAAGTAGATAAACAGGCGGGAAGCTAAAAGACATTTCCGTGCGCTCTGGTTTCCGTCATGGTGTTCCGTTGCACCAGAAGTGGTTTAGTCCTGCTGGCCACATGACCCGGAAAGCTGTCTGTGGACAAATGCCGGCTTCCTCGGCCTGAAGCGAGATGAGTGCCACAACCCCATAGTCGCCTTTGACTGGACTTAACCGTCCAGGGGTCCTTTACCTTTTTTTACCTTTTACATATTGTTGAACAGTTGATCTTAAAAGTCCTGCTAATGGGACACAGCTTCATGGACGTTGGTGGTTGTTCAAACATCTAACAGAGATACATATCCTTCCCTGAAACGTTTTACAAGCTAAGACAACAGTCCTGAAGAAACTTACTACCTAAATAGTCATTCACTGATATAGGAGGGCTGACTGCTATTTAAATGGTTTTGGAACTTTGCTTAAGAAAATAATTGAGATCAAATGATTTCTCCACACAATGAGAGAAACTGTTGTAGTTAGATTTTATTTTATTTTTTACTGTATACCCTTTATAGAAAAATAAAACGATTAAAACAGTTACATAAAAGAAAGCACAGAATTTAAACAAGGAAAAAGAAACCACTGTTAAAATCCTCAGTCTAAAAGTTTTCATCAACTAGATAGTCTACTGTATAATCTTTGAACTTTTGTTTATAGGTTTTTAAAGAAAAACATGTGAGTGCTATTTTGTAAATAAACCCCTTGGCCAGAATTCATTTTTTTCCAGTTTTTAAGGTACATAACAAGGGTCTTGTAAATCAGACAATGCGGCAAAAAACTTCATATATATAAAGTTCTCATTGTGGAGAAGAGCTGGGTCTCAACTATACAGCTGCAAATAAAATGTTTTAAGTGTGTTTTAAGTGCAATATGCAATTTGACACTAGATGGAGATGGTGAGGCTTATAGAAAATTCAATGTATTTTTAAAAACACCTTGAAAAAAAGCATTTCCAGAACAGAAGTATTATTATTATTATTATTATTATTATTATTATTATTATTATTATTATTATTTTATACCCCACTCATTTATTATTTATACCCCACCCACTCTGGGCAGCTTCCAACAAAAGATTAAAAATACATTAAAACATCAGTATGTAGATTCCACCCTGGATATCTGTATTGCTATGGCCCCAGTAGCCCAGAGTACTTCCCTATGATACCAAAAGCAGGTGCCAATCTGTGAAGGTAGCATGTAGGTACTTCAACCCAAGTAGCATTCTGAACACAGAAAAAATATGAATCATACCATAACAAATTCTGTTCATGGGATAAACCAGTTTTGATTTAAGAGACAATATCTTACCACCTTTGAAGTTTTGATAGAAGTCTTGGAGTTCTTTGAAGGCCTTGTGATTCCCAAATTGTGGCTCATAGGAGTCCTTTTGATGGCTCCCCGGGAAAAGAATATTAGAGGTAACTCAAAGCACAAGGGATTCTAAATTCCCCTGCCTTCACATCTTGGGTTTATAATTTGATTGTGCCATAATGGAAATGAGCATTGCCCATGCCAGGGCTACAATCTTGTGCCAAAATATGGTCTTGCAAGTAAGGCCATAGACTTTAACTAGCCTGCCTTGTCCACATGTATCAATTTTGGTGCATTTGTTGCACATCAGTACTATGATCGCCTGGATACTATTGTCACTCACTGCAGGTTTACTCAAGCCTGCCTGTTGTAGCTACTAGCTAACAAATCCTGGTTAGTTATTCCTTCAGTGCATATCTACACTTGAAGTATTAATTCCAAGATAAAATTCTTGGGCAGATTTTCTTACCCTAAGCACACACAGATTATTAACTCATCAGACAGGTGATTGACAAAAAAATTAAAAATTGTCCTCTGGGCTGAAGATTTTCAAACCTATTACTGGCAGCCTCAGCATTCCAAGTAGAATGAACAATGGCTGCTAACGCTGATGGCATGTTTATGGTACACCAACCCCATCGTGCTAACTGCATTCTCTAACAAAACTCAGTTTTGTGTTTTCATATTTGGTGGAACAGTGCAAACATGCAAACAATATTGGCACGGATTACTGATTCTCCATTGAATTAAAGAAAACATTTCACCCATTTTTCTGTTCCCATGAACCTGCCATGATATATTTTTCTATTGTTACTGATGCTTGACCATTTTGCTAGTGTGAATTCCAAGTAAGAGTCTTTGTGAATTCTTTGATAATAACCCTTGTGACAGGAGACTCGTGATTTACCTCCGTTCCTGTCAATCCCTGGAAGCACTCTCAAAGAAATCTGCTTATACAGATTGAGGGTGGGGGGGAAGTGAGGAAGAATACACAGAGCATACAAAAAGTCATGGACAGAAACCCATCTTAACTCTTAGCTCGGATAAAAACCCACCAAAGATTCTTGTAAAATAAGAAAAAAGTCCAAAAATAATAACCCAGGTATGAAACAGATGAGCCGTATGGGTGAGATAAAGTAAAGCTCAATTCTACGTGCAAAATACCACTCCAGGTTTTTTAAGTCTAAGCTACAGTTCCTGAAATCAAATAGTTTTTGAGTATATTGAAAAGTAAACGTTAAAAGTGAAAGATAAATATTATAAAAATAATATCTGTAAGCAATACAGTATAATGTCAATCAATCAATCAATCAATCTTTATTACGGTCCAGAGACCCAACAAATCATTACAAATCAGTACACAATTCATACAGCCTACCTCCAGGTTAATCAAACATTTTGTTTAGAATATAGGGCTCATTTGTTCTTGTATAATATATATATATATATATATATATATATATATATATATATATATATATATTTGAAAAACGACACTTATAGAGCCACAATGATACCCAAGAGAATTTTTGCCCCATGAAAGGTCCCCCTCCTCTTCCCCCCCCCCCCAGCCTGCCGTTCATCTCTTGAAGTATTTTGTTTTTGTGTGGGTTGTTTTTTGGGGCGTGTTTCTGATTCTTGTGTCTTTCTTGTAGTTGCAGGTGTGCATTCCCTTTCAGACATTACAAAAATATCAAATCCCACAGGTTACTTCAAACCTTCATTATGCTGCTGTGCATTTGATACCACATTTTTAGGATCATTTGAAGGAACTTCTCCTGTGTTTCTACCTTTAGTTTCACAAGGTTGTTTTTTAAAAAAACAAAACAAAACAAAACACCCAAAAATTCCTATTCCGTATTTTTTAAAACTCCAAAACCTCTTTATGTGCATTAGAAAATTGATGACAGTCCCTGTAGTGTTTTCAGGCAATATAAGCTAGGCTCCCCCATTATGTAGCCAGCAACATTCAGTTTTGCTCGGTCATTCAGACTTTTTGGCAATGGGAATTGTTTTAGGTACAAGATGGATAATGGTGAATTCCCCATGTTGTGTCTCTCCACCCCCACCCCCACCCCATTTCGTAGGGCTTGTCCTTTATATGCTGCCAGTCTCAGACTCAAGGGGCCTATTTGAATCAGTTGCTAGGAAATGCAATTCAGCAGTATTTTGGGCGCTTCCTCTCTTCCTCACCTTCCGCTCCTCGAGCTGGACAGCAACACCCTGTTTTGCTGGCCATGAGCAGCACCACCACCATCCCAGGAGTCTTGCATCTCCGTAAGACCACTATGCAAGTCATCAGGTAATGCCCAGGAAAAGGGGATATGATGTATTTGACATTACCATTCTCTCCAGGTAAAGAGTTTCGGGGGAAGCTTGTATTCCTATAGAATAAGTTGTGAAAGTTAGGAAACCACTCAGGGACATGCCAATTTTGTTATACACTAGAAAAGTACTCATGTTATTATTATTTTTTATTAAAAGGAAAACTGCACATAAATGATTGTTTGTTTATTTATGACTCACTTCTCATGAGGCATCCAGGAGTGATTTACAGATATAACTTATATAAAACAGTTACTTATATAATAAACAGTTCTATCTATCGAGCGGCAGTGTGTTGTAGTGGTTAGAGTGCTGGCCTAGGACCTGGGAAACTAGGCTTCAAATTCAGTCATGAAGCTCACTAAGTGAACTTGGGCTTCACATGCCTCTCAGCCAGCCTGCCTGATACGGCTGTTGTGACGATAAAAGTAGAGAGTTCCACATATGCCACCTTGAGTTCCTTGGTTATATATCACTCAGTGGGATATACATGTTTGTGTGTATGTGTGTGTATACATGCACATATATGCACAGAGAATTTAAAAAACACTTATAAATATTAACAACAGTTTATTGCAACAGTACTTACATAAAATCAACTCCAAGATAGGTACCAGTTGGGATGAAGATTTTTAGAAGGCTTGTTGAAAGAGCAACAGCTTTAGAAGGCTCCTATCTGATATGCAGTGGGAAGTGCCACACTGAGGGCCTGATTCCAGCTTTGTGCAGAATCGACCTCCCGATAGGATAGTATCTACAGGGTGAGGTGACCTCATAAAAAACGCGTAGTTATAAAAGTATTTGAGTGGAAGGTGAAATAGAGGCATGTGGATTTGTTTGAATAATAAGCAAATGTGAATAAATTGCCATATTGTTATTTATCCAAATGAACATGAGATAGGCACTGCTGATTCACTTTTGGGCCCTTTCTGATTTCCTTCCAGTGAAAGTTACCTGTCTTTCAAAGGTCATGCCCCTCCTCCTCGCCTGGCTTCAGTTCTCGCTTTCATTAGTGAAGCATTTCGGAGGACCAAGAGCATTGAAATGTGTGACGTGCAGCTGCTGCTCCCTTCTGTGTTGAAATGCCTTGTGCTGGTTAATGAACCACAAGGTGAGCTTGTGAACTTACGGGGTTTTTTTGAAAAATAAAAAATACTTTAGAGCAGGAATAGGTAGAACGTACATAGGGATCTACTGGTAGATCTCTGGATATTTTGAGGAAGATGGTCAAGGACTTCAGACTCCCCTTCTATTAAACTGCACTGCAGAAATCAAGACCGGAGTGGGGGGAATAACCAGGAGTGCATTTTTGTGTGTTGAAGGACTGGGTTTCATGCAAGTTTTGTTCTTGCCTTAGAATTTTATATTTGAACTGCATTTCTTTCCATTTGGGGCTTCTAGCACACAACAAGATAGCTCCCACAAGGTTGAAATCTTCCTACCCCTCCTGCAGAGCCTAAGCAAAGAAACAGGTCTATGCCTTGAGCAGCTCACTATCTACAGGCATGCTGACATTCACACAAACCTATCAGGCATTTGAGTAGTCTGGGGTGCCTTCTTGGGTTGCCAGCTTAAAACGAGCCGGGTGCTGGTCTGCCATGAACACACACCTTACAAAGGCCAGAAGTAAGGCCCACCGAGTTCAGCAAACATTTACTCCCAAGTAAAGTGTGTTAGGTTTGTAGAAAAATCTGCAACTGCCAGTTGTAATTTCTTCTTGTAGTATCAGAATGAGCCTTTTGCATCAGTTTAAGCTTGTGCCACTCAAAATGGTGTGTGTGTGTGTGTGTGTGAGAGAGAGAGAGAGAGAGAGAGAGAGAGAGAGAGAGAGAGAGAAGCAAGCCTATATTGTCTCCCAGAGCTGTTTTCCTCTATTGTCTATTAGAAAGCTCCATGTGATTTGTTTCCTGCAGTTAAAAAACTGTCTACAGAGATTCTACAGTGTGTTGTAGAAGGCTGCCAAGCGGGGTCAGGAGGAGAGCTTGCCACCCAGCTGATTTCTGTGTTTAGGTAAGTAGAAAACTGGCCAATTGGCACTGAAACGATTGCAAGGCATTTGACAGAAAACATGTTCTTTTAAGCAACTAATTATCCCTAACATAATTTGAAGTTGATTGTTTATAGTACTCCCATTCTTGGCAAAGCGGGTTGTCATGTGGATCGGCCAAAACAAGAAAGGGGAAACTATTTAGAACGAAGCCACGTTCATTCCCTTCCCCCACCCTCAGTGGATTTTAATGCCATCGTACAAAGAAGGCATTGCAGACTTAAAAACACGGGCACATTCTAGGATAATCCTCGGACAGAATTGCATATCATCCTTGGCAGGGAACTGCCTCCCACCTCCATGGCGTGTGGGTGACTTTCCTCTTGTGAAATTATCACACCATCATCAGCAAGTACTGTTTGAGCCCTGTTCAGATGCTGAATTTCCCCATGTGATTAGAATTGAGTGAGGAACAGCAGGGATGCACTGGCTACCCCTCTGCTCTGTGGCTTTGCTGTGCCCGCCTCCATCTCCCTTTATGCCTTAGAGGGAAAATGTCTGCAGTTGGGAGCCTGACATAGATCTGTGCCTGGGGTTCCTTTGCATATACCGTCTCACACCACTGTTAAGCCGGCGCAACCCAGAGGCTTGAACAAATCATGAATGTGAGAATTTGTCTGGGGCTCCCTCATTCATTCATTCATTTATCACTTGATTGTTAGGAAACCTCTAAGTGGTTTACAAAAATACAAAACAAACCATTGACATTCTCAATACTTTTTTTTTTAAAAAAACCCACTTAAAAGCAGGTACAGTGGTACCTCGGGTTACAGACGCTTCAGGTTACAGACTCTGCTAACCCAGAAATAGTACCTCAGGTTAAGAACTTTGCTTCAGGATGAGAACAGAAATCGCACGGCGGTGGCAGCAGGAGGCCCCATTAGCTAAAGTGGTACCTCAGGTTAAGAACATTTTCAGTTTAAGAACAGACCTCCAGAATGAATTACGGTAAGTTCTTAACCTGAGGTGCCACTGTATTTTAAAACATTCAAAACACGAAAGCATTTGTGTTAGAAAATTGGGGGGGGGGAATCCCTTACCCCAAAATGTGAATTCGGAATTAGCTAATGCTAGCAATACTTGCAGTCAAGTGAATAGTTACGTTTCTTTTAGCACTAGAGTCCACTTAGAAGTGGGGACAAGGGGGTCACCAACAAAGGTTTCTTGTCAGATTAAAAGCTCAAATCAAAATGATGAACTATTAAAAGAAGGAAAGGGTGCATATTTTGGCTGGAGAATTTCATTTAAATTTGGCACACTTCTTCAACAAGTGATAGCCAGACGGAAAAGAAAGCTCAGCATCCCTCTGAAATTCAAATTTCCTAAGATTAACATTGACTCTACATGATTTTGTCAACTTACCCTTATCACACCCAGGGGCTCAGGGTGGAATTTTAGATCACTTGTGGTATCGGAAATGGATAAAGGGTTTTTCATCACAGTTTTAAATTGCCATTTGTGCAAACTATGGTTTGCCATAATGTTTTGAATTGAGTACTTTCTCCAGCACATACTGTATTGAAAAAATAAGTGTTGTATACTTGCTGGATTTGTGGTTAGCTTTTACATTTTTTATATTAAAAATGTGTATATATTATATTACCATACTCCCTTTCTTGCTGCTTCTAAATCTGATCCTATGAGCTCCCTGGACTCGTTTTCAAATAAAAGTACACATTTATTCAGTAGAGTTTGTTTTCTGAGAATCATTTTTTTTTTGTACCTTGCACTAAATGCCCTTGTTTCTTCCTTCAGGCAGTTTATCCAAGATTACACTACTGTGTATGATAATCAAGTTTACAGCATCTTGGAAGCAGTGGCAGTCTTGGACCAGTCTCTAGTTATCAGCCTGATTCCTGCTATGACAGAGGCCCTGAGGAATTCAGAGTACAAACAAGGTCTTGGCAGAAACGCTGTGCAAAGGTATGTTTGGGGATTACTGTTGCTTTTGGGTGATGAACAGAAGTTCACTCTCTCCACAAAAGGCCTATTTAAACTTACAGTGTAGGTTTCTCCAAAGTTAAATTCTTCCTAGATACTTAGCAAATATGGATGAGATTTATTAAATGAAACACCTTTTTGTGTTTTGTTAAATGCTTTACATTGAAATATGCCAGTAAGCTATTATCAGAGCCTGATCGCTTCGCAAAGGAATCTGCTTTTTTGGCTGTGTGAACCCTGTCTTATTTTCTTATTATTTAAATATAAGCAGTATATAAATTGCCCAAATAAATGCTTATTTAATTATCTGTCGCTTTCCATGTAAACACCATATAGTGGGTCCCCACCCCCACTCCATTTATAAGTAGTAGGCTAGTATGACACTAAGGGTCTTTGGTATGTGCTTGAAAAGCAGGCTCTCAAAATTAGAAGGAAATAGAAGTCATATTATTTTTGCTGCTCCTGGCAAATACCTTTTATCAGAAGGAAGCTGATTTATACAAAGCTTGCCTCTCCCCACAGCTTCTGCATTTCTTGCATTTCAGTGGTTTTCAAACTATGCTGATGCTTTCTGTAGGCTATGAAAGTGGAAACAGAAGCCAGTTTAGTCCTGCAACTATTTATATTATTATTAATAATAATATTTATTGAATTTATATACCACCCTATATCTGGAGGTCTCAGGGCGGTTCACAGAACAATTAAGGACTTCCACTCATTATGTCTTGTCTGAGTCCACTTCTTAAAGTCAAAGGAATTGTTACTGATGTAAGATAGGCACGCAAGTCACGGCTTCTGCTTAAATAATTGCTGGTTATCTAACTTGCATAATTTTTAAATACAGGGTTATTTGGCCAGGAAAGCCGGCTCTTGAAGCAGACTCGCATCTGTATCACAATATCCACCTGGTCTCCATTTCACCAGATGGATGGATACAAGTGATGCAGTTGGTTAGGTGCACCATATTAAATCAAAGTTAGATTGAGTCTAACTATGGTGTCTAGCAGGGGTGAGAAGCCTCATGCCTAGAGGCCAAATGCAGCCCTCCCGGCCTCTTTATCTGGCCTCGTTTCACATCCTCCTTAGGTGTTTTTGTCCTGGCTGAAATGTGCCCTTGAGCTCTGGCAGTTCTTCTTGTTTCCTTGGAAGGAGAACAGAGAGGGGGGTGTGAGTTTGTGTAGAAAGTTCACATTTGTTCCTCCACCCAGAATGGAATGAGGCCCTCATGCTGAAAAGGTTAGAATCACAGAGTTGATCCCAGGGGTCATCTAGTCCAACCCCCTGCAGTGCATGAATATTTTTGCCCAACATGGGGCTCGAACCCATGACCCTGACATTAAGAGTCTTATGCTCTACTGACTGAGGTATCCCACATCTCTGTTTTCAGAACAACCCTTACTGGCTCTTTGGCATGGCCTTGGTTTTCATTAGACATTCTGCACCTGCTTATACACGGGTGGTGCTGTGGGTTAAACCACAGAGCCTAGGACTTGCAGATCAGAAGGTCGGCGGTTCGAACCCCCGCAACAGGGTGAGCTCCCGTTGCTCGGTCCTTGCTCCTGCCAACCTAGCAGTTCGAAAGCACGTCAAAGTGCAAGTAGATAAATAGGTACCGCTTCAGTGGGAAGGTAAACGGCGTTTCCGTGCGCTGCTCTGGTTCGCCAGAAGTGGCTTAGTCATGCTGGCCACATGACCCGGAAGTTGTCTGCGGACAAATGCCGGCTCCCTCAGCCAATAAAGCGAGATGAGCGCCGCAACCCCAGAGTTGGTCACGACTGGACCTAATGGTCAGGGGTCCCTTTACCTTTACCTTTTCACCTGCTTATACAGGTACTCAGCGTTCTTTCATTTTCCAAGGCTTCAGAACAGTTCTGAGATTGATTCCCTCAAATTCCCCTGAAGTAACCTACGAGTGACATGACTGATTTCTCAAACTCCGTGACACTGGTTTTAATTAAAGTGTTTTTTTGTTATTTTACTCCTTAACAGAGAAGCCTATAAAAGACTCTTATCTCTACTCAGAGAAGCTGGACAAATGGAGATACTGAAGCTGGGAAATGAAACGCATTAGCAGCACGCCGATTGTTACTTTCCGCACAGTCATTGCAAGGAATGCTGGTCCTTTATGGAGACTGCCAATTCCCTGTCTACAGGTGGACGCTGTCTTAGCTTTAAAATGTGTACTTTGTCCCTCGGTAGCCTTTAATAGTGCACACAACGTGTGGGGTGGGGTGAGGAAGTAGCGCCGATGTTTTTCTCTTCCATACGGCAACTGCAAAACCATTGAATCCTAGTAGCAGGGACTATCAGAAGGAAATGACAACAAGTAAAGGAAAGTTGATGACTTAAGGTATTGTTGAAGGTCCCCCCCCCCTCCTTTAAAGCAAAAATAGTCAAAGGGCAGCAGCAAAGGTAATCTCTAACAGTAAAGTTTTTTCTGCTCTAATGAATCAATACGCTGTGGCTGTCAGGCCTTTCATTCTGACACCTTGAGTGATGTTTTGCTCACAAACACTTCATATGAGCTTGGCGGCTGCAAGGGGGTTCAATCTAAGCAAGGCCAGGGTTAGGTCAGGATGCTTCAGCCCCCTTATGTTAACAGAAGAGCTGGTGTCCGTGTTGCGTGGAACGGTGACAGCTGTCCTAGCATTGTCCCTGTATTAAAAATGTGTAGATGCGCACTGCAGAATTCGACCTCTTAACCCCTTCTCTGTTGTCCTTGTACGGTTTTGCTCCTCGTACGGTGGAGCGAGCCACGCTCCCGTACTTGAATAACAAGGGCTGATGCAGTTATAAGAATTGCTACCCAGGTCACTATACAAATGTCATCAATTCCTATTCTCCCCACCACCCCAATTTTCTATTATCGGTATAAGAATCCCTAGCAAGGAAAAAAAGTTTCAACCAGATTCTAAGACAGGGAGGAAGGAATGCAGGTGCAAAAACATCTTAATTCAATCTCTGCTTCCTTTTTTTTTTTTTTTTTTTGCATCACATATGATTACATTTTGTATGTAGTAAATTGGATTTGTTAGATATTTCAGAATGTTTATGGTATTTTATCCCTACAGTTCTGAGCTCTATCATAATTCTCCCTGTAATTTCCAAATTTATTTGATGTATGGAATTCATGCTTCCATTAAATTACACAATCTTAGCAACTTACAAGTCATTTGAATTGCAGTAGTGAGTTGTATGGACTTGGCAGCAAAGTCAGGGAACCAAACTAACTTTTCAGAGTTAATGATGAAAGACTGGTTTTTTGTGTGTGTGTCTATCAATTACTGCCATGGAAACTTCTCCATAATCTTGTTCAGAGCCTTTCTGTATTGTTACGGTATTCTTATGTAAAGGTAGCAGATTATCTCTTTCCTAAATCAACTATCATTACTTCAGATAATACAGTAACTAAAAGCCTCTCTTAGGCTACTTAATATTGCAGAGCATGGAGGTTCTTTTCATTATGAAAGTGACTTTTTGAACCTGCATTGTAGCTTCTTGTAAGCTCCTACACCTGGGAGTTTTATTCATCTCAAAAGGCCTCCATTTCTAGAGGGGAGGGGGAATTAAGCCTCTTCAAGTGAGATGCCTTCAAAATCTGAGTCTCAGATAACATCTTTAGCATAGACTTCTTCAAAATGAAGCCTCTGTCTTCTGAAATAATAGAAGTGTATATTGTAACAAACTGTCTAACGGAACAGAGTGTTTTTTATTATTTCCAGAATAATTAATACTTAACTGGGATTTCTTTTTCTTTTCTTTTCTAAAGGTTTGTGTAAAAGTAACATTGCTCTCAGTGCATAAAAAATTACTTGTTAATGTTTCCAGTTAAGCAGTCAGTTGAAAGATTTATTAACAAACTGCCTTTGAAAATACTATCAAATGACCACTGACAAATGATCATATATCTGTGGCTTTATGCAATAGATATGATTAATAATATTGCAAGTGAGGTTTGCAAGGTCTTCTAGCTGGTTAACTAGAGAACTTCCAGAAAGTAGGAAACTGGAAAAGTGATTCTATAGCCCACAAAAAATGATGGAAACTGAGCTGCATTGATCTGTTTCTGTGTTGTATATATTTGTGTGTGGATGCCAAAAGTTGTTTATGCTTATTTTAACATTGCTTTGTTATAAAGTTGTTTTGTTTTTATGGTAAATTCATTTATAAAATTCAGGACCACAAATCCTGATCATGGAACCCACTTCAAAGCAAGTATGGGTCAGAAGTATGTTACCCTGATTTATAATTGCATGTCTATAAAGACTGATGTCAGTGTAACTACCCTACAGTATTCTAACTGATTTGATTGCAAACTAAAAATCCTTTTATTGTGACTTGCTTCTTAACCTGTTTCTGTTTTAAACTACGTCTGGCTTTGAGAAGGTGTGACAGCTGTTGCTGTGATCACATCAAACTGATAAAAGGAACCCATCAGTAGACTGCGTTCCAGAAGGTCCACTGTGCACCTATTACTTTATTATTCTCATCTGTATAAAGGGGAATGTTCCACATTGCAGTAGGGAATTCTTCATAGAACAAAGTTAGCCCCTGCATGTATGCTTTGGAGCAGAGTGGGGGATGGGTCCTATTAGATCACCAGCTGTTACTATTTTTAAAGAATATCTTCAGAAAGTGTACTGCTAATTAACTCCTGAACCAAATCTGTTTGACCCTAGTAAGGATCTTAGTACCTGCAAATCTCAACTTGTCAATTTATAGTTAGTAGTAGATGACAGTTGGGGCCTGCAAAGCATTGTAGCAGATCCGAGTAGAATCCCACCAAACTCTTTAGTGGGTGACAGAATCAAATGAAGGCTCCCTTTCCGTCTGTCTTGTTTCCTCCCCAACCATGTCAACTTTTCCAAGGCAGTAGATTAGCGAGAAGGAATAGAATCATAGAATTGTTGACTTGGAAGGGACCCCGAGGCTCATCTAGTTCTTCAACCCCCTGCAATGCAGGAACATGCAGCTGTCCATACGGGGATCGAACCTACAACCTTGGCCTTATCGGCACCATGCTCTAACCAACTGTGCTGGTATCCGTGGTATTTATCACCAGCGCGGGGGGTGGGGGTCAGGCATACATGTGTCCATTGAGGCCTTTCCTAGCATCCACAGGGCTTCTTTCCCAACTGAAATTAGGCTTGAAAGAAGCATTCTGTTGTAGCCAATGCATACCACAGCTGTTTCTTCAGTTTGCAGATGAACTCATAGGCACCAAAATGGACACCTCTATAAGTAAGTGAAATGTATTGCACTCAGCCAGAATGCATACTTCCTCTTCTTGCATTCCACTCCTGTATATACATGTTTCATGCAAACTGCAGAACTTTGGAGAGGGCTTGGGACTTTAACTAGGAAGCCTATTGGACTTGGCCCCATTTTATTTTATTTTTCTGCAAGGGGAGAGTGCACTTGGTGGAGAACCTCACCTGACCAGTTTCCATCATGAGTAGTCAGCATGCTGATGGACAAGGTAAGAAACAGACTAATATAGTTTAAGGGTCTGCTCTAGAGTATTTGGGGACCATTTTTGTGACGAAGTTTTTCCATCTTTTTTTCCTCCGAGATGCTTCTATTCTCCATAGCTGTGTTGCACTGTACATCTGGATGGTAAGTCTTAACTTTCGGTTTTGTATGATTTTCTACAGTGCTATATGTTTCAATGCTCTTTTAATCCAGGTTCCTCTTGTAAACTGGGTGCCTCCGTTACATTTTCACTTTAGTATAGGGAAAGAAAAAACGTCTATTACGTGACCACCTTCACCCCCCCCCCAATTGCTTAGTTTCTTAAGCATCAAATGATTGTCCATGATACTGTAAAATGAGGGGGGTCATTGTTGCAAAATTTCATACTAATTGCCATCATTCACAATTATATGTACATCCACTTTGTAAAATTTCCCATTTTTTTATTGTTGGGAAGATGAAGATGTGTTTTAAATTACAAGAGTTTCATTTCAAATTAAGTGATGAAGCCTCTTCCTTGTCACAAAAGCTTCTAAGATCCAGGGGGTGTAAAAGATACCTTTTATGATAGAAGAAAGCATGGGGGTTTTTTATATATAAAAAAATCTAAATAGTATTTGGTATAGTTTTCCTGGCAAGTTATCATAGATACACTAAATGGATACATCTAAATGGACCAGTTTGTCAAGAAAATAGGTAATGCTTATTGTGCTCAGTTTCTTCATTTCTTCATTTAATTTCATGTCTGGAGACAGAAGTATTCCAAATATTAACTGAGACAGGCATGAAAATGGTTAGGAATCAGATTTGCTTTTATAAAAAAACAGCTTCAGACACACAATCTGTTCATCAGATCAATATACTAAGAGCATTTTACGACGTTTGTATGAATTTGCTGATGGAATCTTACTTTTCTAATGCCATATACAACACCCTGGTGATCAGTGGGCAGTTTGCAAATGTTTGCACCTACTCCTTTGGTGTCTTATGATTTTCTGGCAAGTTAGCAACCTTTGCTTCTCTCCTCCCCATTCCACCTCTTTTATGGTAGTGAATAGGTCTGCTTCTGGCAGTCCAGAAATGCACATTGGCTTATTTCAATATGTTTTCTTTGAGAAACTGTTACTATTGTTCCCAGACCCTTCTTAGTCGGCCATTTTAGCTGAGTTCAGATGTTCAACCTAGCTCAAATTGATGTCTTCTAATAATTTATCTGCTTCTTCCTATTCAGTCCATAAATGTTGCAATTTTTCTTTCCTTCAGCTTCATAGTGTTTATCACATACTAAAAATAGGAATTCTCTAGCCAGAATAGACATTTTATTTTCCCCTTTAGTGTGAGAACCAAGTTATTTCTTTGATGGTAGAAGAGGTTCTTGTCGTATGGGTGGGCCTGCTGGGAAGGTTTCTGATCAGATCAGGACCCCTCACACCTGCTCCACAGGCCACGTTTTGGCCCAAAGTCCCGAGGTTCCCCATCTTTGCTTTATCTATAGACTTCTTAGTGAGGTGGCTACTGCTGTGCGTACATTTTATTAATACGAGCAACAGTGGGAAATGTCTTGGTCACATGGCTTGCTATTATGTTGTGGTTCACAATCATGTAAGCAATGCATAGATGATATGACATAACATGTGCAATTCAGTTTGTGTGAGACTTGGATGATGCAGAGTCTTCAACTATGTTCATCCAGTTGTGCTCAGTTGTGCTTAGTGGGACTTGCATGCAGATTTCCCAAGTTCATTAATTTACTGGAATTAATGTTATAGGTAGGCTCGGTAAAAACAAAAAACTTGGTTGTTGAAATTTGCTTTATCTGACATTGCAAGCACTAGTTGCTATGTAGTGTCATAAACAGACCTGCTGAAATGCTCCCTTTCCAAATTGAAATCTAATTGGCAGTCCTCCAGATGCATTCACACTTAAGAGTTTTTTCTAATACCAAGAGAGCATTTTTTATGTCTGTTGTGCAAGGCACATTGGATGCCAGAACAATGGATAATGCATACCTCTGCAACAAGCATGGTTTACAAATCTGTATAGTTGTTCCTTTCTTTCCACACTAGAAGTACCATTGAATGAATGGCAGGTGTATCTTCCTCACCATTAGAAAAGCACAAATTGGAAAGTCAAACCTTGCAAAGCATAGCAAGTTGCCACGTTTAAAGATGTGAAGCTGAACATCCTGTGCCTGAGATTGCAACACGGTAAGTGGCTCTTGCAAACCAATTATAGGCAGGTTGCTTAATATAGTGGAATATCATGAAAATGGTGAGCCGTTTCTTTCAAAACTCAAGAGGAACCAGACAGACTAGATGCATATTTGTTTTGGGAATACTGTACTGCAATTCCTACAACTTGGATCTAGCTGAACAGGCCGGTCAGAGACCCAGAAACAATTTATTGTTCAAAACATACTTTGGGAGAAATGAATTTGCATCGAGTAGATTTTCTAGAGCTGAATTTTTTAATGAACATTTGTGCTTTGGTATGCCAAATGTGAATTCATATCTCCAACTGTCACTGTAGTTAACAGATATGAATGCTTTTTAGCACTTAAGATTGATATAGTCTTAGCATCCTAGTAAGAAATATTTCAACTGATAAGAGTTTATGGTTAGAAATTATCTGTGGTGTGCATTACTCATCCTATGCAAAATGTGCCATGACTTGATGTCACCTGTTCTCCACAGTGGAGGGATCCATTGGTAGTGGTGAGGAAGAACTTTTGCTGATTCTGTTCGTCCTCCTGTAGCCTCCAAAGCTATCTCCCTCACTATTTTAGAGGGTCTTCCAAAACCTCTTAAACAGAGCAGGAGATAGGTAACGAGTCCCCTCCACCCATTTCTAGTGCTTATCTATAAGCACTGTAGAAATTGCATCCTTGCAAGGGTGCAAGACCTTTCATCAGGTCAAGTGTTTGTGTGCAACAGATTGTCTCTTGCAACACCTTTATGTGTGGTACAGGTCTTAGGAATAGTTAGCATGCACATAATAGTTTTCAAATGTAAAAACATTGTGAGGCAGAGATGATACAGTAGTCAGACAATAAAGTTTTATTGTAAACTGTACATATGCCTGTAATATAGAATGGAGGCACATTTGTATGAATGTTTTCTGGTAGTAACTTTTACCTATGCAGCTGGCAGCTTCTTGAACTTAGTTTGTGAATTCACACAGCAGACAAACAAAATGGTTCCCCTTGTAACTGTGAGTTGACCAATTTTATTTTCAAGGTTTTCAAAAATATGAAGATATTGTACATTAATAAAACTAAACTTGGAGCTGTCGGTAAGAATGGCCTGCATGGATGAAACTGAAATGTTCCATCAAATGGGTATTATACAGTAATGACTGCAGAAATGTGAAGGTGATAACCCAGTTATATCACCCCACTTGTTCAACTGACATGTCATTTGGCGCAAAAGTCAGGGAGAGAAAGGGGAGCGACTGGCTCTCTCCCTTAGGGCCTGTGTTCTAGTTCGTTACTATCAGGTATTCATAGTCACGGTTGTTCCTTGGACAGGAAGCCAAGACTTAGGGACCCTGGCTCTGTGATAGAGCATATACTTGTAGGAAGAAGGTCCCCGGTTCAATGCCTGGTATCCCCACTTGAAAGGAACAGGTAGCACATGTCATAAAATGACAGCTGCATGAGACCATAGTAAGCTGCTGTCAGTCAAGAGCAGACAGCGGAAGTTAGATGGAGCAATAGGCTGACACAGCATAAGGCAACTCCTGCTAGACAATGGAGATGTATTGTTTCCAAACAAGGTTCTGTATAATTTCGGGAGCCATGTGTTGATATTTAGCACTCGAAAAATCCACTGGCTCCAAAGCATTCTCTGACCTGACTACCTGTTAGTTAAGACAACTGTGAGGAAGTAATGCAGACTGCAAAATAGGCTCCTCCAGTCCAAAATAAAAAGCACAATATTAGGTTTCCTAACAATACAATTTCCAGTGCTCCCAACTATACATAAAATGTGTGACTAATTTTATTGAAACTGCCCACTACCACAGTAAGAAAGGAGGCATATAAACTCTTGTAACAGTTGCCCTTCCAAAACTCTATTGGGGGAGGGGGCAGTGCATAGCATATCTTAATGCCAACTGCTTTGCCTTGCAACATTCAAGCTGGTTGCTACTACCCTTCCCCAGCAACAGGATCCTCAAGTTAATGTGAATGAAAATACTGTTTCCCATGTTCTCTTACTTACACATTTTTAGTTGTTAAATCCCTCTTGCCTTTTTTGTTAACTGTAAGTGCTAAAAATTGGGAAGGCTGGTATAGAGCAGTTCAAAATTGCCCAGAGCCAGATGCTCAATCAGTCTCTTTAAATTGCTCTTTAGGGCAAACTTAAAATAGGCAAAAATAAATTTCAGAATGGTCTCTAGACAAGAGTTATTCTCCTTGCAGCTTTTGCCAAATGAAGATATTGGAATTAAGCAGGATGGGGTGGGGACAGCTTTCCTAAAAGTTTCTACTAAATAGTTCTGTAGTTTCAAAAACCACTTTGGATACAAAGACATACAAACTCAAGCTTAACGAACAAACTTCACTATGTCTAAGTTGCAATTCAAGGTCTAATTCTATAGGGAACACTACAGCAAGGCGTTACAACAACCTTTAATGTGCCTGTCTCACGCCTCCGTTCTACATGACACTTTTGTTCTGTTGATAGCACCACCTGGCTGCCTTTTCTCCAGCATAAACTTTTAATAACTACATTGCTTTTAGTCCAGCCTTTAACCCTCACCTCCATGAGGCAGTCATAAGAAACATCTGGTTCTTCAGAGGCTAACAGAGCTCCTTACACCTGCAGTTGAGAAATGTTGGAATGCACAGCAGTTACAACTTCAAGGTTTTTCTAAGATCAAGAGCAAGTACTCAAATAAGTCCTTTTCCAGCCTTTTTTAATGTAGTCCAAACTCATTGCAGTTGTAGCCCACATTTTGAGAATTTCTATGTTTAAGTGAAAAAGCAAAATTCATTTTTTGCACATCTTTGACAGTACCTAGCACTAGAAGCAACAACCTATGGAACTAAATCAAGGATCCCTTTTTTGCCAAATATATTAAATTGCATATGTAGTATTATGTTTCCTCATTGACGTATCACACACTCTTTTGCAAAGCACTTTGGGAAGTCAGTAATCCTGGCAGATCCTTATAAGTGTGAAGCCAAATAAACTGCATAAAATGTTCCTAGAATACTTAGTGAGCAAAGATGCCCAAGCCCTGCTTGAAGGTAGGAGGGTCTAGGTGCAATTCTGGCCCCCTTTCATTAGTGTTCTTTTTGGCTTCTACTGCATTTAATACAATAAAGAATTTCAGAGCAATTCTTCCCCTTTTGGTTGATTCGAAGATGAAATCAGGATGGATGAAGAAGCTTCCTCTCTCGTCAGTCACGCTCCTTTTCTCACATAGTGCCTATCTTGTGATGAGGCACTTGCAAAGGCTGCAGGTTGGGGCATGTAGAGTAGGGTGCCGGAAGGAAGCAGGCAGCTATCCCATTAGAAGGAAAAGGCAACGTGGGCCCATAGAAAACCTCTTCTTTTCCTTCCTTACTAACATCCAGCACCTAGTAAGAGCCAAAAACAAGGTGGGTAAAAGCTTAAATATTTATCATGAACCAAAGGCAGCTTTATGTATTGCTGTTCCACTGATCTACCTATTCTATATAATCAAAGTTATGTGCCAGCCATCCCTGAAAACAAAAGAAAATACCCAGAATTTGAGCACTGTGCACCTGTTGCAAACAAGTTGACCCCAGCGTGCCTGAACGGTTGCCATGCTCTATGGCACAGAGCTGGTCTACACATTCAGCAGAGTGACGTACTGCTTCAGACTACAAGTGAGGACTAAGAGTTTCACTTTTCGATGCTCTCAAATTTAAAATGATTTGCAGTAGGAAAAATGACCACAGTAAGCAAGTCAAAAGCTGTGATCTAACTATGCAGGCGGCAGGCTCAATAACAGCAATAAGTCTTACATGTATTGTAGCAAACACTTGTACAACACCCTAATTCATATTAAATGCTGATCTCCTCCAATACTTGCATACTACAGTACATATAAGAATGGCAATTAAATATTTGCATCCTTTTTTTTTTTCTTATTTCCATGTATTTTAGTTATTACGAATGGCTTCCTTTCATGTATGTAGTAGAAAAGATTGTGTCTAAATACTTCAAAATCAATGAAAACTTTTTTGAAATGATGAGTGTAAAGCACATTTCTTGTTAGAGACGTAGCTTTGAGGATTTGTTTTAAGGAAAGATCAATATTTGGCACACTCTAAAGGCATGCAATTTTTGTAAATCGCCTAAACATACACTCTTAAAACAATGTGAACTGATGTTAAAGACCAGGATTCCTACCAAAGTTTTCATTGGGAATCAGCACACATGCACATGTCAACTCTGCTGGTGCCCTACTATTTCTGCTTAAGCACACTTATTAAAAGCAAGAGTTAAATGGTAGCAGTGGAAAATAAATGTATGTGGCTGTACTACTATGAAGACTGCTGAACAAGCAAGCACTTTTTACCTTTACCCCAATGAGCTTTTTCAAAAGTAAGTGTTGCCAACTTATGATCCTAACAGTTTAGACAAGTTGCTTTTCCTCTTTTCTTAGAAGTTTAAATCAATTGCATAGGTCTGTTTCACCAAAAAGATATCCCAGTGTGAACAATTCTGGAAAAGGTAACCTTGCAATACCACTGGGGGAGACTCGAAAGAAGGAGCCTAAACCACTGACCTGGATACATGCGGAGGGTTCATTTGTCCAAAATGAGTAGCCACCAACTAAGTATATTCTGCCATTGTGAACAGCAACTCCCGATTCATTTTGGCCTGAAGCAGAAAAACAAAACCATATGTGTTTGTTTATATATATATATATATATATATATATATACACACACACACACATATACACACTACTTCTATACTTTGGGATGCTGCACATAGATTCAGCTAGCCAGCTGTTTACATGGAAACATTGCTATAATCTCTCTTAAAACAGAGTCAACAGACAAGCTTATTGGTACATTTCCAATGTTTTTGAAGAATCTAAAATAGTACAACACACCCATGCAAGTTGTAAGTTCTACTTATTGTAAATTTCTCCTGCTACTGCACACGTTTGCCCAAGGATTTCTATTTAAGTATAGTTTAAAAACATGTACAGCACTCTTCAGTGTTTCTATTCCCACCATGCCCCAAATAATTGCTATTTTGAGGGGAATGGGTTATCTCACAATCAACAGCTGATGTACAAGCTGTGTTCTTGCACTGGTATACACCACAGTCAGAATCAAGTGGTCTTTACTGGTTGTGATAGCACTGATCACTTTTAGAGCAGGCCCCTGAACTTGTTTTAACAACTCCCCATCTTCTGTCTTTGCAGTTGATTAGCAATAATAAGCCACCTATGAGCAAAAGACAACAGTAGCAGGTACTGGTCATAGGATAGAAGGAGAAAGATTGAAGTAGAGCAGGCCTGCAACAACTTTTGCAGCCCCACCCAATAAAAAGAAGAGCTTCGAAATAAGTTGCCATACATGACGGGGCTGGCCTGACAAGTCAAAAGTGGTGCATGTCTGGGATGAGGAGAAGTAGTGTTTTCAGCACTCCACACATTTAATTATATGAAGTAGGGAAAGGAATCCAGATATTGCCTCTTGTATCAGAGTATCCAGCATTGGGCTGCTGTTGGTCTATTGCTTCGATGCCAGAACTTGCATGAAGCTGATTGTGTTTTGCTTCCCTTGCAAATCAGCAAAATCCAAAGCTCAAACAGTGCAAACTAACTGAATTTAAAAATGAGGGAGGAGGGAAGAATTTGACTTGAAACTTTGCTGTAGTGCCATACTCTACTAAAATATATAAACAAAGTACTTGCCTGTCAACAGACTGAAGTTGCAGCGTGTCCACTGGTCAGTGTCTATATTGTAGGAATCTATGTGGCGGACAAGAATCCTGTCATTGTTATAATCCAGGTCATTGCCTCCTAAAACATACAGCTTCCTTTGCACAGCTGCCATTGAATGGTAGACTCTTCTCTGCAACATGGGGCTGCGGCTAAGCCATTTATTCTGTAAATACAAACATAAGAGAACTGGTTCACATTAATTTCTATAGAAAAAAAATCTTTCTTACTAGGTTCAAGGTGGCTTGCAATAAATGTTACCCATATAGCCACATCAAAATAATGTTTGAAAATTAAGTAGTAACTTAAGTTTTCATAGCCTAAGCTATTAAAATTAACCAAACGAATGAAAATTTAGCCAAACGTTTTCCCAGGCAGAAAAGTCTTGCTTGGTGCCCTTTTATTTCTTAATGTGTATCACTGGTTAGGTAAACAATAGTGATATTTTTAATTGGTAAAAGAAGAGGTGAAACAAATTTATTATTAGAAGAATGGAGAGTAGTGTGCATGAAACAGTGGAAATCATAAAACAATTGCACCATGTAGCCCCCATAATGTATAGCTATCTATTATATTGTGTATTATTTGGCCAGGAGGAATTAATATTTGCATTAGCAGTCCAGTCCCTTGACACAGAACTATAGACACCATCTGCTTTGCAAAGCCTGCCTGCATCCCCTGATTATATCTTAGCTTCCTCCACAGCAGTGACTGCCAGGTAAACTGCTAAGCACTGCAAAGGCAAGGAAACAGAGGGGCCTGGTGGGGTCATTCCTAATAAGCCAGTGTGTGAATACTAATCAGCAGTGGAGAAGCAGAGGTCACCCCAGCCTGCCTGTTGGCAGGTAGCTATGTGCTCAGTGGCAGATGGTAGGCATTATCAGCACTCCACAAAGGCCTAGCGCAGAAACAGGCACTAGCACCGAATTATAGAGGTATTGAGATTCTGTGCAAGGCGCAAGCAGATGTGAGGTTCTTCCAGTGCCCACCGTATACAATATGCCAGCAGAATTTTTAAAAAGAGCGTGTGTGTAAAAACACGAAGCCGACCTCATTGCAAGAATGCTAACACACACTTTCTACCTATTAACTGTTTGTGTTTGGGGGCTCTGGCCTAAAAGGAACCCAAGTATGCAGAGGGCCAGAAAGTGGGAGGAAACAGCTTCTGAGCCCCCAAAGGCAACAAAATATAATACACATAAAAAATGGGAGCATTAGAAAATGTAAATAAATAGGCAGGATGTTATTTTGTTCATCGTGAGGCTGAAACTGCTGTTGACAAACATTTGCATGCAAAACAAATCCTAGGCTTCATACAGAGAGAAGTCAGGTGCTAGGTTTTGGTGCAAGAAATGCAGGTACTTCTAAGGGGTTTAAGGTGGCTCAATGCACTGCTAAAATCCAGCCCCTTTTCTGTAATCACAAATCACTATTTTGCCAGCAAATGGGACTAAAGAATGCACAAAATCTATCTAAAGCTGGAAGTAGAAATTATACAAAACAGATGGCTGCTGGTGGTGAATAAGGCAGCTTCCTGGGTCTGCTCTCCACATCTCTCAACTTTTAGTGCAGAGCTTTCCAAACTTTTCATGTTGGTGACACTTTTTAGACATGCATCATTTTGCAACACAGTAATTCAGTTTTACTAGCAAAAACCAGAGGTTAAACTAAGCCCTTTCCAGCCCCGGGAGGAGCGCAGGGAGTGTTCACACAACACAACTACACACTGCAGCCAACACACTAACATGTCACGAGACACAGTTTGGAAAGCTCTGATTTAGTGGAACTTGCGCCACTTTGTGTTTCTCCACCAACACCAACGATGTGAAATGGAAGTGCACAAATGTCATATTATAAGGCAAATTGCAGCAAATACTATTTTCTGCAAACATTTACTACATTTGCATCCAGCCTTGCTTCAAGGTAGTGTAGGTCATTCTTTCCTTTCCACTCTATTTTATCCTGTCAGCCATGTTTGAGGTAGGCAAGGCTGAGATAAAGTGGCCAGCCCAAGGTCATCCAGTGAGCATGTGGCTGAATGGGCTTTTGAACCCAGGTCTCTGAAGCCCTGCATTTCCACCCATTCTTCCCTAACCTGGTGTCCCCAGCTGCTGAACTACAGGGAGGCTGGTAGCAGATGGGAGTTCAAGATTTCAGAACACTGTTCCAACCACGACACAAGGAGAAGAACAAGATACAGAACTGCCTTTACCTGTTATGTGTTGTTAGGTTCTTTTAACTGGTTTTTATTTCATTAGGAGAAGAATATTAACTGAATGATTAAGAATCTGGTCTAAAGGTTCCTCAGAAAGTTGCTCTAATATACTCTGGATTACATTCCAAAACATAGCTAAGTGTACATAACCCCACTGATCTCAACGGGCATCAGAACACTTAAGTCTGAGTTGAACTGTGGCTTTGTGTGTTTTAAGAATTACAGCCTTCCTAAAATGTGTTTGGGGCAGTTGAGATAGACAAATAGTGTGATCTGGCTTATAATGCAGATCCCTATGACAGATAATACACTGACTTTTAAAACTTCTGCTTGGATGGGTTGTTTCTTAAGTATGTTTACTTATTAATAGGTATCTCAAGTGCCACCACATATGCATACTTCATAATGTTAAGAGCTACCTTTCTAGATCAGATCCAAGGCCCACCAGTAACCTGCAAGATACCTCTGAAAGCATGAAGCTGACAACTATTTACGTTACTTGTTCCTAGCATCTGACATTCCACTAGAACCTGCCTCTGAAAATGAAGTGATAGGTGTGTATGCATACAGAGAACCGTTAGTTTCACCAGCTTTCAGCCTGTTAGCATTATTTGTGGCACTTTAAAAAAATGATTAATAGTTCTAAGTGCAAGAGGCCCAGGGGTTGACTTGGCTCACTTAAATAATCCAAGGTTCAACTTCAGGCTTCTCAGCTGGGAAATCCCAATGAACTGGGCTGGGAAAGATGCTAATATCAGCAGGAGTCTTTACATTTCCAACTATTAACTTATACAAATAGATACCAAGGTCATGATATTTGCCTCACAATAAGGATGCCGCACTAACTGATGGCAGGATCATAGGGATCAAGGATACCCATCTTTCAAAGGCAGACTGGAATACAGGTTTTGCATAAACTTCCTGTATCTTCCTTCACCATGAGCTTCAGCGCTCAAGTAACATACATTGCAGGGACCAAGACGGCTGAATGGTGGATATTAAGACACATATGGGTCACCTATTTCCAGACTTTCCTGGTGAGCTGCTTCCTTGCATACTAAAGAGCAAGGGAAAACAGGGCTCTCTTAAGGCTTACCAGGATCTGCCAATGCACAAGAGCTGTGCTTTTATATCGTCATCTAAGCTATTGTTGTTTGGAATGAGATGCCTTACTCATTTGATAGTGCATTTACTCACATACTTTGCATTCTTTGTGTTTAAATAAATACTTGTAATATATAAACTTACTTGTGAAGGATCATACACCATTAGCCTGTTCTGATATTGTGCAGTATTTGTTACTCCTCCTGTAACAGATGTTTACAGTGTTACACGAACATTAAACACAGTTGGGAGTGCATTAAAGCAAATTATCTACCATTAGGAAGCATACTGCAATTTTTTTCATGCTACATGCAAAAAGGAATTTGTCAAGTTTCACTTTCCAACATCCTTATTTCTCCAGTGGCAAGTTAACAATATGCCCATGTTGGTTCATGAGCCACAAACCACAACTAGGCAAAATAAGTCGCACCCTTTGAATACTGAAGGGTACCTGAAGGTCACCATTCTGTTTCTTCTGCTGAGAGAGGTCCTCTGAACAAACACAGTTAAAAGTAAGGACAGAAGTAATATGTTGCATGATGACACAAATATATGCAAGACATCTGGAAGAATAGGGCTGTCCTAAGATTAAATTCAAGGTATATTATATTAGGGTGGGGCGACCCTGTACAGTACCATAACCTTGGAGAAGTGTCAGGATAAAAATACATCTAATCATAATATATGCTAAAAACAATGTCATCTGTAGCCACCTATCCTGCTGACTGAACTTCTGTGAACATTAAAGGAAGAAATTGCACAATGTCTGCTGGTATAAGGTAATTTCTCATTGTCCCCATGTAAATTAATTTTAGAAAGGGCACAGCTTTTTCTCCATCCCCACTGTCTGTCACAAACATGTACTGAGACAAATCAGGTGTAGCCTATTTGGTACACTTCCATGTCACCATTTGCGGGCCCATGCACATTGTGTCTCGAGAGCTAGGAAGAGGTAGTAACTTAGGAACAACAAAAGAACATGACAAGATCTTGGAATTTAACTGGCCACTACAGATGACAGAAGGCTTTGGCATAGCCACTGGGTATGTATCCTGAATCATTCAGCCCAACTACCAAATTATTATTCACAAGGGTCGGTCCTAGGTTAAGGGTGACCCCCTCCAAGGCCACCAGATGGAAGTCCTAATGGCCCATCTGCTTCCGTCTGGACCTTTGGCCAGAATCTTCAACCCAGACCCCTTTACCAGGGTATCCTGAGATTTTGACATAGCCAAAGGGAGGGTTCCTCTCATCCTTCAAGTTAGACTGAGGATCCAACCCAATGCCTTTTTTCCCCCCCCTCCACCAAAGTTGTGGCAGTTGCTATGAGGAAGTCAAAAACCCAAAGGGGCCCAATTTGTCTACAGGCAAATTTCGCCCTGGCCCTGAATATGGTGACTGATTGAACTCCACAACAAGGTCGTGCCTACATACGCAGAGCTAAACATACAGGGAGGAATGGATTGCCAACTGTGCTCTGGCTCAAAGTGCAGCCAGCTTAAATTCAGTGGCGGTGAACCAGAGTGAATACTACGTTCGGCTGGTCCGCTGCTGAAGACCTACCCTCTCCCCCCACAAAGGCCATGACTGGCCCATTTGAAGCTAAGATTTTGGCAGCATACCCTTCGCGCCCTCACCAGCTCCTGTAGCTGCACTAGGCTGCACTGGTGCTTCCCTAAAGAGGTAAATAGTATTTTCCTGTGGATCCCATTACTTGAAAAACTACACTTAAGTTGCAAAGTTGGAATTTCAAGTAACAGCTACGAGGATGAGAGAGTGAAATGAAAGTGTGCTGAAAGGGAGGGACGAGGAGTGTGAATTAAAAGTTGGGAAATAATTCTGTGTACATTGCGGCAGCCTTTGGCTATGTGCAATAAAACAGACTGAGACTGAGGAAAGGAGGAGCTTTGTACTTTTTACAGAAATGTAAGGAAATTTAGAAATCTGCTTCATTGCAACCTCAAAGCTCAATCAGATCAGAATGATTAGATGAGAAATTGTGATCACATTTCTTTTCTCTCTTTTTTTAAGGTAGAGGGATGACCAGTAGTGGGACCATAGCACACAGGAAGTGGTGGTGGTGGGGACATGACTCTTTCTGCCTGTGTCACTGTTCCCAGTAAGACTATCCGTGCTGTTCATTCCAGGAGTGAAGAGGCCTTTTTATGCATGATGGGTTGGGTTGGGTTATGGGGCCGGAGAGACAGGAAAGAATGTGGAAACAGAAGCAGAAGGGCAAGCAGGCTGACAGAAAGGTACAAGGTATTTTCATTTCAAAATGATGGGTAACTAAAATCCAGCTCCTCTCTCAACCCAGCCGATGATCTGTACTAAAATACCTGCTATATAAGCCTGTCCACATCACAAGAATCATGCAAATTCAAAGGATACTTTTGCCATAGACGTTTGTCCGGCTGGGTCTTAACATTGGCGTGGAAGCATAAAACGTGCATTCATTTCTTGGTACTGGGGATGTTTCCCCTCCGCATGTTTAATTTTTCTCACGTGCACACACATACCTACACCTTAAAGCCATTACGTTCCCTTTGCCTTCTTTCTGTACCCCCCCTTTAAAAAAAAGATTCATTTGCCAAAATGAGATGCTATGGATTTACATACAGATTTGACGACAGAAAAATAGACCTGGAATTAATAGCACAGCCTCTATATGTTTTAATCCTCCCTTCCCCCCTCAGATCAAATACCCTTGCCTCCAGCAGAATTCCTGGCTTTGAAAGTCATCAAGCTGATTTGACTGCTCTTAGGTTAGGCTGCCTCATGCTGTTCCACTGCCCCCCTGCAATCACCGCATTTGCAGGAAGATTCTCTGCCAACAAGTATATTTTATAGATTGGCAGTTTTGCTCTCTCTCCTCTCCCCCATCTCCCCTTAACCGCCACCTTCTCCCCAGGGGAGGAATATGCATCTTAACAGCTTTCTATAGATTCATCTGCCATTAACTATGCCATTTCTTATCAGCATCAATTTTCAAAAAACCAAGTTTATCCTAACTTTGAAGTGCTACAGTGAAAAAGTTTCAGGGCTGTTGTTCTTTTTTTATATAGATATAAAAAGCAACCTACCAAAATTTAAATTTAACAAGCCCATAATGCCCCCCACAAACGACCATTTTAAGAATACTCTAGGCAATGGAGGAATAGGTATAAAATGTCTTTTTAAAAAAATAGCAGAAAAATAAAAGTTTAAATGGTACCAGAAAAAGTGATGTTTTTCCATCATAAAATGGGACAATCAAAAGGCAATTGCTTTTACTTCCCTGTGCTGCTTTCCAAAAGGAGAATGATAATATCAGTAGAGATGATATCCAGGTGCGTTTAAAAATAAAGTCTATAATAAAGTCTTTTAGAAGTCAAGCAACCTGTAAATAGCTCATAGGATTTCAAATGCAGGAGGAGAAAAATGTATCAGTAAGAGATTGTAATTTTTTTGGCTCGCTGATTGCTGGCTGAATTTATATACAACTACTGGGATAAATAATGCACCTCATGAGAAGAACTTCGCTGTGTTGGATTAGTGATCTATTCAGACCAGAATCCTGTCTCTGATGCCATGAAATGTGTTGTTTACAGAGTATACCATTCCCCGGCATTCATTCCTAGCCTCTGCAAATAGTACAGTATCCTGCTTCAGTTGTTTGTGTTCCTTTGATGGGTCATTTCCCTACCTATTTTTGAACTGGCCATCAGCCGAATTTCAGTGTGTGTGCCTTTTCATTTATTTGTTGTGGAAGTATTAGGGACAGTTGCTTAATTTCATGTGGAAAATCTTTCAGACCTGCTTTTTCAAAGCTCATCAAACTGCACCATAGCACTAAAAAACGTATGATTTGTCGTGCTATACTTGGACTAGCTCAGCAGTGGGGAATCATTTTTGTCTCTAAAGTAACAAAATAACTTTCTATATGTAAATTGCTCCAAAAAGTACCGCATTTTTTTCAAAATGTTTGTTTTCTTTGAGAAAAAACTAAGGGAGGGGGGCAGATATCCCCCTTCCCATGTCTTCAAAATTTCCATAAACCTCCTGCCTCTAATCAGAATTTAGCCCCTGTTCTTCAGTTGGTAGTTGGGGTGCTTAATCCTGTTCTGCTGTAAGCTATTTGCACAGCAAGGCAAAATAGAACCCTGCCCTCCTGCTGGATGTGGTTTGTGGGACAAGTCCTTGTAGCCCAAATTGGACCCCCTGGTGGACCATAATTAGCCCATGGGCTAGAGATTCTCCACCCCTGTACTAGCACTATATAGCATGATATCTGATGGACTGAAGGCATGACAAGAGGGAGGGCAGCTTTTTACAAGAGAAAATAAGGGTGTAAATTAAGTGCTTTGCTAGGTCAGAGCCAGGTTCAATCTAGGCTCACATTCTGTCTGCAACTGTTGCCAAAATTATACTGTGGAAGCTTGTAGGAATATCCGTGCTCTGGTGTTTGCATCCAGCAGTCAGAAATGCATTGACTGTAATAATGGACAATCCGTTTCTGAATGTGGTGCACTGGTTAGAACAGGGTTTCCCAAACTCCAGCTGTTTTTGGACTACAACTCCCATCTAGCTAGCAGGACCATTGGTCAGGGATGATGGGAGTTGTAGTCCAAAAACAGTTGGGGATCCAAGTTTGGGAAACCCTGGGTTAGAGTCTTGAACTAGGACTGTGAGACCAGGGTTCAAATCTCCCCTCAGCAACTAACCTTGGGCTAGTTGCTGTCTCTGCCCAGCCTTCCTCGCAGGACTGTTCTAAGGACAAAATGGGGAGAGAAGTGCACCACATTTAGCTTTTTATAAGAACAATAGAATATCAATGTAATAATCAACTACATTTTTTTTAAATAGCTTGAGATGAAAGATACGATTCATGAAAGCCTTTCCTATGCAATTTCATGAAATGGGAAAGGAGACGGACTGAGGAAGAGGGGATAGATGTGTTGCTAGTCACCAGTGATGCCACAACTTTCGAAATCCCCAAGATCCCCGCTTTGGTTGTCAAAAGAAGCGTTTTCCCCCATTGCAGTGTGAGTGGTGGGAAAATGTGGTCTTCTTGGATGGAAAAGCAAAAACATTCCTTGAGGGAAGAAGTCTGGATCCTGAGTAATAAGCAAATATCTGCTGTTGCTTTCAAACATATAAGCAGTGGTGGCTGGTACCCATTGGGACAGGTGGGGAGAAAGGCAGGAGTGATGTGGTAGCCATTGAGCAGTGGTGGCTGGTACCCATTGGGACAGGTGGGGAGAACAGGTAAAAGGTAAAGGTACCCCTGCCCGTACGGGCCAGTCGTGTCTGACTCTAGGGTTGCGTGCTCATCTCGCTCTAGAGGCCATGAGCCGGCGCCATCCGAAGACACTTCCGTGTCACGTGGCCAGCATGACGAAGCTGCAGCTGGCGAACCAGCGCAGCACACAGAAACGCCGTTTACCTTCCCGCTATAAAGCAGTCCCTATTTATCTACTTGCACTTAAGGGTGCTTTCAAACTGCTAGGTGGGCAGGAGCTGGGACCGAACGACGGGAGCTCACCCCGCCACGGGGATTCGAACCGCCGACCATACGATCAGCAAGTCATAGGCACTGAGGTTTTACCCACAGTGCCACCCGCATCCCTCTAGGGGAGAACAGGAAGTGGAGCCAAAGCCAATGGCAGGTGGAAGCCACTGATTCCAGCTTTGTCCCCATCCTTCCTACTGAATTCCTTAAGTGCAACACAGAGGAGGAAGCTGACGGGGTTCATATATTGTGCCTGTTGTATTAATGCATAATGCAAGTGTGGGGGGGAGGGATGTGTGCTCTCATACTCCCAATTGGCAAATGTCTTTTAAAACATGGAAACCTTGACCTAATATGATGAACAGAATTAGCATTCTCGCCATGTCCATTAGCAAGGTAGTGAAAAGGAACGTCAAGTATTTCCCCACATGCCGGTCGACAGGAGGGGGCCCTTTCACGGCATGCTCAACTAGCTCCCTTGGAGCATTTGTCTAACCACTTGTGAAAGGGGCGGCAGGACCAGACAGACCCTTGGAATAGCTGCACTTTTAGCAATGCTTTCCCCTGTCATCTCGTGTATCTCATACTGTAAGCCATTATTATGAAATGTAAACCTTCGGCGTTTTGTTTAAACATAACAAAGACTAAAGAAAACACGACATTTTGATTAGAAAGACCTTGAAAGAGAGAATAATGTATTGGGGGTTCTTTTGGGGTTAAGAAGATCCTGCCACAGCCAGGTGTATACAGTGGTACCTCGGGTTAAGAGCTTAATTCGTTCTGCAGGTCCGTTCTTAACTTGAAACTGTTCTTAACCTGAGGTACCACTTTAGCTAATGGGGCCTCCTGCTGCCGCCGCGCCGCCGCCGCGCGATTTCTGTTCTCATCCTGAAGCAAAGTTCTTACCAAGGTATTATTTCTGGGTTAGTGGAGTCTGTAACCTGAAGTGTCTGTAACCTGAAGCATCTGTAACCCGAGGTACCACTGTATATGGCACTGACATACGTCTTTCAGCTACACTGACTATAAATTCCCATATAATTATACACCAAAATTTGTTTCGGATAACACAGTGCTGGTTAAACAACAAAGAGCTTGTGCTGTTTGCATATCAGCAGTTCAGGGTGACTACTGATGCTGCAGAAGCTTCAGGAGACTTGGGAAATTCTTCAATTTAATTATCCTAGAATGAGCTAGCTTGACATACTTGGATTTAAGCCAATTTAGTCCCATCAACTTCATCTACAAAGAATTTTCTCTCACACTCTGACACATATGCACACACCCCTTCCTGCCACCCAACCTCATGCAGAATCTTAGCTTGTTTACAGATTAGGAGAGAGGTAAAGAATTGGAGCTTGCGGCCTTTATAAAGTTTGCCAAAGTGTAAAGACAGCAGTGAGAGGAGGAGAAATCGAATGTCCTGCAAAATATACCGGTTAGACTTAGAGCATTTTCTTCTTCCTTTCAGGGGCTGCAATATGAACTATAACATCATTCTAAACCCTGAAAGAAGAAAAAATGGTCTAGCCCTAACCAATATATTTCCTCATTCAGAAAAAGATCATTAAACACGAAACCATAATGGTTCTGGTGCATTTCAAGGCTATTTTGCTTGAAAACTGAAAGCATGAAAAGCATCTCTTTGTGAGCAAGCCAGATCAAACACTTTTCAGAAACTGCAAAATTTAGCATTCTATAAAACCTCAAAATTACCAGTCAACAGGTGCAGAACATAACTACAGAATGCATTTCTAACATATCCCTGTTATTACTGTGCAATACAAAGGGAGGGGAGAACATCCATAAAAAGCCTTAGACTCCATTTCCCTAGCAGCATCTTCAGAAACTAAGGGGGGCTGAAAAATCCCCCAAGAGACAGGCACACCAAAAGTATCGCCCCAACTCTAAATTTAAAACCGACCAACTTTATGGATATGAGTGTTATTTCAATATTCCTTTTCTGTACAATACTTAGAAATATGTATAAAACATTCTCACTTTTGGCAACAATACTCCCATTTCTAAGTTCACTATCTTTCTTCCCCAATACAACTATGTGTTTAGTTCACTTTTGTTGTTACCTACTTTCTTATACTTCAATTTATTCTAAACCATGGCTTTCCTCAGTGCCATCATTCTTCTGCTGAGCTGTATAAAAAAATGTGTGCATAGTAATCATATTTACATCAAGGATGTAAGTACACAAACATTTTCTCCCTACCCAAAAGTCCCAGTATAAAGCTTTTTTAATTTCAATTTTAACTGTTCTTTTTCAAAACAAAACGCTGCACCTTGATTATATCCCCCTTCCTTTAGCTGAACTTTCCTTCATGTTTACTACTTGTGGTTCTTAATCACTATACTAACTCTTCCACCCCTTTTTGCATCCTAACTTGGTTTCTTAAACTTTGGCCTTTGGTGAATGAAAGCTAGACCCGTCTTCTCCAAGACAAGTTTCCTAAAACCCACTCTCCACTGACAGTGTTTTGTCATCGCACAAATGGCTCAAATGAAACATTTTCTACCTGATATCCAAAGGAGACCATCCACAACATATCCCGCATGACAGGAAAGGGATCTGTCAAAGGACTGAACGAAAGTCCATTTGTTCTTCTTAGGGCAGTAGCGCTCCACCGTAGGCAGCACTTGACGTAGCTCATTTCTACCTCCGACTGCATAGAGGTATTCGTCCACAGCTCCCAACACAAAATGTTCCCGGCAGTTCTTCATTGGACCTATTTCAGCCCAAGAATTATTTCGAGGGTTGTATCTACAAGCAGTCCGTACTGCACAAGTGCGGCCGGTGGCATGCTCAACTTCGCCACCTGCTACGAAAAGGAAATCTCCCATTACAGCAACACAGTGGTGGCTTCTTCCTACTGGCATGGGAGCCAGCTCACTCCAGTTTGCAATCCC